ATGGGGCTCACGCTAACTAAGTGACTAAATACACTGAATGGTACGGTGTTCACTATACATACAATGTCCCAGCTTCAATTCCTGGTTAAGACAAAGAAAGCTGTCACCCAGGGTTAGGGTAGTGGTGTTAGCAATATCGATGGATCAGAATAAAAAATACCCAGAATTTCCACTCCTTGACATTCATGACCGCTATCTACAACAACAACAAGATTTCATTTATAGAGCGCCTTTCACGTCGGGTGGACGTCCCAAGGCGCTGGACAGTTGGATCGGGATCCGAGCAGGGGGGAAATGGTCAGGGTGGGGGGAGGGAAGGGAGGGAGCGAGGAGGGGGTAGAGAGTCAAGAGGGGAGCTGAAGGCACAGTTGAAGAGAAAGGTCTTGAGACCGGCCTTGAAGGAGGAAAGGGAGGAAGCGGCGAAGGCACTGAGGGATGGAGTTCCAGAGCCTCGGGGCTGAGAGGCTGAAGGCCCGGCCACCGATGGTAGGGCGGTTGGGGCGGGGGATGTGGAACAGACCGGAGCCAGAGGAACGGAGGGTACGGGCAGGTAGGTTGGGGGATAGTAGGTCGGAGAGAGCAAGGCCGTGAATGGCCTTGTAGGTGAGGATGAGGATCTTGAATTCGAAGATCTTGAAATCTAATTGTCCCTGCAAGAGCAATGCAGATGTGTTGAAGATGGTGGAGGATAAGATCAAGCACACTTGACTGTGATGCTCCCACAGTTGACATGAAGACAGTTGGCAAGTTGACAAAACATGTCAAAGATCTCACTTGGCCATGATATCAAAGGGCCTGTGGAACCATACAACAGCAATAACCGTCTCCTTAGGTCTTTGAGGACATGAGAAAAGAGAAGCAGTAAATTTGTTTCAGATATTACTGTGTGATAGTTGTTGGGGGGGTGGGGGAGGGGGATGGTGGTGAAGGGGAGGGAAAGAACCGTCGACATCCCTTTTATGAATTGGAAATACCAGTGATGTCACCTTAGTGTGGGGAGGGGAAATGTAGGGATTTCGGGCATGGGTGGAAACCGAGCGTAATTAGTCACTTGTTTCCAAGTCAAACACAATGTGGTTATCACAAGCCTAACCACAGCAGACGGAGAGATCACCTATTGGCACTTACACTTCCTGTTCTTGCATTGCGCTATCAACCACACAAGCATTCACATACTTAACACCTACAATTTTCTCATACATAGAGAATTACGGTACTTTAATTGGTTACAAATAGACTCACTCTAAATGAAACTTGCCAATTAATAACAAAGCTAGTGCAGTTCAAAGGTTTAGCATTGTTCATCAAAAAATCCCACCAATACCAATGAGCTGACTTTTGCTTTAGAGAACGCAGAAATTACAATTACTGTTTACTGGTATATTTCAGCATAAAGGCATAAACAAAACAGCCCCAAAAGAGAATAAATAATTAAATCAATAGCAAATAAATGTCCAGACAGCAAATTAGAAAGGTTATGGGTGCAAAGATATAAGGCTCAACTGGGACTATTAAACTGAATATAACTTAAGATAAGGTTTTCAGGAAAGATACGGTCAACAGAAACATATTTAAAGACACTTGATAAGTTAAGATAATTGAGCCAGGACGGAAAAAAAAAAAAGCCAGGAATATGAAATACTATGGTAAGATGTGTTTAAAGAGAAAAGGACCAGACCAAGATTTGGAGTTTGCTGCAGACCATTAGGCCAAAATAACCTTATGACATCAGAATTATCCTTCTGATGTGAGAAAAGTGAGAAAAACACATATAGTAGTCTTCATCAAACCCAGCATAAAGTCATAATGTCCAAGAGCTCTGAACTTGTCAATGCAGTAGATAACCACTTTTTGGAAGGTACATCAGAGCCAGCCTCGATCTGGATCTTGTGAATGATTCAGATTTCAGAGTTACCAAAGCAGCTGAATTAGGAACACAGGAAAACAAGAACAGCAGAAGGCCATTCAACCCATCAAACCTTTATCCAGTTTATTAGATCTTTGCAGAGTTTTTAATCATTTTACTTTACTTCCACTCATTCCTACTAACCAAGTGTATTCTCTCTCTTTTAAACGTACTTATTGATTCCATCTCTACAGGATTCTGGGGTAATTGGGGATGAGTAACCATGGCACTACAAGTTTCAATCTGACTTGCGAGCCAGAACTCTAGCATCAACTTCAAATGGGCAAACTAATAAGGGAACGCAATTGGCTGCTGCGTTCGCCCGCAAATATACAGTCAATTCACTTTACAGTGTATTCTGTGAAGCGCTTTGGGACGTCCTCCCGACATGAAAAGCGCTATATCAAATGCAAGGATTATTATTATTATTATCGAAGACCCAAGAGAAAACTGGAAAAGGGACATAGCGGCAGATGCAAAACAATAACGTTTGCCAAGTACCTTGGACTCAATTACTATAATCAACTGAATGCCCACAACACTATTTAGTTGTAAATCTTAGTTAATCTGTGATCTAATTGCTATCAATAATTTACCAGCTATAAGTTACAGTTAGGCATGGGCTCTAAAGGGATGGGCACCAAAGAATCTTCAGAATCCAAACAGATCAGAGTAAACGATTTCAATCCAATGGAACTTTGATCTCACTTATTATCCACTTCCCAGTCAGACCTGCTTTATGATTCCAAAGCGCAAGATTTCTGAGAACAAAGAACTTTGAATGAAATGCCGGTAATTCTGAAAAAAAATCAATGATAATTTTGTATCTCAGCATTTTAGAGGCCAGTGTTTTTGGGTCCAGTCCTATTCTTTGTTATGCTTAGATTCGGATTGATTCTATTCAAGTTGCAATTAAATAGAATTAAATATTTGGTGTAAATCAAATTCACTTTGAGAAGGGTTGAGCGGCCAATAAAATATTGAAAATGTTTATTTACTGAATAGTACTTATACTACCTTCCAAACAATGGCCGAAATACATTGAAATAGAATTTGCGTTTGCACATTTTCTTTTTTCTTATTTCTTCCTCCAACTCCGTCACATTGTATGCCTCCGACCATACTTCACACCCCACACAGCCGAAACCACGCCTTCGTCACCTCATGCCTTGACTATTCCAATGTCCTCCTTGCTGGAGTCCCCAGCTCAATTATCCATAAAATCCAATTAATTCAAAATTCCGAACTCTCACAACACCAGTCCTTGCCAGGCCTCACCGGCTCCCTTTCACACCCCGACTCAGTATGAGGCTACACCATCCTTAAGCACGCCAAGACGCTACCCTGCATGAAAGGGGTATGTAAATGCAAGTTGTTGTTTCCAAAACTATAAGTAACAACTTGTATTCGAACAACACCCTTCATGCAGGATAGTGTCCGTTCCATAAAGTTTCTCCCCATGGTACCAAATCACTGAGAATCAGAGTATGCACTGTCAGTGTGAAGTTAACGGAAGTTATCTTCAGTTCCAATTGGATTTTCCCTGGAATTTGGGGAGAATTGAAATTCATGTAATCTTCTCAAAAAAAAGAATACCTTGATTATATATATCCGCTCAAAGGGTACCGATATTTGCTAAGGTTCACACACTTCTTGTACCGAGCAATCTTATTTCCTACAATTTTGCCCTGTACAAATAATTTGTCTGCATAAACAGCAAGGAAGAGAACGTCACAATGTGTGGGTTACAGAACACTCACTATTAAGCTTTGTGATGCCGGTAACATGTTTGAAGCTGAACAGAATCAGGTGCCCAAACTCAGAACTGATCCTAACAAAGATCTGAATCAACAGTTTCATTGCTCTCCAGTCAGGCACAAGGCACTGAAGGCAAAAAAAAAATCCACTTCCCTGATGGAAATGATGTGAAACAAACCTTTTAATGGTACTTTTTCATATGACTGCATATATTTGAATTTTCTTGGTTGATTAAAATATTCCAAGCCATTATAATTGATGCCAGCATTTTAGTGTGGCTACCAAGGAAACTGCCCACATATTCTCAAAAATATGAAGTTGAAGAAATCAGTTCTGTATGTTTTGTGGTCCTCATGATCAATTTTAGTATAGAATGTAGAGTATATTAGTAGCAAGGACCAAAGGATGAGATCAGATGGTACCTTTCAGGCTTTTACTCAGGATTTTCCTGCCGGCCTGGGTTATTGGGAAAAAATCCAAAATCTATATCATATTTGAATTAAGTGAAGCATTGATAACTACTGGACACTGGCATGTATTGTGATTTGTAGTTATGTACCCTAAATACAACTGCATTATAATCATTGTATTTAAAATGCTACAATTATTTTAGCGCTTTGGTTCGTCCTCCCGACGTGAAAGGTGCTATACAAATGTAATCTTGTGCTTGTTGTTGTAGAATTATGCACAATTGCTGTTGTTACCCTTTTATGTTGCCTATTAACTGAGGCCAGTATGCAATAGTCTAAGAGTATACTAAACCATGGCACAAATATCAAAACGAAGGAAGCAGTCTGAACAAAAGATCCTAATATTCCAATTAACTGAAATCCAATGGCATAATAAAAAATGAACTACAAGGTAAACTATTGACCCATGGGCTACAGAAGTGACCTTGTACATGAAATAATACTTCTAACCTTCAGCTTCAAGCGTTATAACTCTTTGGTTCTTTTGCAACCCTGTCTGGCATTGCCTTACATCACAGTACAAAATCCTGCTTTTTTTTCTGAAACCAACACAATAAGTAAATGAATATAGGAAATCAGTGAACTAGACTTGAAAACTTCTTAAATACACAAAGTGATGCAATTTTAATCTACCTGTTATACAATATTTATAAGGCAAGTGGACCTAAAGCCAAAATACCAAATGCTTGAGATTTTGCTACTCAGGCTCCAATGAGTAAATATATCAAACCCATGGGCTATCCTCCATTTTATAACCAAAGTGAAATATAAAATATACACTACAAGTGTATGTTCATGTTGTGCTTGAAACATTCTGACCTTAACAGTGCAAATGGATCAACCCTGTAATCATATCTGCAGCTTACCTTTGCTAGTGTCCTTTTACGTTGATTATTAAAGCTGAATTTCTCTTTTATATCTTCTAGAAGATCCTGCAGGAATTTCTCCTCGGGTGTTTCTGAGTATTTACGGCCTAGCTGCACATAGCAGCGCCATTTGGCTGAGTCAAAGCCCCAGTGACATGTTCTCTTGTCTGGAGATCTATGTGAATGCAGTACAAACTTCTGGGGAGAAAACAACATGTGGCAGTCCAGACACTGAACGCAGGCTGCTTCAGGATGGTTGTAAAACTGTGGTACAAATAGTCCATGGCATTTTCCAAGACATCGGTGTTCCACTTCAAAACTGGAAACAGTCTCCTGTAGTTGAGCAAGGCATGTTTTGCCAGAGAGCTTATTGGCATCGGAAAGAAGAATGCCAGGATGAATCAGAGCATTACACAATCTTTGAGCATCAGTTTGTGTTATAAGTCCACAAGATGGGGCATTGAAAGGCAAAATGCCCAAGACCTTGAGAATTTGGAGTTGCTCTGCTGTACACCTCGAGCAATAAATATACAGTTCATCACAGACTGTGTTAATTTGTTGTAGGGAGAAATCTCGAAGCACTGAGTTTAACACCTGTGGCAAGCAAAGCCTCTTCTCACCACCAACCACAAAGCAGGAGATAGTCTCCCCCTCCAGAGAAGTGTGAGTAAGATCAGTTGAACTGTCAGAGGGTATCAGCAAAGGTCCAGGCAATACAGGAGGCGATGTCATCGGCGCAAATCCCCCTGGTGACATGCAGTCTTGTGGACAGCGGGCTGAGAAAGCTGCTGGCCCACCAAGGGAGCTCTGGCTACTGAGGTGGAATTGTGCTAATGTATGTTTGAGGCCAGGCTTAAGATCTAATGGACAAACATCTGATATGAGACATCTTTTGGACACGTCTGTGTGTATTCCTTCTGTCACTCGAAACTCCTCTCCACCTTCCTGTTTTATTCCTGATGCTTTGAGTATCTCCTCTGACTTTGCACCATTCAGTTCTTTTCCTGCTTTGCTGAAAATTCTCTCTCCCATTACTTCTTCACTCAAGGGTTCTTTCTTCATCCTTTCAACCAAGGTTACACCAACCTCCACTCTCAAAGCTCCTTGTATACTTGTCATTGCTACTCATAAAAAAAACTTTCCAGGTAATGCGTGTTTTTTTCCCCACCAACCACGCTTAAATAATAAAGCTTCTTCCCAAAAAAATCAGCACAGGCTTGTAGAAGTCTCCCGTGTGCATTTCATCGCACCGTTTTCTGACATCATTGATAAAGATTGGCTTTCTGTAACAATTTGTCTTCAAAAGTCACCTAATTATTTTATGAAACATATATTATTTTAGTACTTCCACCGTTACACTTGCCTCGTGCAATCACTCCAAGCCACACGGTCCCAACATGCATACTCCCATTTTTCTCGGAATTTGCAGTTCGTACAAATCTGCTGTAGAGAGTCGCGACACAGGTATTTTCTCAACACTGATTTGATTTTGACCGCTGGCGAGCAATTCTAATCGGATTCCACTTGGATCAAACCCACTGCTTCATATGTCTACCGATATCAATTGCCAGCAAGTCCTTAATCCCGCTCTCTGCAATGTTGCTGTTGTCTCACCCTTCCTTCCTTCTTCCGAAAGTGTATTTTAAATCAAGTCAATCCAAAGCTCTCCGACCCGGGTCATCGAAGACTGACATTTGCCAAAGTGTGGAGGGGGGAGGGTGGTGGGGGGGGGGGGAGAGGAGAGCAGGAACAACGGACGAAGCACAGCTGCGTTCCGTAATAGTAAAGATGATGATTTCCCGCAGGAACAATTTAAATATGTGGATTGGATCTTCACTCGGGTCAGTCAGTCAGTCAGTCAGTCAGTCTGTGCTGCTCAAATCCTGGCCAGTGGAGGGATGGGGGAGGGGAAGAGGGAGTGAGAGTGTAATGTGTGTGTGTGTGTGTGTGTGTGTGGTGCTGGTGGTGGGGGAGAAGGAGGGTTGAGAGATGGACGCCTGACAGCTCGAACCACGATTCTCCTTTCCCTTTTTTTTTTCAGGCAGCTTCGATTTTTCTTTGAAAATAAAATAAAATTTAAAAAATAAATAAATAAATAGATAGTTTTTTTTTGGGGGGGGTGGGGGGGGGGTGGGGGGCGGAAAAAAAAAAAGAAAAAGAATCTTACTGCCTCACAACAGCCAGAGGGGTCCCACCAGGTCGCGTGTTCTTGTCCCTTTCCAAACCCCCCCCTCACCCTCCAACCCCCAGAGCTCGTCCCTGTCTGACCGACACTGAGCTGTCACCGCTCGAGCCCTCCTCTCACACACACACAGGACAAACGGCCCTTACCTCACCCTCTCCCTCACACTCCCTCACACTCACACACACACTAATAACCGCTCCTACCTCCTCGCCTTTCGCTCCTCGGCGTCCAGCGCGGTTTTTTTTTTCCCCACAACGTGACGGCGATCTATCAACGGAGAGCTCCGAAATCCGCCTCTTCTTCTTCTTCTTCTTCTTTTCTCCCCTTCGGTCTCTCTTCTCTCCGTCTCTCACACACGACCCCAGACTCTAGACTCCAGCCTCGCCGCCGCCACCGCCGCCGCAGACAACAGCCACTGACACCAATGACGTCACCGCTGCACAGAAAGCGTCGACGTCAGCGCCACCCACGCAGAAAACGCCTACGTCGCATCAGCCCGACCCTGGCCGCACGCACGCACGCACGCAGGCACGCGTCAGACGCACGCACGCAGGCACGCGTCACACGCAGGCGCGCATGCCCGGCCCGGCCCACGCGCACCACAAAACAATAATCATCATCAGAAGGGAGAATGATGACAATAGTCCTCGCCTTTGATGCGGCTCCAAGTCAAGTCCTCCAGACGCCTCAGAGCGCCTCACAGAATCAGACCGTTTAAAGTGAATCGAACGCAGGAGACGTGATAACCAGTGGCCGGCCCGGTCAGGGGCTCCAAAACCCCATCGAGAGGAGCGAACTGCGTTTATTGGTGATAATAGTCACAATCCGCGCGTGCGATACAGCGCTTTTCACGTCTTCCCGACGCCCCAAAGCGCTTCACAGACTATACTGTAAAGTGAATTGACTGTATGTTTGTGGGCGAACGGGGCAGCCAATTGCGCACAGCAGCGGTGTCCCACAAACGGTCGTGGATTGAAAATGACCAATTTATTATTGTTTAGCGCCTTTCGCACCCGGAGGCCGTGAAAAACCAAAGGGCCACAACAAAAAATATTAACCCATCTTTTAGCTGTTTAGGGGCTGATCAACCCCGCTGCGAGGTGGTAAATAGATTGAAATTAGGCAATGCCTTTCAGTGGAAATAGCTCAGCAGCGATATTTGCCCGGACCACTTTAGAAAACCAAATTACCACACGTATGGAAAACGAGATTCCTCCCTCGCAATTATCAAATAGAGAAAAAAAAGGATCTTGGGAGTAAAAATATTATTGAAAATATGTATTTATACACATACATACACTTTTAGACAGTTAAGAAAAATTATTTGATACAGAAAACTACAATTAATATTTGAAGCCATTCTATGGAATAAGCTATTATTACAAGCATCTTCCCCAGCTAGGATCTGAGAAAAGTGATGCATCACATATTCTATAGAAACACTCAAGCTCGTTCATGGAGACATCCACAGGAGATCAAATTGACAAGTTTTGAGCTACGTGAAGGCAGATGGTGGTAGTTTTCTACTTTTATGGGATATTCAGAAAAAATGGATATTACATTTGTGTTATGTGCTGTGTAACACGTTTACTGGTATCCATTACTGGATTAGCCCCTATTAGACATTCCATGGTTATTTTGAAACCGTGAGTGTCAGAGATAATGTAGAATGTAAAAATATTTACCGTAACAAAAATAGCAGAATATGCTCTCATCAGTTTAAGGAAAACTGCAACCCTTTCTTCCCTCAGATGGAGACAGTAATTTATGTTTTCCCCCAAAACATCCTGAATAGTTCAGTTAATTGAGCACAGGACTTCGGACCAAAAGGTTGAAATCCCTTCACCTTTCTTATCTGCAAAATGTCTTAGCAAGTCTAACATACTTCCTCCCAGAGAGATAAGGGTTGGTTCAAAGAATTGTCAATTGGGAAAACACAATTCTGTAGTCCATTCAAGATCCTTACGTATACCCTTAAAGGTTTTTGAGGTAAGAATGTAACCCCAGAGAATCACAGGAAACTGGTTTAGGTCATTTCCTCCCCCCACCCCAAGATAGATCCCAACCCGATTTAAGGGGAGGGTAGTCTTGCCAACTGAATAAGGCAGCCAGCGTGAGAGTGCTGCTGACAGCCTGGGAATATCCTGTCAATCAGTGTCTTGGCTGAGTGTCAGACTTGGCAGATAAAGCGGGGGGTAAAAAAAGGGCCCCATAAAAAAATAAAGTTCTGATTCAATTTAATAATAATCCTTGCAATTTTTGTTTCTGTATGTAATATATCATTTAGAATATGTTATATAATTTGTATTGAGGCTCTCCTGTGATTATATTTGTCAGAACAATCAAGTAAGTCGGATAGTTATTCAAAACCAACCTGTTATGTGAGGTTTGGTATTCTCTGGGTCCTATCTGAATCTGTGAATTTTAAAGCAATTCATGAGTCATTAGATTAAAAACATAGGAACATGAGGTCATTCAGCCCCTCCAGCCTGTTCCACCATTCTATAAGATCATGGCTGATCATGGATACCAACCTGCCCACTCCCTCCGCTCAGTGGCTCCAGTCTACTTCACATTTCCCACCTCGCCATTGGTGGGCAGGCCTTCTGCCACTTTGCCCCCACCATCCGGAACTCCATTTCGCAGTCCCTCCTCCTAGACTCCTCCCTTGCCTCCTTCAAGACCCGTCTCAAGACTCTCCTCTTTGACCGTGCCTTCAGTCACCCTTCTTTGCCCCTGCCCTCCACCCTCCCTGACCCAGCTCAAGACCAAAATTGTTGATTGTTCAATGCCTTGGGACGTCTTCCCCATGTGAAAGGCGCTATACAAATGTAATTTTGTTGTTCTGTAGATCAAGTCCAATTGCCTCCCCTTGCCACAAATCCCTTGATACCCTTATCCAATAAATATTTGTTTTGGTAGTTACCTGGTTTCTCCCTTCTTCCCTTAAAAAGTGCAATCAAATCAGCAATCGGTAAATAGAATGTGTTAAAAATAAACAAAATGACTTGCTGGAGATCTGTGCCAGTTTTGACCTTCTTGAAGCAGCCTCATTGGTCATTTAAAATGTGCTGCCTTCATGAAAAGGTATTTGGTAAAATGTTTTTCTTTGGAGGTGGAAAAGTCGTTAAATCATTAATTGACAACAAATACAGTAGTTGCTCCACCATGGTTTATGGAATTTATAGAATTCTCTACCCCAGAAGGCTGTGGATGCTCAGGCATTGAACATATTCAAGATAGATCGATAGATTTTTAAAAACTAAAGGAATATGGGGATAGGGCAGGTTAATGGAATTAGATTAGAAGATCAGCCATAAAATGGCCAGGCAGGCTGGAGGGGCCAAATGGCCTACTCCTGCTCCTATTTCTTTTGTTCTTATGATGTGGCATTATTAGTTTGGTCACAATTACTCACCAAATAATGCAGCCTGTCATACAAAGTGTTAAATGCCTAACTTAAAAACTTCAGACTTAACAGTTACGATTTTTATTTGTTAAATAGTAAATCTGGAGTAATTTACTCCTCAGTTGCAGGTGCAGGATGTGGTACGTACAGGAAGAGTTACACCCTTCCATCAACTCGTCTCTTAGATCTGATCTGCATTGTTTGTTTATCTTTCTTAGCAACACCAACATCACTTAAAAGAAGCAACAACAAGCTAACAAAGTGTCATAATAACCAATTATGGAACAGCTGTCTATCTCTGGCAAAATTAAACATTCATGTTGCATTTCAACACATTTAAAAAAAAACTTTAACATCAACAGCAATTTTTGGGTGGGAGGTGACCGAAGGCACAGTTGAAGAGAAAAAGTACACTTAGTCAAACCATAAATGTCCAGACCTAACTTGCCTTAATTATAGAATGAATAATACAGTACCAGTTCCACAGATTTCCTTTACCTGATATAGTGTTAGACATAGTGTTATTGCATAAGTTTAACAGGGTGACAAACCCAACATAATTAAGCCACAGAAGAGGTATGTCAACCACTAAAACAGGATAGAACTGTTGACCGTTTGAATTGTTACACCGCGAGTAACTGTATGATAACATTAAAGCACCACACCCAATCCCACAAGATCTAGAACCATTGACCGAGTAAACTTGACTAGCTTAGATTGCTTTTGCAGCAGTTAAGTCCTTCTGAAAAAGAACATCGACTTTGTTCTGGTTAAAGTTCAATCTTGTTCTCTCCACGGAATTACTGTGCTCTGACAGCTGAGTGAATGCAAAGCAATGGAGCTGGAGATACTCATCGTGTGCTATTTTCAAATATGCTTTTGAGAATGTGATAAGGGAAACAAAGTCATCTTTAGTGACTTGGTTCTTATCAGCAACCCCTGGAGTGGAGAAGCAAACACATCCTGTAGTCTAATTTTCAATCCAGTTGCTTTGGAGGATTCTAAACCCGAACCTTTCTTGACAGCACAAATGTGCAATAGATTAACAAGCAGTGGCACGCCCAAGGATTAGAATCATTTAAAAAAAATCAGTGAACTCCTTCAATAACCTTGAAGTTGTCATCCAGAATAGCAGGTTGTGGATTCATCCCAGTAGCAAAGGGTTACCAACTGAGCCAAACTCTCCTTCGTGACTACTAAATTAGATTGCAACATTAAACAAACAACAAAAAATCACATTTGTATAACCCTGCATCCAAAAAACAAAAGTTCATTGGGGCTCATCAAAGGCACAAATGGCTTTGAAATGGAACATTTAGAACTGAATTAAAAACATATGAATTTAACATGACATATTGTTCTTCCTTTCCTCTCTTAAAGAATGAGGACTTGTGCTAGGAACAGCTCCATAGGAACCAACAATCTCCTTGGTTGCTCATCCAAGTCTCCATTCTTCATGTCTGGTTCTAAAATGAGTGTTGCAGCCCAATAGGGGATACAAGACTCATAGTCAGGAATGGGAAACACCGGTGATTTGAGTTTTACCCTAACACACATTTATATTTCATACAGGATGTGCCCCACCCCCAAGTCCTTGATGAAAGGGTGGGGGAACCAGAGTGGGGAGGAAAAGATGGGAGAATTTTAGGGTATTGACCAAATACATGGTTAAAGAGATATTTTAAACCACTTTGAAAGATTTGCAAGATGCAATTTTTATATTGTGCATTATTTAACTTTATTAAAAAAGTGATCTCCCAGTTTGAGGAATGAAAACTACTGTATTTGACAATAAACACCAACAGATAACAAACAGCATGATGCATCACCTAAGACATGTTTTGAACCCAAGTTCAGCTATCTTGTCAATACAACAGTTTTAGAAAACAGGTTTTTAAACCAGTATATATAAAGTACAAAGAACAAATGTAGTGTTATGGCATTTGCCCAACTTAAATATAAAAAATAAAGAGGTTTCATGTTTCAAAGTGAAAGTAGTTATAGTAAAGTGTAGAAAGTAAATGTACAACACTAAACACAATCCAATAAAAGTTAACTTTAAGCTGTTTTACACCTGCTCCCATTGTGTACACTAAATTAAAAATACGGAAATTGACACAAACAAGTTGAGAATGGACAATAAGATCTATAAATGTTAATATGATATGAAGAATATGGCAAGTCCAATAAACTTTTATCAGCATACTCTTCTCCACAAGCTAATCTCACAGAGACCAGATCTCCTTTGTTGCCCTTCACACATTTAACATATAAAACACAATTTATGAAAGGTGAAAATTATATTTTTGGTTTGCATTCACAAACTTTTCACTTCTAAACAATGTCCACTTGTGCTTTATCTAAATAACCTGATAGAATTCATACAGATAGATAAACTACTCTGATCAGAAGTCAATGGGTGGTAGTGGGGGTAGTAATGGTTAAATGTACTTGTGTTTGATTAAGCTCGCATGTCAATCTACCTCAAATCTCTTCACAAAACGAGTCACCAAAGTAGTGACTGAATGCAGGAAAACATGGTAGCTTATTTGAACAGTACTAGCAACAAATAAGATCTAAGGTCACTTACATTTCAAATTCTTGACAGATTAAGTCTTAGTAACACAACTTGGAAAATTAATTTTGTACTCTGCAATATACTAACTATTGTAGATAAACTAGTTGCTTTTCATTAGATTCCTTAGAGATTGATTCCTCACATGGTCAATAACATCTCAACCGATTACAAAAAACTTCAATAGAAAAACATTTTGTAAAATCCAATAAACTTTTACCAGCATACTCAATGCTGCTTTATAGCAAAGATAATTGCTGCTTTATAGCAACAATCTTCGGAGTTAAGCTACAAGGAAAATGGGGTTCATGTCATTTAATTTTGAGATGTCCATGTTTCTGCTGAAGGATAGTATAGCATGAACCAGAGATTTAATAATGATAATCCTTGCATTTGATAAAAGCGCTTTAGCCGTTGAGACGTCTCAAAATGCTTCACAGAATATACTGTAAAGTCAATTTGTGGGTGAAAAAATATGAATGTACTTAAATGTACACAAAACAGAGGAGGCAGGGAATAAGATTTCTATTAAAAGTGGCCACGTCATAAGAGTTATTGATTCTTTCCCACAGTACCTCGTCAATCCAGTTTGTAATACCTACTAAGCAAATAATGACAGGGTTCAATATAAATTTTGAAATTACTGAATCGATTGTGGTTCAAAACCATTTTATTCCCCTCACAGTGTAGTCTGTTCCCAATCAACTGAAGATTGCACTGGACAGAGCAGCCAGTAGCAGTTATCTATTTCTGCATTACTTCAGTTTAAATGTCTTGAGACAACATTATAACTTGAACCTTTGTATTGTGCCGGAGTGCCGGTCTCCGTTAACATGGGACAGACCACAGATTCCAAATGAGGTAGTCCTTTCCTCAACTTATAGGATATTGGGCCTTTCAAGCGAGAATAGTTGCTTCACTGTTGAATCCATTTCAAAGTGAAAAGCCCCATAATATGTAGGAAAAACACAATATTCATTTAAAAGAGAATGTAAAACGTGACACTTGTAGTCCATCAACATTTGTGCATCAATTTATTCAACTAATTCCTTAAAAAGGCAATAACTATAAACCACCCTCCTACCACCTTTTTTTTTAATATATAAAGCAATCGTTCCCTTTTTTGCCACTTGTGTGTTATGGTCCATGTGCACAAACAGTAAATTCAGGGCATTAAGAGTGAGAACCAACCAATTCTGAATACCTGATTAAACTAACCATTTCTGTCTACAATCACCAATGCACAGCATTTGAAAACTAACAAATTTAAAATATGAAATAAAATTCTCATTTTCTGATTACTTGGAATGGACTATGTAATGCCTCACTTTAGAAATTTTGAAGTTTGGTACAGTTGAATTCCAACAAAGATATTAGATATCTGCCTATCTATATGATGTCATTTTGACGGGTAACTGGAAGAGATGGGGAACAAGGTTTGAGATTTAGATTTCCTTAAATATTGCATAGAACTTTGGGGCAATAGACATCAAAACTCCATAGACTAACACATTTTTGGATTTACAGTGAATAATGCAGATATCAAGTTATACTAAATTTACACTACCCTCTGTTTTCTATTACTAAAGCGCCCATGAACCACACCAATGTGATTGTCTCCCATTTTCTCTTTAAACAATGTTATTGTCTTGGGTATAGAATTTCTGGAAGTTACATTGATGCTATTATTAAATGCGGACATTTTCAAGTGAGACCTTCCTGACCAGAAGACAGGTCAATTTGCTCAAAAGGAATTCAACCTTTGAATGGTATCTGAAAGTGAGCGAGAAAGCCAGGGAAAGAGAGCACAAGCACAAAAGGAATGAGTACTTTCTCAAAAAACCAAAAATAAAAGTTATTAGAAAATATAGCCAATGACTGGTGATCATTCAGCACAGGACACTTTTGGACACTAAATCCTCAAATATCTGCCGATGCACCACATTTGCAAAGTTTAATACATGGTGCTATTTAGATTTTCAATATATTTTGTGTTGGGCAACAAAAGGAGATGCTGTCTGTTCAAGAAGGACACCATGTATTCTCAATTGTGATATCAAGACTGAGTTAGACAACTGGGTTTTTAAACAAGTTTCCAAAATTCATAAGGTAAGACTACAAGAAGAGGCTCATACTATTAGTTATAAAACTGAATTGCACTAGGCCAATGTGAGGCATGGTATTGGATCCTAGAGGGAACAAACTGTTTAAACTGTGCTTAAAGGGCACTCCAATACAACAAGAAACAGCAGTTCAGTTCTTTCACATGAAGCGGTTATATAGTACGGCATTTTGTTCAAGGTGGTCACAGTTATATTCTCACAGCACCTTGTTAAAGCAGCAAGGAGTTATTTTTAATCATTACAACACAACATAATATCTAATTTGATTAATATATTGGTGCCTGACCCTAGTAAAACCAGATTAAATTAAGAATGAACAACACTGAAATAACCTGAGATATTACATGAAAAATTACAAAATACTCAGGATGAAGGGAAAAAGTATATGTAACAGACAGAAGAACCAACAGTTCATCAATGAACATACTCACCTCAGAGCCCTGCTAACAAGCATCTGACTCTCACAGTTGCAATTCTACATATGGTTCAGTGATTAGCAAAAGAGCAAATGTTTTACCCACCCACTGACAAATTGACAAATCTTAGTATTAAATCTCCAGACTTCACGCTCCCCTTGTTAGTTCTACTTATACCGAAAGTTACATTCAGACAAAATTATAGTCTACGTAATGCCAAAAATAATCGGAATGCGTTGTGATAAGATTCCCTAACATTTCAGTCCTCAACAGTTCGATGACATGCATATATAATTAATTCAATTTTAATTTAAAATGTTGATGTTGAAAAAAAGGGCTTCCCCAGTGATTCAGTGAGCAAATGTATGTCGTGGCATGACACTGGATCATACTGAGTGGTTCACTGACAATTCATCATTCTGTGCTGTTGATCACAGCATCATAAGCTTGCTTTACATCACTGCCCTGCCCTTTGACTACTCTCATTTTTGACAACACAAATCAAAATGGAGATCATGTTCAGCCCAATAGTGTGACTAAATTTAGACTGTGAATTTCATTATAGTTTGTTATATTAAACAGATAAAAGGATAAAATCGGTTTACGGGTCCCAAAAATGTCCTCCATAATATTATGCAGAGGAAAGTGAAGGAGTTGTATGATTTAAAGGCAAGGGAGAAACGTGTACACGTTCTAGCGTCTCAAGTCAGTTACACTGCGTTAGAATTGCTGGTTGGAGGCAGTATAGAAGCAGTTATGTTGTGTAGAAATTATTTGACCTCTTGGATGGCAATAATGGATACATGCACTACTCAGAACATCCCTGGAGGAAAACTACACACGATTTAAGATTATGTAACATTTCAGTAGAATACAGTCCTTTTAAAGTCACTAACCAACTGAGTAACTACAGTATGCAAGGCTATGATTCATAATCCCTAACCAGATGAAACCACCACCCAGAAAATAAGTGTCTGCAAAAAACAGCAACTTCATACCAAATAGTTCTTCAATGCTAATTCAGTTCAGTCCAGAACACCCGATAAAGTACTAAAGCTGCATCGTCCTAAAATTTAATATAAAATTGTACTCAAATTAAAGAGTTAAAAAGAATTTTGGTTTAGTTTTGCTACTTTCAAATTGACATTAAAAGTATGGAAGAATATCCTTCAAAATAATTTGTTTAAAAAAGTTAAAGCAATGCATTTAACCATATAACTGCTATTTTTTAAACAAATTGAACTGTTGTACGTTTTCTTATAGTTTTTCTTTATCCTGTGCCACAACGTGGGAGAGGGGAACGTGCAGAGCAACACTGGCAAACATCGTTACAGCTCTTTCGCTATGAAACCAGTTTGTGTCACTTATACATCTTACACAGGAGGAAGCACTTGAGCCCAAATGCCTTGTGTTGTGGCAATTGCATGATGAAAAGAGCAATTCTGCAGACTTAATGAGGACATCTTCACAACTTGTCATATTATTGTGAATATGGTTGAATGTTACATGATTTAAAATTTTCATTATTGTGTTTGATTATGAAAGATGGAATGTAACTTCTTATATTTCCAAATTAGTGTTTTAATGAACTCCCATTACATCTAACAAACCCTATGTCTCTTCTCAGGTCAACTACATCTGTGGAAGCTAGCAGGACAGGTCACATAATCCATTTGACCATGAAGAATTGGGACAATATGTAGCCACTTATTTTCTAAGTTGCAGAGCTCCTTGTCCCAGACATAATTCTGGTGGCTTAGCTGCACTTCACTTTATACTTGAGGGCTAAGCTTGCATTTAACATTGTGGCACAGTATGCAAAGTTACTTGCTTAATAAAATGCACTTTCAATATCAATGTAAATGTGATAAACAGTACATCTATACACTTATTACCAACATCTATAGTGTTCTATTTCTCATATTAGCTCCAAAACCTTGAAATAACTTTTTTCTCCCTAAAACGTCTTAAGTGAACAAAATAAACAGCAACACGGTTTGGACAGTTCCTACATATTATCTTATTGATGGGAGGAAGTAGTGTTTGAAATAATTATCTACATGTACACAAGATGGCTCTTTTCTAATAGATAAAATGATATTACATTAATAGGCATTTTGTGTCATAACCATAAGCTGCCAACTTTCGAGGAAATACTATTAGTTGAGGGCTGGTACTAGTTCCTGGGAAGGAAACAAAGCTTTCAGGTCATGCTCATAAGGTTCTCTGTATCACCTGAGAATAAAACCAAACCTGGCTGTACCTTCACCCCACCAGGAAAAAAAAAGTCAGTTCTTAGACCACACAAAACTACCCACCACTAACTCACTATTCTTAACTGGGAATATCAGGAAACAAGGATTAGGCTGCTCAAGAGAAAGTGTAAAGTAGCTATTCTGCAGCCTCAAGTTAAATTAGAATAGACATGCGTAGGTGCTTTCCAGCCATTTGTTGGATTACAGTTGTGACGACAAATACTCTCGAACTGTTAGCTGAATGAAGACAAGGCCTCAGCTGTTGTAGGAGGAAATTCATTGCTTTCAGCTCTTTCACATGCAGTATTAGAGACATTGGTACAGTCTGCAGATTGGAGCCAATCAGACACATTCCTCAGCTGACATTAGAAGAGGATTGATGTACTCAAAACCTTCAAATTCTGATTGGTCAATCTTCTTTACAGCATCCCTAAAGAAATGGACAAAACAAAGATCAGAAATCCATTAACACAGCAAATTTCTTTCAAAGCAGCATTGAGTTCCTTTAATGCAACAAGTTGTCCCTGGGTGTCTTGGGAAGATTGCCCTTTAGAGTTGAGCAACGTTAAGAGATTTCCAATACCCAAAATGCAAACGAATAAGGAAGTTGGTAGATGGGACTTTGAGGTGGTTTAATTCAACATTTTCAAGATCATGAAGAGAAGTTACAGATCATGAATAAGATTGACAAAGTTGAGATGAAAAAAAAAGCGTGAATGGCAATGAACGAGCATTACTTACTCATCATCCGGAGTGAGCTGGACGGGTTCATTCGTGAACTGCGAGTCAAAGTTGTCGAGTCCATATTCACCTGAGATATGGGGCTTGAAAGGTGGAATGATCTGTCTCTGTTCCATCTAGATTTTATAAAAAAATATTTAATTCTCAGATTGATTTTACATTTGCGGTCAGCCTAGCTCTAATGGTTTCAATGATTCATATGGGAAAAGAGTTGGAAGTATTCTCAGCCAACCTACTTAAGATCATATGTCCATAGCATACAAGGGAACTAAGTTAACAATTGCATTCAAAGGTGGCACATGAATGGCTGATTTAAATGAAAAACTTCACAATACCTCAGTAACAGAACTCTTCTAAAGATGGGGCTAAGAAGCAGTAAAGCTTCCTTTAATCTGCTAGATGTAACCTGAAAGCTGACACTTAACAACTGGGAATGGAATATTTTTAAATTTTATTCACCCAGTCTGATATCAATGAAGGGAATGTAAATTCACCAAAAATACAAATTTTGAAATTGTTCTGATTAGAGTTAATGACACTATTGAGTCACTAAACTCTACAGTGTGTGGGAGCTCAATTAACATCGGTAGACCACAGTCATTAACCCAGATGTTTCAGCTTCAACTGCAAATGTTAATTCAACTCCCTTGCACTGTTAAGATTCTGTCATCTCCAAATTCATTTTACTCATGGGATGAGGATTCACTATTCAAACAACCCTGTTAAACACAAATACAGACACAGAAATAAAAAAAATCTTAATTATAATCCTCTGTAAAAATTTAATTTTTGCTTCTTTACACTTATTTAAAAAGGAATGATGATGTCAACGATCCTGAAGTTGCTCTTGACCGGTTTAGGATCGAATAAGTACAAATTGAATTTTGCCGCCAAACTCAAATTCTGGCACCGCTTGTTTAATGGTGCAGTGTTTTTAAAGTGAGCGAAAAAGGTCTTTTGCCAGCTAGCATATAATGGTTTATAAATGAGACACTGTGTGAATAATGCCAGTCAATAAATGTTTAACATCTCCACTTAAGTGAACATCAGGAAAGCAATAGCTATCATGTGCCTTTGCGCTAACCATTTAACTGTTGAAAGTAAGTCTTGATCTGTAGTCAGCAACCTATCCACCCAGTACCATCAATAACCTATTGACACAAAGCCAAAGAATCTGATCCTGAATCCTCAAAGATTAAAGTTGAGGCCTAACATTTTTCATCTTTACTGAGGGTTTGATGTTACTGATCTTAAACATGTTATATCGTAATCAATAGAACAAGTCTGCACATAGGATATAATAGATATACCTAAATGTAGTCTACCATTACTCCCCATTCATTCAACCTCCAAACAAACAAAAAGTATCCCAGAGTATTATCCAGAGGAAAGTCTCGGAGGACCTGCAATTTCAGAAAAGCTTGAAGTATTGCAATCCTGAATCATTTAACCACCTGGTTGCTAAGTTAAGGTAACCATGCTTGAAAATAGCTTATTTCACCCACAAAATACACAGTCAATTCACTTTACAATATATTCTGTGAAGCGCTTTGAGTCTCAATGACGTGATAAGGCATTATATGAAATGCTACGATTATTATAAACTACCCTGTTTGTCGTGCAAATGGCTTTCAATGGGATCCTATTTGTTGGTCAAGCTCCACAATCAATCCATCTTGTTCTAATGCTGTTTGCAATTCCCCTCCTCATTTGTTACAATTTGCTCCATTTTTCTCCTTTCCCCCACTTCACTCACCAAATCCCAGTCGACGTTGCGGAAGAAAGGATTTCCCTGAATATCAGCAAATCCTGTCTGTGGGTGACAGCCAAGTCGTTCTGCTGGATCCTGGAATAAAAACAGAATGATCAGCAGACAAATAAACATAAGAGTTGGGACTCAAAATCACGTCAAAACAAAAATGACTGATGAATGAAGCTGGAGCTAGGAGACACTGGTACTCGGGAATCCTGGAGAGATCAATGATAGCAACAGGAAAAAAGAAACTGGAAATTCAACATATCAGGAGGTGTGAAAGGGAGGACACATGGAGAGAACTAAAAACTTTTAAAAGGCAGGTATTTTAATGTTGAATTACCCAATTTACCCATTGTGGATAGGAGAATGCATCCATGAAGGATTCCAATGGCTCATTTTCAAAACCACAAATTTTCATTATTAAAATTATTTCAGGAAGGCTTCAAGCTTGATTGCAGTTTTGCTCACAGTGGTGTAAGGATTTATTGCTAACCTCTTACTAACCATTTATACTGCGCTTGAAGGGAACTATCATTATTTGGAAAGGGAAAGAGCGTGGGTGAGCTCAATGTTAAATTTCAGACAACAAGATCAAGTGCAAGGGACAAATTATGCTTTTGCAAACACGTTTTGACAACCAGAAGGAAATGTTCTGGCAAGTTGCCCCTCCAAATACAAATAAACTACAGAGACCTCTACCCTAGCTTAACTTGTCACTATCACCTAAGTCATCATGCCAGTTTCTCATAAAATTAGTAATAAGGGACTTCACTTTACTCATCACTCTGCTTAGCACGTAACTCTTCGCATTGTAGAAATTCTTGCAAGTATCTACAATGTAAAATTGATCGGATAACTCGGCCTATAAGATAGTGTCTTGCATCAGAGACCTCCCACCTTATCCTATGACTGCTGCAGTACCCTGGGCTCGCATTCTCGGATGCAGTGAGGCCTCCAATAGATTAGAAGGCCCCTGTGAGCTCTGTGATACATCTGAGCCTGCACGCTCAACCTCTGCCAAGCGCCCGTTTTATTGGAGGGTCACGCTTTGGCCCCCCACTCCCCCGCCCTATCCCAAGACAAAGGTTGAGTACACACGCTCAGATGTATCCGTTGCAAGCGGGAGCTGCTTGAGCAGACAAAGCAGAGCGGCGCTGAGTGGTATTCTGCGATACATACCCAATAGGCATCAGCACGACTGCCAGTTGCTCAATATAGGTACCAGTGTTAAATAAAATCTTTTATTTTTACTGGTTATATTCCATCTTTGGGAGGATAGGCAATGACTCAAGAGTACAATATTAACTCCAATATCGATTAAGAGTACAAAGGTGTGTTGCTAATCTACCAAGAATAGAAGTTGTACCACTCTTCTTTTCAATATGTTATGAGGACCTATGGCTTACTCATCACTGGGCCTTTTCCCTTGGGAGTGACAAATTATCCAGAGTTTACAGTAATTCTGAAGTGATTGAGGAGGTAAGCTATTATTCAATAAAAGGCAGACAAGTTAGTAGCTTATAGGACTCAAAAATATATCTGTTGATATCAATTATTATGTAAAAATTGAAGCAAATTTTTTTTGACAAAGCTATGCAGCAGTAAAACTCCAACAGTAAATTGCTATGCCGTTGAAAATTGCTATATTTCTGCAAAAACCATACCTTGTTCAGAAATCCTTTCAACACACTTGCAGCTTTGACAGAAAGCGAGCGTGGAATACGGATTTGCTTTTCCAAGATCACTGAAATGCACAAAGAAAAATACATCAGTTGTGTTTTATGAGATGTCCTCCTGACATGAAACGTGCAATATAAATGGAAAATTTTTGCACGCCCAGTCTAATGTTCATCATCATCACTAGCACTAAAAATTACTCAAAACATGAGCCCCGTAAATCTAAATGTTTGACTGAATAAACGGTATTCGTTTACAATTCTTTACAATGAATGTTTCATTTCAGAGTTAAAGATTCCCAGAACTATCCTTGCCAAAGAGAGAATAAATCCCAACAAAAACGTTTGCTTAAGCTCCTTTAAAAGTATTTCCTATGTTATAGTTTGTATTTGCAATCTGAATTAGTGGTTTCCTAACTTGTGTAATATGCCATTTTGAGAGTCTCAAGTAGTGAAGGGCAATACTACACAAACTAATACAAGTGGAAAATTATTCGCCCATACACCATGGACCTAATATAGAAAGAGTACAACGTTCAGATCGTAGGGGACATGATCCACTTATGAGATGAGCTGTAAGACCATTGTAGGAAAAAATGAACCATAAACCCCGAAACCATAAGAGTCACCAGAAAAAATAGTCCATAATAAATTAAAACTATGCATCTGGGTTTGGTGGTTGTAGGGGAGGGAGGGGAGAAAAAAGTAAAAAAAAGATGTTCATTAGGTAGACAAGAGGGATTAATATCTACATTGTATAGAAATCTACCTTCAGCAATGCATTGAGACAGCAGGAACAGGATGGAGAAAAATAGGGAAAAAATAGTCTTTCACCTTGGAAAAGATAATCTTCTGTATTTTGATCAGGATTATCAGAACTTCCAACAATATCAAAAGGTGATCGTCCTGCCATCATTTCAAACATTAGCACTCCGAGAGCCCACCAATCCACGCTGAATCCTGCAAATGAATAAAAGTTATTACATCTACCCAAAGGAGGCAGTGGTTCTGGCGCTATTACTTTCTGCCACTCTCCATTCCTACATCAGGTTAAAGAATCCTTCAAAAATCCCAGGGAGATCAACCATAACATATATCCTCGTACGAAATTGCTACCTGTGTGAAGTCCAAGTCTTTAAAGATATAAAACCACACCACAGTAAAAAGAAGCTTAAAATAGATGTCTGAATTCAATATTTGGTACCTAGTATTAAATCAGTTGTGACAAGGTACTTTTTAGCCAATATTTGTTCTGTGGTATTGAGGATTGATAGGTGTTCAGTTGCTGGTTGGTAAATGAGACAACCTGCTCTGGATCTTATTGTGCCCAAATAGCTAATATATCAGAAACACTAAGTGGCTGAGTATTTTAATTGTTCCTCCCCTAATGCCATTCAAGAGATAGGTAACACATTGCAGGCACCGTTGCAGACAAACTTTCTGTAAAGTCTGCAGCTTATTGTATTCACAAAACTACATGCTTCTTTATACTTCTCCCTTTTCACTCCCAATGTATATTCAAATTAGGAACTGCCCAAACATTACCATAATCCTCTCCTCGCAGAATCTCTGGGGCGATGTAATTGGGAGTACCACAGAATGTACTGGTTGCGTCTCCAGGCCTCAAGCCTTCCTGTAAATGAAATTCAGCAAAGCATTAATTATAATCATTATGCAAATTAATACACTGCCGAATTCAAACAAAATGTGATTTTCACCGTTCCTTGATCACATTACATCCTTTAAAGATTTATGAGAAGTACATAGAGTAGACATGTAACAAACAGCATTCTTCTGAACAATTGTCAGATCATATTTTGCTAAAACAAAAAGTCACCAAAATATAATTTTGTTTCACAGACTGTCCTACACTGTCACCACTTTCTCGTTTTCCAGCTAGTATGTAGGTTACACACTTCTCTTTGATCACTACCTAATCTGTTCCATTTTAGGATAAGGGGCGCAAGGCCAGTCCTGCCACTATTTCCTTTCAAAGACTGAAGGATACTGCTGCACAGGACCGGCATATATTGTTCAACAGTAGATCAATATAGAATTTACTCAGCATTATGGTTGGGAGTCCAACACATTGTCACTGGGTCTACTGAGCAGTACTGACCTGTGGTCTGTCATCTGAAAACATGACCTTTTCAGCAAATGCAACCCATTTAATGAGATTTTTTATTAATATAAATCTGGGGAAGTACTATTGAAATTATGAGTTCATCGACAATAAATTGTATCGACTACTCAGGGTGGGTGAACCTTACCTTACACATTCCGTAGTCAGTTAGTTTAATGTGTCCTTCAGAGTCCAACAAGACATTGTCCAGTTTCAAATCTCGGTAAATGATCCCATGTTCATGAAGATAATTTAAAGCCAGGCTGATTTCTGAAGAGTAAAACCTATCACAATTTAAAACAAAAATCGAATTATGTAGTAACAGTGACAACATAGAAATATCCACAAGCCACATGGTTAGAGTAAGCCTGGAACGAAGCTGGAAACGTTAACTCTGATCTGTCTCACCGGTCAATTTTTATGAATCTGCTAGAGCAGCAGTAAAACCAAGGTTTTCGCCTTAAAAGGAATTAATTGATTCGTAAACCATAACCCAATGATGGGATTCTAAAAAGTAAAACACTCGATAAAACTCGTTTTCTGCAAGGCTGCTCATGAATTTGAACTTTGACATTTATTTTGATTAATTTATATTTGGTAAGCAGCCTTTCATCTCGTGCATCTTTTAAAATAATTCCACTTCCTCCAAAACAGCTTAACTTCCATCGTGTACCTGGCATGTTCTTCTGGCAGTTTTCGTTGTCGCTGCATATGAAACATCAAGTCACCACCATTGACGTATTCAATGACGAAAAACAACCTGCAGTCAAAAGATGTGGATCATCCATTAAAGCAACTGATTTCTCCTTCATCAGAAGAATGTTACTTTTCAACTTTAAAGAAACACATTCGAGAAGCTAGTAAGTGTAGCTCTGGATTAATTGGTATTAAAAATAAATAGAACTTTTAAAAAAATAATACTTAAAGCAGTCAGCTAGTTATGAAAGCAGTCAGCTTGTTATGAAAGCAATGCAATTTGCTGTAACCGCATCACCTCATTTACGTCTCACTGATAGCTGTTCAGGACCAATGGATTTAATTACAACAGCATCATCAATGGTCCAATATTTATTCTGACCCTGTCTACACTGCATCACCACACTTGTGATTTATTTAACCACTATACCCCACACTAATCACTCGCTCCACCAGCAGAGCAAATGTACACACTTTATTGATTAGCACTTAAACAGATTTACATTTTATCAAAGCAGAGGCAATTCTACAATCTTCCTGTACCTGCTCTCAGTCTGGAAACAGGAATGCAGTCCCACTAAGAAGGGATGGTTTGATGCCTGCTCAAACACATGTTTTTCTGTCTGCACCCAATCAATATCCTGTTAAAAAAAGGCAGGAAGAGGTATCATTACATATTAGGTCACACACAATCCACATTTCATGCCAAACCAAAATAACTCGGGTAAAAATTATTAAGAAGTCATGCTCTATCCTCAAACCAGATGGGAACAAGGGGCATTGTCATTCTTAATAGAAACAATGGGGAGAATAGAAGAATTGTATTTCCGAAAGCGAGGGAATCATTGGGAGGGGAATGGGCTACCACAAGTAGTTATTGATGCTAATAGCTAAACCTACACTCAATGCTGGAGCTAAACCTAGTTTGCATTCACTTTGTGACAGTGTTGATGATTGTGTAGTATTATGTATCGCAGAAACGTATTTAAAAGCCTTTGTGTCTTCAAGAAAATTAGGGACACTTAAAAGATATACAGTATAATAAAGGTACAACTTGATATGGGGAACATGCAGGAAAAAAGGATTGGAGTAGATAACTTCAATAGGGAAAGGTAAGATGGGCTAAACGGCGACCTCTGTACTGAATTTTATACACTTCCATAAAATTGCTGTTTAGCTTACTTTATTTAATCATGAATGCCTAAACTGGAGGGAGCTTTTCCACTTTCTCCGCTGTTCATCGCCTACATTTATTGTTGGGTAAAATTAAGGCACAAACTATAATGCTGCGATTCCCATACTAGTTTTCTCATATTCCCATACTGCTCTCAGCTCTAAAAATCAGTTTACAATTCTCTTGATTTACACTGCAGCAGATCAGAGACTGTAATGGGGCGCAAGAACTCGGCGATATCAATGCTGGCATCCTCTGTTACTCCAGGGTACAACCAGCTGACTTCAAGATAGAATCTACCTTGCTAAGATTTATGATCAATATCATATACTTCATATCTACACAAATTTAAACCATACCCAGGAAAAGCAATCTTCTTTGATGGCAAAGCTAAGATTGAAATCTTGCTAAACATTCAACGCTGAGCTAAACCTACTTTGCATTCACTTTGTGTCAGTATCGATAATTCTGTAATATTATGTACCACACAAACTTATTTAAAAGTCTATAGTAGAAGTGGATTCTTTCCAAAGTACAATTAAAAGAAGCTGCTTGGATTTGTGACTCTTCACTCAAATAGATATTTAGTAAGAGTATTTTCCCATGGCTACAAGGTTGCCGGGAACTCAGGATGTTCTGTGGCCTTGGGAGGCATTTGTTGTGACAAACAGCCACAATGGCCTTGCTAATTTAGAATCCTGGCATTCTTACGAGCTGAAACGCCAAAGAAAATCTCCTTTCTCTCTCCAGCATAATATTGAATGCTATGAATCTTTCAGTATTTGTTCTGTAGAAGCAATGTGAACTTATATTGGATTTCTGAAATGCTTTGAACAAGTGGAAATGGAAATCGATTGTTCGCACCTCATCATCATTAACCAACTCTTTCTTCACAACTTTCATTGCATAAATACGCTCTGTCTTCTTCAGTCGGACCAGGAGGACTTTGGCATAGCTGCCTCTGCCAATGACACGGATCAAATCGAAATCAGGAATGCCTAAACTGGAGGGAGCTTTTCCACTTTCTCTGCTGCTCATCGCCTGTCAAAGAAAGAAGCACAATCAGTTAGCAGCTTAGTCCTAAATGCACCAAATCATGAATCTGAGCATGTTTCCCAATGACTGGAGGCAACATCCAACTATTTACTTTGCTGAGAGGCTCAATTATATTTGCTGGGTATTCTAAACACTGACAATCCTTTAATTTAAATTAATCCTTTAATCCTTCACAGCATATTCTGTGAAGCGCTTTGAGACGTTTAGAAGACGTGAAAAGTGCTACATCAAATGCACGGAATATTATTATAATCCTGGTCATTTCATCTCTCAATTAATTCATCCACTCACTACCCCGTGGAAGGGGTTGCCTTTATTATGCAGCCTTAAAATAACAAATAGTCTAATCTCATATGACTGCTCTAAGTTTCACACATTTGATAGAATTTTGTTGGAACGTTTCATTTGACTGATAACTTTGTTGTGCTGTAGTAACAAATGTCTAACAAAAGTCTAAATAAATGCATAACCCTATCGAAAACTCTTAGCACAATTATTCTATTTCAGATTTTTATTTTCCCATTATACACAGCGCCCGACAAAACAGATCATTTTGATAGCATAATAATTATTCAAAAGTATTGTTGTAAAATGAAGCGCTCAGTTAATGAATAGAGTTGGTGCTGTAGCTTCTTGGGTTTGACATTTATGACTGTATAATGGGAGTTTGTGTCAGTTACCCTCAGTAACTTATTCAAGTCAGGAGCTTCCTCCAATGTCATTTGCATCAATTGTTGAAAAGCTACAGCAACAGTTGGGAAGAGAACAAAAATAATCTTAATATCAACTCTCTTCAAAAGCCTTTGAAGCTTAGGCTTCCTTTGAAAATAAGGTTTCAGCTGTCAACAAATTACAATATCTTAGACTTTTAGACCTACAAAGAAATCCATTACTATTACAGATTATATTAGAGATTATTAACCCAGCATTGATTCCATACCTCCTTCTCCTCCCCAACATGGTCCAATTGATCCTGGCTGGATGATTTGTACGGAATCACTGCAAAACATAAAGCAATGTATATTTTAGTGAAGACATCAAAGAGACACAATATGCAATAAGCAACATTTTTATTTGTTTCATACTCAAGTGAAAAACACAAAAAACACAATGCAGTTATAATAGAAGTGACACTGTTCACTACTATTGTGCACTACTCTGAAGAATACAATGCAGCAGCACACATTTTATCATATCTTATCTTCTGGAATAGCATATATTATTGAAAAGAAAGATAGGAATTTAAATACTAATATTAACAACTCCAGATGCCATTATAAAATCTGCATTTCATAAATAACTTTGTAAAAGTCGGAATTTTTTTTATATAGATACCCTGCAGCACAAATGTCTCGCAGCACTGGATTTCCAACTTTGGTTCTCTCACTGCAAACCACTGCTTGGCTAACACCCAAGCCTTGTGCTAGGTCAGTGAACTAGAAAATCCCAGCAAATTCTCGCTTGAGCAATTGAAATGAATCTTCAGCGCAAACCTTTTAATATTTATTTTATCCCGTCTTCCATTACTGAATATACTGTACCCCATACACCATAAGTAGTACCGACTAAGATATAGATTTTTTTCCATCAATGCAGTAATTGCGACTCTGCATTGGAATGTTTTCAGTGAGAAGAACTAGCTATGATTACTTCACTGAGAATTTGGGGGGGTGGGGGGGCTTTATTAGATTTTCATTTGGCTTCTTTCTGGCTGATGTCAGGGTCGGCGCTGACCAAGACAAAGATGCCTTTAAGAACCAAAACTATTTTATAGATTACAGGGTGAGGGTTCAATAGAGACTGTCCATCATAACTCAAGTAATGGCTTCCTTCCATAGAACATGTGTGGTACTGCCAGCAATAGTTGTCCATGGATTAAGGCTCTGTCCCTGATTTCAATGACAACAATTGCAGACCTCAAAAGGAGGAAGGTAGACTGAACATTTTTACAGTAGGAAATAAAAATTCTGCTTATAATAAGCAGCATTATTATATATATTATAAAATTCTGCTTACCTGCTATGTTTTCTACATTATCTGATGGTGGCATCATAGGTAACCCAATCTGCTCCTAAACAAAAACCATAAAGATTTGATATTCAGCTCAAAACTACTTGCTACAAAAATTTACTGAAACAAAACTCTGCACGAACACTGCTTGCCTACTGATAATGCTTTATATATAATCGTCTGTAAAACAATGTTCATCAAACAAAATTCCCATTTTAAACAAAAAAGTTTGTTGAGATAAGACTGTCTGAATTTAATGTTTAATTCATTTATTTCAATCCACAAGCAATTTAAAAATTAGGTCTGTGTTGAACTGTTGCAAGGCTCTGACATTTCCCTGAAATCAAAGTTTTGTATATCTCTCCAAATGTAAAACTAAGGTTTATTGAGCTGAAAACTATCTGGACATTATCTAATATACCAGAAAGTTCTAATGTATAGTTTTATTATTCCTACACTTAATGTTGGAAGAGTGCCATTTTCTGGCAATGCAAAAGCCAATAAATTACACTAGCAATTTCCATAAAAAAGAAAACTAATAGTAAACTGTACATTTATTTTATTCTGTGGAAGGAAAAAGCAGAACTGTGAGAAACAAAACAACTGGGCATTGTATACTTACAGCATGTCGTCCACATTCAATTGTGACCAATTTGTGACACTTCTTATGGACTAGGAGCTTGCAGTTGGTACATTTATAGCCCTGACGACCCAGACCCCAAATGCGGTCAGTACAGAATGCACAGTGAGCACGCTAAGAGAAAGCAAGAGAACAAGGTCAGTCAGATACAAGAACCTTTATTAATAATAAGTAACAGATTGAACTAATCACCTTCCCAAATACCGTATCCCATGCTGTTAAATCAAACTGAATTCGGAACTACAGAGATACACTCAACTTGAAACTTTTACGCACACAGACTGCTTATGTGTGTCAAGTCAAACCAGATCTAAAACAGTAATGGGCTGGGGAATAAAGCATTTTTAATTGGCAAGTACATACCTCCAAGGAAAATACAAGGTATTTTATTTTCAAGCAAGCCATTTAAAAAGAAAGGCTCTGTGAAATGAAACTCTGTCCCCTATATTCTGTGCCATGAGCAAGTATCAGCAGTCTACTCGATTGTGCAAGGCTTCACACCCAGCATGATCCAGTCCTCAGACAAACTCCACACATGCGCACTCAATCCAGTTACTCGTGGCACAAGCCCAGAGAACAAATGCTGATGACAATTTGTCACAAACTGGCAGCTTCACTCAGACAAGACATAAAGATAGTCTGTGTGGAAAATGGAAATATTAATTGGTGCTTTAGCTCGTAATCTTCTGTCATATACATGGACATTTAATAATGATTAATGGCATCAGAAGTGCTCTTTTCAGCTTTGGGTCAAGAGAATTGCTTCAGGAGAGTTTATTTTACTTGGCTCATGTTTTAATAAATTTTGAATGCTTGATACAGACAAAGAAAGGTGTTGAAGAAAGAGAAAAAAAATTTAATAATGATGTTAATGCCCAAATATATAAAATGTAATTGTTCTCACTCGATTGAATCTTTTGGCTTGGAAAGTGTGTCCATTTACACAGTACAGCTTTCTCCAGCGCCGTGCACCTCGTCTATAAATGGATTCTATAGATAAAGAAAACACATATTGAATCAAAGAGGCTATAGCCAACGCAACAAAGCACACGAGACATCCTCGCAACATGAAAGATGCAATGTAAATGTAAATTATATTGTACCTTTGCTCTAATATTGTAACATTCGATTAGATCAATGTATGATCTGTACCTCAACTCCAATTGGAGTCCTGTAGCCTAGTGATTAGAGCACTCATCTCGCAAGCAAGAAGACCCGGGTTAAGGGCGAAACGTTGAGCAAGTTTCCTTACTTCATACGCCTCTGTTTGCCTAACAGTGAGTAGTAACCCGGCTGTTAGTTGATTGGTGGAACACTTTTCCGGGGATAATGATCCCTTCAAGAAAAAAATAATATGATCATTCAGTCCATGACTGTTTGTGGGACACTGCTGTGCGCAATCGGCTACCGCATTTGGCCCACAAAATATACAGTCAATTAACTTTACAATATATTCTGTGAAGCGCTTTGAGACATCTAGAAGGTGTGATGAGGTGCAATATCAAACAAAAGGATATTACTATATATCCCTCTATTCACTGCTGATCAAATTGCTAACGGCATGATTCATCCAAATCACATCTGTGGCACTAGGTGGCAGTCAATGTCTAGACATTAACTAGCTTGATAGTAACTCACAGCATTTCACAGGCTGCTTACCATGGCATTCTGTCGTTTGAAAAATGGCTACAACATTGCCCATCACTGCCCTTCATTGCCCTTCCATGCTACAACATTGCCCATCATTGCCCTTCCATGCCACCCTTGTAAATGCACCTTAAGAGTTTTCCCACTACAGAATTAAGCTGTTTCTTGAATGAGCCCATCTCCTGGCCTTAACTATCTTCTTGGTATCTTGTTCCAGTTGTTCATCAAACCCAGTGAAAATATGTACTTGCTGCTGTTTGCCCTTTACTAACCAGAATCTGTACCATATTGCCCAGCTGCCACAGCGCAATTCAAAGTATTGTTGCAGGTTTACTTTCTTTATACTCTCCATTTCTCAGACATCTCTTTTTAAATCTGAGGAGACCAAATTTATTTAGCCAATGGTACTGGACTCCAGGTACACCAAACAAATGTTACAAAAGCTGCCAGAGTCAATAAACACAACATGGATTTCAGTATTCAGTCTTTAAAGCTCATTCATCAGTTTAAATGAGTCACTATAAAATTCAGTGCATTGGTTGTAGGGTGTAGAAATTACATCGAATGAAAAGTAAACTGATCATTCCTATGATCAATGTTAGCCTTTGGTTACTATCTTTACACAAAATAACTAATAACTGGTTTATGACATCTCTCTTTGAAGACAAGCTCTTCAAATGCAGGCATTAAGATTTCTAATTTGCAATGGCCAGCATGTAAAAATTAGATACAAGTATTTGAGCTTCACAATAAAAAGCCTCAGTGGGTTTTAAAGTGTGGAAGAAACTCAGCATTCTAAGCAATTAATAATTATGCTAGCAAAATTTGTAAAAGAAAAATATAAATATCACTTACTGTCTTCCCCAGGACAGGGCATGCCAGGCCGCTCGGGAACACAGGGAAATACTGTAGAGAGGAAGACCCAATCAGTGCCCAATATATAATAGATTACATAAACTCTTAACATACCCTGTGGAAGAGTTAGTGCCTTCTGCCTCACCTACACTGTCTCCCGGATTATAAATTCATAAGTTATACCGACTTAATACTACTGCTAGAATTTCAAAGCAAAGCCAGAGAGAAGGGACAACTTGCATTTACCGTATATTGCACCTTCACACAGATAGTGTCTTAGAACGCTTTTGACTCCAGGTAAAAGCACGAAGGTCTTTTTCCCTGATAACAGTGAAAGGTCTAAATTACTGTGGGGACATGAAGCAGAACGTGAAGAAAAATGTCACAAAGGTCCAGTGAACGAAGGTGTGACTTCAGGAGTTAGCTAGTTCAGGGAAATTAAGTATTGCAATTCAACTTGAATATTCAACATCCTGCATTTGGTGGAAAATGTATTACCTTTTATTTATAAACCATGTCCTCTCATACTTTCTGCACCATAAGCAAAGTGCTGTTCTATTTACAGAACAAGAAAAAAAGCAATGCAAGGCATCTAATATAAATGCTCTAATTACAACTGAAATGTGCCTTTCTTTTCAGAGCTGGTAAATGTTGGCATCGTATCTTGTAGACCAACTGAGGCCGGCAATAGGAAAAGAATATTTTGTTACTGCGTACCATGACGCAAAACATGTACCAATGAAGCAACGATTTATTAAAAAAATTGCAGGAAAGGCAAGACATTCCAACATATTTATGCTTTACCGTGAATGATCAACTCAGAGTCTTTATTCAGCTCATAGAGTCGAAAGGCTTCTTCAAGTTCCAGCTGGGATGAGACTGTGCAAGGATCGCCTGTGTTTAAAAACAGCAGAATGGTAAGATTACAAATATCTTACTTATGTTTCTATCACATTTATTGTAAGATTAAAAAGGTCCTAAAGACATAAGACTTCAAACTTAATAGGGTTTTAGAAATACACTTGAAGGACAAGTATCGCTGTTAGTATATGGTTTAAAAATCCATGCATTATATAATCATTGGTGATTGATTATAGAGCCTAGTAATGTGGGGGACATAATACTATTACTACTCCTGACATTTGATATGGCGCTTTACCATAACGTCAAGATGTCTGAAAGCGCTTCACAGGATCTACTGTAAAGTTCAATGACTATTTTGTAGGCAACATAAAAATATCATAACCTGCCTCAGAAGGCTAGGGTTCGAACAAAAACAACAAATTACATTTGTATAATGGCTTTCACGTCGGAGGGATTTCCCAAGGCCCTGGACAGTCAAGGATTTGACGCCGAGCAGGGGGTTGCAATCAGGAGGGGTGGAGAGCCAGGAGGGTAACGGTAGGAGGATGGCCAAAGGCGCGGTGGAAGAGGAGGATCTTGAGATGTGCTTTGAAGGAGGCAAGGGTAGGAGCAAGGCGAAGGGACTGTGGGATGGAGTTCCAAAGGGTTGGGGCAGAGGCTGAAGATCCGACCGCCGATGGTGGGGTAAGCCAGGTGGGAGACGTGAAGCTGTCCAGAGGGAGAGGTCAGGTTGATATGCGTTAGCAGATCACAAAAGTAGGAAGGAGCAAGGCCATGGAGAGCTTTGAAGTCGAGGACGAGGATTTTGAACTTCTATCCTCTATCCACAAGCAACGTTTCAGTTTTTACAACTGAAATAAATATATTCACAAAATAAAATGGAAACAAAATAACGTAATTATTTAATCTATACAAAATTGAGTTTGCCTACAACTTTTATCTATTTAATAAAATTCAGTTCTAAACACTCAGTGTAGCTGCCAGGCCAATATAAAAGAGACCTAAACTCTTTTAATACAGGGTTTCTCTTTAAACATGGAAGATCAGACGACCTGAACATACCTGATCAGGCTAAAACAATGAATGCATGTAATGCAAGGTCGTGCTTACTTTACAAAGTCTTGCTTTCATCAATTTAAACAATGAATAAACATTTTGAAATCTTATACGAGTACAGTGTGGGCATCAAGTGTCTCAAACTTGGTAGCTTTGTTTCGACAACCAAAAAGTTTTTAACACCTCAGTGTTATGCAAAATGTGAGATTCAAGAGGTATGAAAGATAGGAAGAAAGGCAGTCAGTCATTCAGTAGCTTCTATTTTAATCCCCAAATGCTTGGAAGAATGTCACTGGTTTCATTTTATATTTAAATATATTTTATACTTTAAAATTAACAGGGATGAATCTCACAAATTGAAACAGCAAATTCTTAATGTAAACTGATTACCTAAACCTGAGTGACATGGATAAAACTAGGGTTGTGTGTGTTGTGTGTACACACATACACACATTGCAGGGCAAACACAACTCGCAGCACTTCATAGCCCAGAATGTTGTTACATCAAAACACTGTGCCAGTATGCCTTTTCCTTTTGTAAACCACCTCACTGACAATTAATGCACACTAACTTGTGAGCACGTTGCTATTTTAATCAATAGTCAAAGGGCACAAATAATTTACACATAAACTGTAAAGCTTCCAACTGTCCAAATAATACAGCTTCACATAATGCATTTTAACAGAACAATACGTTTCTTCCTCCCCTCACTCACACACCTTTATCCATGCCAAGCCACCAAGATCAAAAACATTGTTTCTAAATGGTCATAAAATGCAAATGATACCTTCTTCATCGATCCATTTCATTGTGAAAAGCTGTTCGTTATCAAAGCAGCACATATCTCGAACTTCATTGCAGAGCCCTTCATACGTGATGGAGGGTTCAAAATGAGTAATCATGATGTCCCTTGGATTAAAAAAAGAAAATTAAGAAGCCAGCAAGACTAATACTTGCATTCTTACTGTGGTGCCATAGGTTAGTGCTCCACACACTGCCCCACATGAAGGGCGTGGTATAAATGCAAGTTGTTGTCGTAGATCTTAGTGGATGAATTCAAGATCCTCATCCTCACCTACAAGGCCATTCACGGCCTCGCTCCTTCCTACCTCTCCGACCTACCATCCCCCTACTTACCTGCCCGTACCCTCCGTTCCCCTGGCCCATCGGTGGCCGGGCCTTCAGCCTCTCAGCCCCCAGGCTCTGGAACTCCATCCCCAGTGCCTTCGCCTTGCCTCCGCCCTTTCCTCCTTCAAGGCCGGTCTCAAGACCTTTCTCTTTGACCGTGCCTTCAGCTCCCCTCTCGACTCTCTACCCCCTCCTCGCTCCCTCCCTTCTCTCACCCTGACCAAATCCCCCTTGCTCAGGTCCTGACCCAACTGTCCAGCGCCTTGGAACTTCCTCCCAATGTGAAAGGCGCTCTATAAATGAAATCTTGTTGTTGTTGTTGATGATCGATTGAAATAGACCCTAAGAAAGTAAAATCATAAACAGAAAAACAGTTCATAAAATGTTCGGTTTATAAGATTCTTGGGGCAGAGGGGAGGGAGGAAGCATTATGCAGAGCAACAAGCCAGGGTTGAATACTGAAAATGTGGAGACAGATCAGTATTGGGCAGTTTACAGCGATAGTATTTTTTCGCAGTTTATACAGTTTATCTCAAGAAACTAGGGAGGCAGGATACACTTTATGAGAAGGCAGGTCTGTGAAAGGAGTGGGATTGAAGGCCAGAATGACTCATTTAACATTCTCTCACATTACTAAAGCTCTGTTATGTGGTTGGCAGATTGGGTTTGGCATGATTTTTAAAGGTCAAACTGGCTCAACATTGGTAGAGAAGATTAGCAGCAGTTCGTACCTGAATACCTATGTGTATGAGGCATGATTCTGTTTCAGTGTAAGATTACTTCATGGAAAAGACTTGAACATTAGATATTTATTCCATAATATACTCCATGTGCTCCATACAATCTACAAATCGATACTCTGAATTGTATAAACATTTTCCCATAAACATTAAATACAGTAAACTCCTGATAACAACCCTGTATTAACTTGCCACTACCAGTTAAGTTATCATGATGTCAATATGCCAGCTGCATTTATTTATCTATCTATATATATTATTATACCCAACTCGCCACTCCGGAAAACTTGTCACTGAACCCCTTTCCCTTGGAGTGAGGAGTTAAAGTATACTTACGAAGAGGCACTTTGAGACATTTTGACGTGATATGGTGAAATGCAAGGATTACAGGCTCACATGAGTAGGACAGCAGCAACTGAGAGCCAATAGTATCCAGAAAACATTTTCTGAAACAATGGCCTGAAAGCACTTTTATGCTTGGTATGAATGAATAGAATTGATAAGAATCATGTAAAGGCATAACAAAGGCCCACACAGATGTTGGCAAAGATAAGGTGTTATAATTATGAGGATTGACTCAAACATTTAGGTCTCTTTTCACTGGAATAGAGAAAGTTAAGCAGGAACCTAATAGAGATCTTCAAGGATCTAGAAAGGTTTTGAAAGAATAAATAGCGAAAGTTTATTTCCACTAATTCATAAATTGGTCAACAGGGGGCAAAACTCAGGATCGTGAGAAGAAAAGTTAAATGGGAGGTTGGAAAAGTATGAGCTTGGTATTGTTGCCTAGGCAGTTCTGGAACAAGACTCTGAACCTAATGGAACAATCTCTATAGAGGGCATTTTACAGTGAAATGCCTACTAAGGGCTGGATTGAGATGCAATAGTCAGCACTGAAGAATTCTTAGCAATGCCCATAATAATTAACAACGCCTAACATAGGTGACCTGTTTTAGTGTACCGATTACACTAATGGGTTCTGTAGCCTACAGTTAAATGGCATATTTAAATGCATATTTAAATGGCAACACATGAATAAAATATTTGCAAAGATTTGTGTATTATGGTCGGGTGCTCAAAATATGCATCTTGTTTTACTGAAAGATGCAGAATATTCTATATATGCGAGTATAGAGCCGAGGGAGCTTTATTCTGCAAGAAACTGGCCTGCCGACACTAAGTGAGTGCAAAAATGCTTATTCCCCAGCACTAATAATATCCTTCGACTCAGGAGCAAAATGGGAAAAATAGGATGATCAACTAATCTTGAGCCCAATTTACCTTAGGTCCAATTTTGCGACAATCTCAAGTGTAAATATTGAAGAATTAACAAACTGGATTCGCTGACACGCACCATGGCAGCTCTAAGAAAAAAAAATCTAAGGCTAGGACTATGAGGCCGGCCAGACGATCAAATTCTCAATAGAACACAATGACCCTGGTGCTGCTGGGGCAGTGAAATGTTATCTGTGGAATGCAACAAGTCACGGTTCAATCTCGGTCGTAATGTTAGATTCATATTCTAGAATTTTACTATGGGGGAAGAGTTTCAGAGTTTAACTGTGATTTATCACCTCCCTCAGTAAATTAAATAAGAAATTGCATTTCTATAGGAACTTCTAATTAGACTTGTTTGGATTATGTAAACCAATTTTGTGTGATCTTCCGCCATCCAATACAAATAAATGTTCACTGTTTTGGGATGTCAATCATGCAGATTTGAGATTTTTATTGGCTCCAAAAATTCTGGTAAAGTTGGTTAAATAAAAGACATCTTATAAAATGGGCAGTAGTGCCGGCAAAGATAAATAAAAAAAATTAAATAAAACAGAGATAACAGGAGGATAGAAGGAAAAAAAGACAGAACAAATTCAGATAATTTTTTAAAGCTTATTTCTATCTGGATCCTTCATATTTACTTAGCAGGTTAAAGTCAATATTAGAGTAAAAAAAGCTGCCTTTAAGTATCTTTATTACTTATTCTTTTTTTCAGCATCACAATTCGTAAACTGAAAACATGGCAGCAACAGCAGCTTGGGTGACTACAGGAGCTTCCATAAATATTCAGGTATTGGTTGGGTCAAAGGAAACAAATAAGCATATAATGAAATCCTTCTCTTAACCGTACACTCGCATAGAGCACCCTTGTACGACAAATCTCAACCCAACCACGATCAGTACTGTACTATCAGGGTCTAGCTTTGACTAGTTGTAAGAAATACACTATGGACAATACAAGCCTTTCGCAGGATGATAAACATTGATCAAGACCATATATAAGATGAAATTACCCTTTCAACATAATACCCTGTAAAATTACTTCCCCACCTGTCCGGTCGATTTACCATTGTTATAATATTCAAAATTTCACTTTATGGTTTATCCATGTCAGCCTACATTAACCCCTATAAGAACTCTGCCTTATTTGGCAATAGATTTTAACAACAACAACAACAAACAACAAATTACATTTGTGTAGCGCCTTTAACGTCTGATCTGCAGTTTGTGGAGGGAAGAGTTGGGAAGGCTGACGAGCAGGGAATTGGCATAGTCGAGTAATACATGCGCGGACTGGGAATATTCCTACAATTCAATTGGCACTGAAAAAATACCTTAATTTTTTGCTCTTGTCGTTCAAGAATTCGATGTTGTGTTGCATCCTCATGAACAAGCCCTAACCTGTGGGCCACCCTACTTAGAATACTGAATATTCTGGTTGTGTGAGGTTGCGCTTGTGGAACCCATTTCATCACAATCATCGTAACAAACCTCTTTTTTGAGCACATGACCAAGGAAATTCAACGTACAAAGAAAGAACACAAGAGACCATCAATCTTAATCCATGAATAAACAAACTCAATCGGGGCACAACATAACCTTTGAATTTAAAATAATGTTACTTGTTGAAGGTATTGGATTATGAACCTGAAAGAGGTTATTCTAACCTTGTGTGAATCACTGGTGAACCTACATTTGTAATACTGGGCAACCCTGTTATAAAGCGTCTCCCTAAAGCACGAGTTTGCTTGCAACGCATGGACCCAGAGCTTCCAAACATGAGACCCTTCCAGCGCAGACTAGCAAAACTGGGCCTTTGATAGACCTACACTGTACAATTCTATGAAACCAGGCAACATATTATACTCCCCTCAAAAGGACATTAATGCAATGGAATGGTTTAAACAAAAGGGCAATGAACTGCAGGACGCAGAGATAAAACTGTAGAAAAAAGCAGGCTGGGTAGGGATAGGGAAGAGATAAAATCCAGGCCTTTTAAAGAAATACTGTCCCAACAACAACTTGCATTTACACAGCGCCTTTCACCTTGATTAGCGTCCCGGCATCTGATATAGCGCTTTTCACGTCTTCTTGACGTCTCAAAGCACTTCACAGAATAGCCTGTAAAGTGAATTGATCGAATATTTGTGGGCGAAACGCGGCAGCCAATTGCGCACAGCAGCGTCCCACAAACAGTCGTGGATTGGGAAATAACCAATTTATTATTGTTTTGTAGGGATTATTATTAGGTGTGTGGAGTAAGGAAACTTGCCCAAGGTTTCGCCCTCTGCCTGGAATTGAACCCAGGTGTCTCGCTTGCAATGCGAGTGCTCTAACCACTGAGCTACAGGACTTTGCCATATAGATAGATCCACACAACATATCTTTACCATAACCATAAACTTGGTTCAAATTTAATTTCAGTCACAGATCAATCAAATCAGGCCTAACTCCTTAAAAGATTATTTCAGCATCGTAGAACACTGAAACAAAAAAAATCTGCCTTAAAAAAAATAATATTTCGCAACTTTCAGTCTATCCCATTCTATCGTCTTCTTCACTCTACATACTCCAGGTCCTGTTACCCAATCCACATCCTCTCACCCACCATACTCCACCACCTCAATTTTCTATACCTGCCCATCATCCCACACCCCCAAAGCCTAATACTACAGCCTCCTAAACATTAGTACAGCACAAGCTTGTTCTCACCCAGGCCGCCGAGACCCTCATGCACGGATTCATCACATCCAGGCTCGACTACGCCAATTCCCTGCTCGTCGGCCTCCCCAACTCCTCCCTCTACGGCCTGCAGATCATCCAGAACTCTGCAACCCGTATCCTCCCCCAACTCCACTGCTCCCCATCATTCAAAGGATACATCTCAAGATCCTGGTCCTCACCTTCAAAGCCTTACACGGCCTTGCTCCTCCCTACCTCTGTGACCTCCTAACCCCCTACCAATCTGTCCACTCACTCCGCTCAGTGAGCTCTGACCCGCTTCATGTCCCCCGCTTTGCCCACTCCAGCATTGGCAGCGGGCCTTCAGCCTCTCTGCCCCCACCCCCTGGAACTCCATCCCACGGTCCCTCAGCCTCATCCCTCCCTTGTCTCCTTCAAGACGTGTCTCAAGACCTTCCTCTTCAACCGTGCCTTCGGTCACCCTCCTACCCCGACCCTCCACCCCTCCTGAGCCCAACCGCCAGCTTGGATGTGGGTCCCTGACTGTCCAGCGCCTTGGAACACCCTCCTGACGCCAAAGGCACTAATACAAATGTAATTTGTTGTTGTTCTTCTTCTTCTTCTTCTTTTTCTTCTTCCCGGATCCAGTCTCTGTAAAGCTTATACTCTCAACACTTACCCCCACAGCAATAACCAACCCAGTGCCCTCTCTACAGACTGTGACCCCCCCCCCAACCCCACTCAGGCTGAGGTGCTACTCCTGCTCTGTGCTTCCCCCCAATCCCTTATCCCGACCACTCCCCAAACTTCCTCTCCCCAGACTCTGCCACCCCCCCCCCCCCCCCGGGCCGGTGGCACTGCTCCTAATCCCGGATACTCCAGTGCCCCTCCCTTCCTCCTCGTAACTCACTCTTCCTCCTTAGGTCCTACCAGGCCATGTCCTCTCCTCACACCCCGAGGCCTCTCACTGCAGACCTCCATTCCCCTGACCCCCACCACCAAAGTACCCTCTCTCCCCCCCACCCCCCACCCACCTCACACAGGCCCCGACACCCAGTGCTGTGCCCCTTCCCCTCCCTCTCTCGGGCTCCTGATACACACTCCTCGTCTCTCTCTCTCTCTCTCACTCTCTTACCCTTTGTAATACGCCTTCATCCGGACCTGGTGGTGGTTTTCTCCCGTGTGGGACATCATGCTATCCCTGTTCGTGGGCATCTCCCGCTCCACAGCTCGCGGACTGAGCCGAGCCGAGCCGAGCCCCGCGTAAAAGCTGCCACCCCCCCCAACCCCCAACCAGCGGGCCGGGGAGCGCTGAGCAGCTGTGCGGAGCCGACACCGACACCGCCCGCCTACCGCCGCCGCGCGCGCACCGCCCAACGGACAAACGTTCCTCAGGGCTGGACCACACACTCCAGCCAAGAGGGGGGGGGGGGAGGGATTTATTAACATCACTCAATGTTACATAGTTTATTTTTTTTACTTTTTCCCCAAATTGTAGCTAATATGAATATAATTTATGGTTATTATTATTTTTTTTGGGGGGGGAAGGAGGTGGAGGAAAGCCAATGTCTAATGAAACTGTATGCCAGGTGTTGCCCCACGTATACCGTTTGAGCTCGTCGCATTCCAGACTCCCCGCGTCAGGTACATACCGCGATAGTGCGCTTGCGCAGCCCCGGGGTCCTCTGGGAATTGTAGTTCATTGACCCCCCCCACACACACACACACACACACACACACAGTCACAATAACGCTGTAATAACAAAGACAAAGCACACGAGAGAAGATGCGCTCATTTTTGATTAATTTTCTTTTATTTCTTCATTTTTTTTCCACCTCCTCCTGAGGTCCTCAACAAAATCCAGGTATTGTCTGGTTTTCAGATAGTCTAGAAAGGCAGATCAGGAAATAGATGGTGTTGGGGTAGTGTGGGGGGGGTGTGGAGGGGGGGGGATCAGTCCCAACTCAGGAGATGTTTAAGGGCTGGTGCTTTTCTATATTTTATATTTTTATAAAATTTTATAAAATGTTTATAATTTTTTTATAATTTTTAATAATTTTTTTATTTTTTTATTGTTTATATAATTTATAATTATATTTATATATGATATATATAATTATATACAAGTGTATTATATATAAATACACTTATATATATCGATATAAATATATATTAATATATATATTATATATCATATATACTATATACAAGTGTATATATTATATATATTAATATATATCATATTATATATCGTATATGTTGTATATAATTCATATATAATATATTGAAAAACATATATAATTAATAATATATAATTTATAATTATAATTATAAATTAATTATAATTTATAATTTATATTTACATTAGCTACAAATCCTTATTACACTTCATTTAACCTCGACACTTGGCTATTCACCGTGGCTGACTGTCGGCATTGCAGGAGTTTAGATGTCTGATGTTCTCTCCTCTTGTCACAGCGCACGGTGTGATCCCACAGTCACTTTCCGGACCCTGGGCATCTCCAACTGGCGGAGTAACCGTTTATTGTGTTGTACATTGTTCGACACGTAAAACGCTTGCAAAACACTCACACTGCGTGCACTCGTTTGGGAGAAAACCCATGGCTCTGGCTATCCCTCCAAACGAGCTCAAGCCCTCAATTGTCAGCTGTAAAACTTGCAGTTAAGGGAGAAGGAGGTGAAAGAAGGTTAAGGAACAGATACGCATAGTGTTTCTAACTCCAGTGTGTATTGCTCACACTCCCAGCCTGAAAAGCCCAGTGTGACATTCTCCTTTGGTTCCCATTCTATCTCAAGTGCCTAATATGATAGATATTGTTCAGGTCTTCCTTTTCTTTTCCAACAACTGTTTTAAATATACAATTGTGGGTTTTTTTTAATGTCACACCGTGTATGTACTTCGTTCTCTTGTATATAGGTGAATAAAGGGGCCTCCAAAAGTGAGAAACAAATAACCACGAATAGTGGCCAACTTTTCTTAATCACTTATCCTTCAGTCCCAGAGTAATGCACTGCCATACCACACATTTGTATTTGAAATCAACTCACAGCAATGATGATTTTGGTTTAACATTCATGTTTATATCATGAAAAAATAGTCGATTCACTTCACGATATATTCAATGAAATGGTTTGAGATGTCTCAATGTGATAAGGGGCTATATTAAATACAATGATTATTATATTATTATAAGCAGCAGGAGCTCTATTGGCTCAATAAATGCATGACCTAACCTGGTCCATTCCTAAGGCAGGCAGCGTTTGATACCTTGTTTTTGTTGATTTTGCTAATCAGAGACATAACAGTAGGGACCATATCCCCACACCAGGAAGGGTTTAAAAATCAACCAAACCAATGAATATTAGCCCATGTAACAAATATGCATGTGCGTCACAAGGAAAATGTTAGGCTTGAATGAGAAACACTCCCCCCATCAAAACACCCTGCTCATACTCAATCTATAGGGACACACATAGATCTACTCAGAAGCCAAATGCTGATGATGCTGTTTTAATCAACTTGTGTCAGAAATGTTGATATGCAAGACTGCAAGAATGTGAGGTATTCACTTTTCAGTGGGAGACAAACAGCAACTGAAATGTTTTGTTTCCAGCTAATTCCTGTTAAAGAAGTCTCATTACCATTCTTGCTCATAGAAATCAGTTACGACAAATTATAGCTAACCTTGGCAATCGTTTCTCGATTTAAAGATGTTTGAGAATACTATAAAGAATGCAAATAAGAATGGCACAAGGCCTTTAATCAATGAAGTGAAACAATTACTCTTATTGTGTTACACTGGTGGGCAATGTACAACTGTTATTTATTTTAAAAATGTTCCCAATATTATCAGCCCTCCCTCAGTTTCACACCCCCTCTTCCCTTAGCATCCACCAACAACAATGAAATTAACAGTTTGCTTGCAAGGAGGAGGAAAAAGTGTGTTGGGGAAGGGAATTTATGTACATCCCACTACTTTTCAGTACAAGTCAGTTGTCCAAGTGTTCATGCCACCAAAGCAGTTTGGAAGACGAGACTTACATTGTGACAATTAATCCACCATGATTCCATATTACTCCCTAGAGTTAATCATAAAAGGGGTGCTCCAATTTCCCCAGGAAACTATTGATTGCACTATGCATATAATTAGATTTTTAACTTTGCATTTGTGCACCAGATAGACAGACCTGGGAAATACATTTTATTCTCTGAACCCAGATTTCTTATCCTTGCTCACAACACCACAATCAAATAGGACATCATTCACAAAAAGGAGATGCTGTAGTGCAAATAAATTGTAAAATGCTAAATTGTGACTAGAAGCAATGCTAGGGGTCTCAAGAGCAAATTTTGTGTGAGGGCTTCAAATGCCAATCAAGCTCCACTTTACCTAAAATGTTATTACCACCTTATGATACTGCTTAGCATTCAAAAAATGTATTGTTCCTAATTATGCAAATGCATTTAGGTATCTAATCACCATGCATCATTTATTAAAGAAAAACATGGTATTTTGAATAACTGTTCATTTTATTAACATTTTGTGCACAATAGTAAGATATATACAATGTGGCATTCTTGTACAGTACAAAGTTACAAAATACAATACTGAACCAAATATAAAGAGAAACTTTTTAAGTAGAATCAGTTTTTGTACGATCAATCTTGCCCAAAATGACTACCTTTCAGATTTGGTTTGATGGAGAAACTTCTTCTTTTTCCCTACTTTCTCATTATCCTATATAATACAAATGCTAATAATATTGATATCTCTGTCTCAGTTTTCTTTTATTACAACATTTAATCTTGGGTTAGAGCAAACACTTGTGGAGAATCTTTCCCCCCCCCCATACAACACGATGAAAATAACAAGAGATGAGGGTGGTGCTCTTCAGTTATAACATCAGGAAAGGAGAATTCTAATCATTGCCAGTTCTGAGGAAGTGTCTAACAAAATGTTCGGTGTGGTACTAAGTGCCAAATTAAGTTCACATACACCACATTTTTGTAAAATAGGATTTATAAGGAAATTCGGTGAAGTATCTTTTCCCTTTATCCAAGTTTGGATTAAAAACAGCAGTGTGATGTGAAATCTGACTCTTGAGCCTTGCATGGCTATTGCCAGAAAATTCGATAGTAGCAGCTTCCCTCAATTAGTTCATACTTAAAACCCTTCAAGTGAGTCATTGGAGTTTGAATCTTAAAGTTGTGTTGAGGAAATTAATAGTTTATTAATCTGAACACAGGGAATTTAAATTATGCTTAATCCATTTGCCAGGAGAGTAAGTTTAGTGAGCTTTTTGCTGCAGTAAGAGTATTCCATTTCACCTTTCTTACATTTGAAGCTCATGCTAGAGGAATGCTCAGTGCTTTGATTACAATATCATTCGAGGCTAAAACACATCTTTGTTCGGTGACCATGGAACAAAAATCTATTCAATGGTTTATAAATACTGTATACCAGGACAATACTTCAGTCTATGAAAGCTTATAGGAATCTACACAAAACTCAAGGTAGTGAAAATAAATGGCGTCTTTGATTACCTCAAAAAGCACCTTTACATTTAAATTTTCTTCAGACACAAAAATACTGTCCTCTTTGTTGGATTTCAGGCTGCATGGATACTGTTCGGACTTTTTCATTCTTTGGGCTCAACTGATCCATGTACATTAAATTTAGTCTAAGAATATAATAAATTGTGAAGTAATGACCAAATATATCAATTAATTAACACACAAACACCTCACACATAGATCCCCAGGTTCAAGCAGCTCTCAGGTACCATGGCTGTTTGACCCATGATGGAGCCCAGACAGCAAGTGTTCAGCAACGAGGGTCATCACAGCAAACCATTTTCTCAAAAACATCTTCATCTGCTTTTCATCAGGAGTCATTGATTAGGATACCAAAGTCAATTTTAACACCTCCCACATAGCCCCTGCTGGACAGCACAGACCAGGGGGTCAAACTATCTTCATTTGTATGGTTTAGTTCTACTATCAAGTAGTTAATTTAAGAATCAATAATTGCCTTTCTTTCTCTGATAAAGCCAAAGGAGAAAACAAATATAGAATGATCCTCTATATGTGGATAGGAGACATTCTTTAAATAAAGTGAAATTTATACTTTACATAAATAGACAGTTGATTACTTTGGAGCAGTATAACATAGCCAATGTAAACAAATTATTGATATTATTCTCTTGCTTATAAATTAACTTGGCTCATCACTTATATATGATGACTTTCCTCAACCACTTACTTGGTAAATCTAAAACAGCTAGCTTCTGCAGAAAAAACCCACAGCTTGTCCACAAATATACTGCTGGTATCTAAAGAGGAATTATTTTCTGAAAGCTATACTTACTATGTAGCTCAGTTTTAGGTTTTGTGAAACTGGTATATTAAACATCTGACATTGTGAATTCATTTACCCATAGTTCCAGTAGTCTTGTGGAGTTCCTGCTGTTGTCTTCTCCTCACTTCCTCTTGTGTCAAAGTACCACCTGGATAAAGATGGCATATATTATTAAAGTCAAGCACTTTGAGAAATGCATCACTGTTTCAGATTATACCATGACTTTGTCCACAATGCTCATATATATGGTATATGGTATATGATTTGATCTCGTGATAAAGTACAGAAGGTTTGAAATATTTAACCAACATACCACCAGGGAGGAATGCAAGCAATGGAACACAATAATAATAATCCTTGCATTTGATATAGCACCTTGTCTTTGAGACATCTCAAGTGCTTCAAAGAATATACTGTAAAGTGAATTGACTATATTTTGTGGGTGAAGTATTTGCTTTCCAGAAGGACATTAAAAACTTTACAAATCTGGCAATATTAAAATTGCCTACACTTTTAGGCCACATTGCTGGATGTTGAGTGGAAGGCAAATGGATTGGGAACCTAATAAATTAAGAATTTTAAGTATAGACTTTCTTGTTGCTGTAATATCATAGCTTATTTCTGAAATACACATTTTAATCTTCATTTTGTAAGTAGGCTTGTATTAAAGTGATGCAGTTTAACTCACCAACAGTGCTCGGAGTAATAAAAACATGACCAATATTCTTATGCTTCTGCTTTTCCAACAAAGCCAACTCTGAGGCTGCTTCTGGTAAAGATAAAAGAAGGCTTTAGGTCTAAATAAACAGGCAATTGTTTTATTCCACACAATTCATTGATATTGTGCCAAGGTCATAATGCACTCCCAGTCACCAATTAGTTCAACTTGAAAACACCAAGAAGATGCTGATCACATCCTCAGAATTGAGCAAAATTGGAGCTGTGAAAAATGCAGCATTAGGCCAAGCTATTACTGTATATTTGATTGACTCAATTATTGATTTGGCCAATTTCTTAAACGTGAACCCAGAAGTCCAGCGCTTCTGTTTCACATATTCGCTTCCTCTCTGCTCAAAACAGAATGATGTAGTAGTTAGTACTATTTTGATGCTCTTGAATGCACAACATTAATCTCCCAAGGAATGCAAGTAACCTTAGGAGAATATGGAATCCAAAAATCATAATGACCCCAAGGAATGTAACAAAATTGCAAGATACCATTGATATATTGCGTTGCACAAGGAACATTTCCATGGTACTGACATGAATGGTATGGATATTTATCTTTCAAACATTTAACCCCATTTGTAACTATTATATATTCATCCATCTTTCACTTAAAGGCATATGATGTAAAATGAACAACAACAAGATTCCATTTATAGAGCGCCTTTCACGTCGGGAGGACGTCCCAAGGTGCTGAAAAATGAACTCATTGGTGGCAGGAAAACTTTAGAATGTGAATGCATAGTCTCCAGACGCTCATTTGTTTGGGGACTTGACCTCATTATCCAGCCTGAAACATTTGTATAATACTGGGGAAATGCTGGATTGTGAGAAGATTGTCTTTCAGTCTAGTTATTAAACTGAGATCCCATTTGCCTGTTGAGTTTGATACTACTGTATTCAAAGAGAAGGGAATGTAATGGTCAAGAATATTTCAACAGCAAAAAACACAAAAAACTTACTTTTCTGTAATTCATTCCTCTTCTTCTGATCTGGTACAGTTACAGAATAACCACCTCGACTGGAAATAAATAGATTTCAGTTAAAAAGTCTACGATTTTTAAAAAAAACTTCAACACGTGAAGGAAAATTTGAATAATTCTGGATAATGTATAAAGTGATATGAATTATTTAAAATCCTACAAAATCTTCATTCTATAATTAGCTAATCAATTATCACCACTGAAGTGCAGGAATTACATTCCCACTGAAGTCAAAGGCAGGGAGCAGACTTGGGAGGAATGACCCCCAACCCTTCTGTGGGCAGAGCGGCTCTGGTCATGCATGCTTGGCGCGGCGCAAGTGGAAAATGGGCTTCATTCCACTCTAAGTCCTCCCTGTTTAGATTGCCTGTGTCTCTATGTGAGTATCATCGTGTGAGTGTTTCTTTCTCTCTCTCTCTCTCTATGCGTTTGTGAGTGTGTCAAGCCTAACAGGACAAAATGCCTCAATTTGCCAATAACTGAGAATCTCAAAAAGAGGTCAAAAGGATGATTAGCGCAGGAAGTGGAAATGTCACACAGGTGCAACAGAACTGCTTTTCTGTGGTTGGGGTTAAGCAATGCTGTTGATTCAGTACTGAAAAGTGTAATCTGCATCTAATCCCAAGGTAAACCTTATATGGGAGTGTTTATTATTAACATAAGAATGTGTTCCTTTTCCCATCAGGAGCATCTGACACCTTGATGAATATGAAAAATAAGAAATTGAAAACTATTTACCCAAACTGTGGCTTTATTATTGTAGCCAAACCTTTCCAATACAATGGATACAAACATTTTTGGGGGAATGGGATCTTCTAGGACAGATGGTGCAGAGAAGTCAGCAAATGCTATTTTCTTCTCTGGGACCTGAGTTTTCAATTAACCAGGCGGGTGAAATGAAGTTCTCCCCCAGCTGCTGTCTGTAAGGATTCTACATGAAATTAGTTTAATCAGTGTTACCTCAGCTCTTAGTAGACGTTGGCCAAATTGTTGTCTGATGTGAAGAGCATAAGGACAGCTGCTGTGGGAAAACACCAGATAATACCATATCTGTGCTTTATTTGAGATTAAGAGACATTGTTGGCGCAAAATAGAGGACTACATTTTAGTACTTTTCAATAGTGAACAAGGTCGTATTCCTATTTGCCAGCTCATGTAATTTTTCAGCCCAAAGAGCATAAATATATCCATTTTAGAACAAGGACTTCACTCGACGTTCAAGTTAATGACAACCTTAAGATAATTAGATATTTCTAGATGTTAAAAGCGATGGATCTGCATTCCATTAAATATTACTGTGCAAACAAGTAACAGTGATTGGTTTAATTAATTTAGATAACTTTGCAAAAGTCAGATGTTTTGAGGAGGGTTAACAGCATTGCCAGATCCAGTCTGTACACTATTTTAAGATAAACATGGACAAAAAAAAAACAATGATTCACCTACAATTAGGAATAACCTACAGGTTTAATAAATAACCCCATGCAGACCAATCACTTGAGTGAGACCAAAGGCACAGGTACCAACAGCTGACTGGGAATGTTGGCAACAAAACCTTCTCACCTGTAAGTTGTTTTGGGAGCTGCCTTGGGTGGGGTGGATTTTTCCTGCCCACCTGAGATTCGCCGCTGTGCAGGAGGGTCCGAAGGGCGACTGGTCGTTGGCTCGACTCTGCCTCTCCCTCTCTCACCTGTGGCTCTGCCTCTCTCACCTGTGGCTCTGCCTCTCTCACCTGTGGCTCTGCCTCTCTCACCTGTGGCTCTGCCTCTCTCACCTGTGGCTCTGCCTCTCTCACCTGTGGCTCTGCCTCTCTCACCTGTGGCTCTGCCTCTCCCCAACCCACCCCTACCTGCGGCCCTGACTCGGTCTTGGCTGTTGCCGTGACCCGGAGCCTCGACCGTCTCGGTGTCGCCGACAGCCGAGTAGGACATGGGCTCCGGGGGGGGAGAAAAAGTGGCCGCGTTCAACTCAAACGCCTCACCTGCCGCTCGGGGTGACGGTTGGCCGCGAAAGGAGCTCTGGGAAATGGAGTCCGACAGATCACGTGCCCTCTCACCTCACTGGGGGCGTTGGATGCGACTCCGAACTACATTACCCAGCGCGCCCCGCGCCCGGTCCTGTTACATCCCAGGGATGAAGCGTTACCGCGGCAACAGCACCGGGCACTTCATTGCAATTAAGACGGTAAAATGCGGCAGTTGTCACACACAGAAAAAAAACACGCCGTGAAAGTAAATCTGACCACGTAGCTAACGTGTGCAATGCATGAGTCGTGTATTGCTTGTATTGCACCTCTCTCCCTGAGACGGTTCTTGCTCACAAGCGACCCAAGACCTGTACTCGAGGGGACCAGTCAAACGCTTTCAGGAGATTTAACTTCAGGAGCATCGCGAGCACTGTGTTATGCAAAAAAAAAAAACATATGTGTGGAGGCAGGAGGGTGTTTGGAGAGGAATAAACTGCCTCGAGCAAAGTAATAATTTTACTCCACAATTGCACAGGGGTGAAAAAAAGACTAATTGTCTCGTGAATTATGAAACGTCATTCATTCATTCATTTATAATTCAGCAAAAAAAAAATCACCCCATATTTATTGTGCAAGTTAAAGCATTGCTGTGTCCTGACACATTCATTCAAAGAAAGGACTTAACACTTCTATTTGCCATATGTTGATCCCCCGCTGAAACCTGATCTGTTGCACCACTTCCCTGGGTTTTACACTTACAGAGAGAGTGTCACCGTCTTCCTGACGTGAAAGGCACTGTACAAATGTAATTTGTTGTTGTTTGAACGTACCCCAGTGTGAGTTACTGCTTTGAGGAGACGATAAAAAAAATGGCAATATTGGAAGGATAACTAAATGGATGCAATAAGACCAAGTTCTCTGCAGGGTATACATCATTGCAATAGAAACACAGCACTCCCCACACCCCATCAAAATCGACTGTGACACAGGATAAATCCCAACATATTTTAGCAGCATTCAACTGTTTTGTTTTTGCTCACACAAAAATCAATGATCTGTGTCGAAATATATTGCTCGCATCGTGAACACAGAGATGTTGTAAAGAATATTAATGGGTGGAATATGAATATGTGCACTGCATTACAAATGCTTCATGTCAAGAGAGTGGAGGTGGCAGTCGACTTTCAGGCTGTCTTGTCCATCCTTGGCCAGAAACTAGAAAGCGCAAGAGAACAGACCCAGAGAGATAATGCACTGCTGACAGTTTCCCTTTCTTATCGGTAGATAACAAGTGACACCCGCTGAGTACCTTTTCCTTCCAACACTGGAAACATCAGCAAATGTTGGCACCAGCCTTTACATTTTTAAATGTTCTTTGGATCCACATCAATATATAACATCGCTTTGCATATGGGTCCTTTTCACCTTTTTTTTAAAAAAAAGAGCAACTGGAGTTTCGTAATACATTTTATGAAGGTAGAAAATTTTGCTCTGCTGCAAATTCACTACTCACTTTGTGGAGAAAATCAAACTAACCATATTTATAGTAAATACCATCGGGTGGAAAAAGTTGGAACGATTGAATGGCCTTCTGTTCCTGTGTTACCTGAATTGGGGGAAAAACACATTTGAACATCACACAAGAGATTTCCCTTCCAATAAATCTGTCTATGTGTATTATTATTTAAGAATGAGAACATTTTATGACATATCTTAGACCGTAAAAAAAAATGTGAGTTTGATCATTGTATTCATGCACGTTATGAGCAGGTTTCAGGCAACGAATAACTCTTTCAGGGTCATTCTTTATCCTTAAAAAAAAGGAGGATAACAGCAAACTGGGAACCACAAACATCCCCAGGAGAGAAACGCTGTAAATGCAAACGTGTGGAAAAGGCAATCGGTGTGAGGAGAGATGCAAATTGGGGATAGGAGAGCGGGTGAGTTAAAAGGAGATGGAGCAGAGGTGCAGCAGAGGTTGAAGTGGGCAAAGGGAAAAGGGAACAGCAACAAAAAAAAAGATGACTGTCACTGCCAACCGGCGTACAACGGGTCTCAGTCGAGCTGTTATATTTTCAGCCACTCTCCCTATTGATCGGCTGTGCCCACAAGGGATCTGGTGGTGTTGCAAAATTAAAATAGAGCAGGAGTGCTGTTGGCATGTCAGGCAAATGCGACAAACTATTTTTTTTACACACACACACGCACACACACGCACACACCCCTCCACCCCCACAGCTTTTTTTTTGAGCACGGAAGGAATACTAACTTTTACTACTTCCGTCTTTGCTGTAACATTTATTCTGCTTGAACCCAGTGCAGAACCGACGCGGACTTGTTTTACTTCCTCCTCCTGTGCTCTGTGTGGTGCTGTGCGTGATTTTTTTTTTGGTTGTGGGGTGGGGGGATATCAACTTCCACGCCGATGCGTGTGTGTGTATATGTGTGTGTGTGTGTGTATATGTGTGTGGGTGTATTTTTAATCCCCTCCTCTCTGCTCGCACCGCACTCTGCGCATTGCAAGACGTGACTACGCTTCTGACAATCCGAATCTGGGCAAAGCCAAGGTTTGTAACACACAGGGACCGGAGTGACAGAGGGAAGGGAATGCAGGGAATCCGATCCCACTGCAGGTAAGTCTTGTGCATCCCTCCCGCCTGCAAAATAAGGCGTGAAACTCGCCTTCGATTATATTATTTCGCGAAATAAAAAAAATAAAAAATGTGCTCCGCATTCGTGTGCCAATGAATGCACCGCATTGCAATGAAATACAGCGACCGCTTGTGATGCATTTTCGCTCTTGACAATTGCAACCCCGTTTGAAGACTTCCACGGAACACGGGAAAATAGGTTAAAGGCTGTGAATTAGTAAAGCAATCAAATGGGTTGATATATTTCGGAGGTAGTTCAGCTGCTGTAGTGCAGATCTGTGCGTGTCTGTATCAGGCTCTTGTCCGTATAAGGGCCCCGTTTGGAAATTATGATTCGTGTGGGAACACTACAAATGTCACTAATAAAATGTCAGGAATCTGGGTAAATGAACGCAGTTTTGCTGCAACGTTAGTTTTATTTTTGCAGGGATTGATAAATACCACGGGCTGCGTGCGGGCAGGAACTGCAGCCCACCGATGCACAGCGTGTTATGCAATAGGAAAGATACATTTTTATTAAGGGAGGCGAAGATTTTTTTTTGTTTCGTTGGCGCTGTTACCTGCGAGAACCTGTTCGATATTGGTCACTTTTGTTTGTCAAGACTCTCGCTGTGCTCGCAGCAATATTAATGCAATGCAAACCGAGGGATTTATCGTTGGACAGGGTTGGGAAGGAGCCCATTTCGGGGGTGAATTGTGAGCTGTTTCACCTGTCTGTTCAGCTGCACCATAACACTTTGCATTTTGAAACATTCGTTTATGTTAAAATACCATTACTGAGTGCATATAAGATGTGACGTATTTATTAATAGCAGAAGAGACTGAGCGTGTGCGGCACCTACAATGTTTTCTGGGAGTTGTAGTCCTTTGGTGCAATAAATTCTTATAAAAGGACCCACTATTCATCACGACTTATTGAGTAAACTTTTGTGGGTGACGGGGGTGGATCATTTTGGGTCATATTCATAGCTTGCAGTTGTCAGGATGATCCATTTTTAATTGTGTTTGCATTGCGTGTTGCAAGCAAACCTCAGAAGAGGTTTTGCCTGACCCTGTTTCATGAAGAAGTTGGAACTTCAACGTTTTAATGACTGGTGGAATAATTTTGCACCGATACAAAATTAAAGCTGATTGGTTCTTGTTTACAAGCTGCTATAAAGCATCTGTTTGTTTCAGTTTTGTGCATGTTGAATTAGTGTCCCATAATGTTTGGTATAAATGTATCCCATAGGAGTACATTTGCAGAGTTGCAATAGATTCAATGTTATGTATGTCGTAAAGTTTCTTGGTACCTGCTTAAAAATAATGTCTGACAGTGACTGAACCAATATCATGTTAAATATTACTGTCCAGGATCTGTGCCAATGAGTGATCTGTGATTATACAATGTGTCCTATGTAATTGTATCTCTGATGTGTGTCCTGATGTATTTTTGCAAACTTCACTGCAAGTTGAAATCTGGCAAACATAAACATTTTGATTTTTTTTTAGAATGCCACTCTCTTTTTATGATATTTGTATTCCTTTCACCAATGAGCTCTTTCCCAACCAGAAAGCAGAAACTTTTAGTCTCTTTTGATTGTTACTGTAACACTTATCTTTTAGACTGCACCAAAAGCTGCCCAGGATGACACTTTCCAATTTTCAAATCTTCCTGTGAGAAAAGCCTGCTTTTAGTTGACACGACCCATAGCTATGCTGGGCGAAACCTTGGGCAAGTTTCCTTACTCCACACAGAGCCTAATAATAATCCCTCCAAAAAACCAAAAACAATAATAAATTGGTCATTTTTCAATCTACGACTGTTTGTGGGACATTGCTGTGCGCAATTGGCTGCCGCGTTCGCCCACAAATATACAGTCAATTCACTTTACTGTGTGTTCTGTGAAGCGCTTTGGGACGTCCTCCCGACGTGAAAAGCGCTATATCAAATGCAAGGATTATTATTATTATTACTGACTGTTTGGAACATGACAGGTGTAAACCAATGTACTTAGATTCTGTGATCAGACTCTTGTGCTACAACACACCACCTTCATAGTACTTTTGTGGCTTTTGTAGAAAATGCCACACACGTGACAGTGCAGTGAGATTGGATCAGATATGCCTTTATCTCGAGTTTCCTGTGTAATGCATAACTACTTTAGTTAGAAGTAACTGCCTTTTATCCTAAAATCTATTGCATACAACAAGTTTCCGTGGTGGGACATGTTTCAGAAGCCAAAACTTCGAAATTGCTACTACTATATTTTGGTATCTTTCAGATTTCAAGACTTGTGCCTCTTATATACTTGTATCGGATACGCTGAATGGTTGAAGGCATGCAGTAAACAGCCATGGAAAATGACCAAAGTCCAACAACATCTACCACGACTAACACAGTTAACACATCTCCCCGAACACAGACACCACAAATCTCCATCTACAGCAGCACCGATAGACAAGCTGTTCAAGTAATGTATCTAATATTGTTTTGTCTCTATTGTTATTTCCTGTAGTTTGTAATGTTTATCTGGCATTTGGAGTGTTTGTAAACGAAATGGCAAAATTTACAACAGAGTCATGATCAATATAATAGGTTGGAGGAAGAGTGTGTAGAAGTTTACCGTGTGTTGACTGAATAAAGTTGGTTTATTTATAGCAGATTAGTTTTGAAGCAAGCACTGGAATCTTGTGTTACTTTTGTACCCATGTGCAGCACCTTAGAATGGGTCGGGGGTGGAAATGACACACGATAACGGTTCAATTCACTGCTCACGTCCCAAATTGAGCTTTGCTACACTTGGAGAGTCAAAGTGGAGACATGAGGGAATTGGGTGGGAAGATAGCAGAATAGGAATCCAGGAGTAGGACTTTCTTGGGAACAGAAGCTTCGGTGTTGGAAAGGACCCAACGCAGGGATTAAATCCTTAAAGGTACAATAATACTGTATTCATTGGATGAAATAAAATAGCATGGTGCATGTAAGAGGGAAATCAAAATTCCAAAAAATAGTAATTTTAAAAAAAAGTATTTCATTCACTGAAAGAGAGCAAATGGAAAGCCACTTGAAAGCAGGAAAAAGAGCTTCGTTCTCCATTATTAAACGATTGTAGCTGCATGAGGGCACATCAGTAACATCACTTCAACAATCATCAGTTGCCGGTTTGGATAAAGAAAGCCTCTGGACCCATAGCTTCATCCTTCATTTGCGATGCTGTTATTCGTTTTGACTATGTAAGACACATTTGCTTGATTCCAGTCAGTTGGAAACTCTTCATTTGACGCTCCATTTGACGTTTCACATACCTCTTCTCTTGTCTCTCTAAAAGGTTTATGCTAAATGCTTTAATCTCGTTTTAGTTATTCCACCCCACTCCCATTTTTCCCATTTTTTTCCTGCAGCACCTTCTGTTTCCTCCCTGGTGAGTTTCCGCTTTCCAGGCCAGTGCCCTGTGCTGGTTTGCTTACAGATGTATTGCAAGAGCTTGGAATACCCTCCCTCTGATTTCTTTAATCTACTGTGTAGATCATCTTTATTGTGCACCTCTCTACATCACTCACGGTTCAGCTAAGATTGGGAACTCACATGTATGGAACAATCATAAATGCAGACCCATATCCCACCACTGCATGGGGCTATATATATATATACATATATATATACATACACCAACATGATGTGCCATTTTCCCACTTCAGGACTGACTCTTGATTGCAGCAGTGTTTGGAGTAAATTACCTTAGCCCTCTGGAGTCCTGTAGCTCAGTGGTTAGAGCACTCGCTTTGCAAGCGAGAGACCTGAGTTCAATTCCAGACAGAGGGCGAAACCTTGGGCAAGTTTCCTTACTCCACACGCCTAATAATAATCCCTCCAAAACCAAAAAACAATAATAAATTGGTCATTTTCAATCTACGACTGTTTGTGGGACATTGCTGTGCACAATTGGCTGCCGCGTTCGCCCACAAATATACAGTCAATTCACTTTACAGTGTGTTCTGTGAAGCGCTTTGGGACGTGAAAAGCGCTATATCAAAAGCGCTATATCAAATTATTATTATAGCAAGGGCTGATTTGGGTTAGAGGGAAGAAATATCTTGAAAAATAGAACTTTTAAGCAGCAAAATATCCCTGTGCTGTTCCGAAAGTGAGAAACATTGTTTAATGTTCCTGAAGTGGGTGAGAGCAAAAGTAAGACAGTATACAGCTGGCGTTCTGGTGTGGTTGATATGAAAAAATTCTGCCCTTATTTCCATGACAACTCTGAAAAGACTGATCTCATTACTGTAAGACTGACAGTGCTTTATGCAGGTGGCTTCTTTTTTTTATTGAACAAGAGGGACTCCATTTTCTTGTGCAATTGAACAACTGGAATAAAATATTCTTCTGGAAAGACCCCGAAGTGGAAGTCTGATGTATTTGGAATTTCTTTTCACTGTTAAAGCTGAAATTTTATTACAATAAATTGAACTCTCAAAAGTCATGAAAGTGTAAAAGTTCAGCCTGCTGGGAAACATTAATACCACAACATTAATTTTACCTTTTCCATTTTCTCCCTTCACACCCAAAGGCATTAACTTAATTTGTTATGCAGTTTTATGGAACTTCACATTTTCGTCCGTGTGGTTACCTGTTAACCTGGGAAATTGAAGCTCAATCCTGCACTCGTCCAATCTTCACACACCTCCAGAATAGGGGGTCGCTGGATAATAGGACTTGAAAAATTGCCTGATTTTTAAAACGACTACCCTTTCCATCTCGAACACAAAAACGCTAGAGTCAATTATAGTGCTCTGAATTGTGGCTCTGACTGGGATTAATTAATTCTAGAGTCTTAAGATTCAAACATGGAACCTCCCTGATCTTTGGCTCACTGCACTATTACTCACATAGCTATTGGAATAGCCATGCAATATAACAAGTCAGTCTAGGCTCAGTACTGAAATCAGTGAAATATTAGTCTCCAGCACTCTCATTTATTCCACCTTATTGAGCATTGTATTACATAAAATACAGTATGGAATGAGTTTAGTGGCTGCAGTCATTGCATTGTGTAGGGTGACCTTAATGAAGGAGAAAATTGCATGAAAACTGTAAGCTTAAACCAAATTCCGGATTTCATAATTTGGGTGAAGGTCATAAGGATATTTTTTCCTGAGTCTTTTCTGGAGAATTGCTGCAAAAATAAAAGAAGTGAGGCACTACAATGGCTGTTGGAAAGCAAAACTGTTGCTGTCTATTTAGACCAAGAAGATATGTTTTAAAACCCACACAGGGTAGGTTGTGATGCTGGTTGAATGCCAGTCTTGCCTTTCCCAAGGTTGCAAGGAGATTGATAGTTTGACCAGATATTGAACTGCCCCACTGCGATTTCAGTGTAATTGGAGAATTCTTGGGTTGTCTTTCTCCTTCCATGATTTATATTATAATCTCTGTCCTAGAGTGAAATCCATTCCCTTATTCAAGTTACTATGAAGAACATAGTTCCAACATTCAGTGCATGATGTGTGCACTCCAAGGCATTGACATTAGCACAAAATATTGTTCTAAATATGCTCAAGGGCTGAAAAACAATAAATCCCCTGGGATGGATTAACTATATCCTAAGGTACTAAGAGTGACGAGAGAGATTGCGAAGCACTGAGGATCATTTTGCTGGACTCAGTGAATACTGTGGAGGATGTGATAGACTGGAAACATGGTTTGCAAATTCAAGAAGGGTGACAGAGCCATATCTTACAACCACAGACCATTAGCCCGTCCTCAATAACTAAAAAACGCATGGAATCAATCAGCCACAAAATGGAAGAGCACCTGTACAGAAATAATAATCTAGTCTGTATGGCTCAGTAGCACATCATGTACTGTGTTTATTAATTAAATCAGCTGAATTGGAAGCATTATAATTTTTTTATACATTGGTATTTTTGCATTGCAGGTTATCCAGCAGGCTTTGCATCGACAACCTAGTACTCCAGCCCAGTACCTGCAGCAGATGTATGCAGCACAGCAGCAGCATATAATGCTGCAGACGGCAGCTCTTCAGCAACAACACCTGAGCAGCTCACAACTTCAAAGCCTGGCAGCTGTCCAACAGGTGAACCAAACCATCAAAGACCAAGGGGTTATATTACATACATAGGTAGAATAGGGCCAACAAGAATTTTAATGGATTCCCTTCTGAGCAGTGTGGTAGCTGAAACATTACGTAGACTTGACTCTCATCATAATAATGCATTTGAGTATTCATAGTATCAATCAGTTAAGGTATTGTGGAGTTTTTGGTTAATTCAGGGAATATAGTAATTATTCTGATCAATCCCACAGAGTAGGTAAGATAAGGGTATAGGGTAGGCTTTTCATGGCTTTGGAACATAATGGTTGTTTATTAGCCATTGTTCAGCCAACTCATATTCCAGGTGAATCTGCAAGTGGCACTATTTCTGGCTCTCCAGGAACAGGTATTTTTGGCACTGCGTTGGTAAATTGGCATTTATCCCTTGATGCAATTCGACTCTGAATGTCTCTAATTATGTCTCGCATTCATTTTGCAGGGAAGCATGCCAGCAGGCCGTCAGACTTCATCACCCACAGGGAGCCAGCAATCAAGTGTATCACAGACTTCAGTGAGTAACTTGTACCCATTTTGATATCTTAATACCGAGGTGAATGTAACGTCCACTATCTTACTGAGAACATCCTTATAGAGCAGATTTATAAATAATGAAGTTACATAACCATTACGTTTATTGGAGGGGATTTTTTTTATTCACATATGTTAGTACTTTTGTTTTAATTGATTTGATTTCCCTCCTGCCCTGTTCAGGTGCCTCCTCCTTGGGAAGCTGAACTGGCTCCAAGGTGACATACTTAGCAACAGAATGTTGGAATCGAGCCAGCCGTCTGTGGTGGTCTCAATCCTGTTCCTGAGCCAGGCGGGTCTGCAGTATTCCAGGGCACTGCTGATGACAGCACAGCCAACCTGTCTCATCGGCAGGACCTGGAAGTAACTTCTGTGAAAATGTGTAAATCCATGTTCAAAGGCCTATGAGATCAGCACGGGCGAATTTGCAGTCTCATTTTCCTCGTCCCTCTCAATGGCTTGCTGACATGCCTTCCTGTGCTAGAAGTTTATTCTATAGAGGTTTGTGGGTGCAGACTAGATCCTAATGTCCTGCTGCACTGGCCTATCCAATAGAGCGTCTTGTTGGTTTAAGCAGTACAGGCCTGAGATACCTCTCAAAACATTTTAAACAGTTTGGCAGAAGCTATAAAATAAAGTTTGCTACTTTGTTCAAAAAATATTTTTGAAAATCCTATTATTTTCCTAAACTGATTAAATGGATTGCGTCCAGGAATCTGGTGATTTATTGAACAGTGGAGTGTCCTTCTTTCTGCTGTATTTAAATTGGTTGCACATTAATAGATTTTGTCTTTTATGTAGATTAACCTGTCGGCTACTCCAACTGCTACACAGCTGATAAGCCGTTCTCAAACCTCCAGCACTTCAAGCAGCGGAATCACCCAACAAGCCATGCTCCTGGGAAATGCCACACCCACTCTTACTGCAAGCCAGGCCCAGATGTACCTCAGAGCTCAAATGGTAAGGCAGACAAGACAATTGGTGAGTTGCAGTCTGAGTTCCATTGCAAAGTAATCCTTGCTGACACAAGAGAACCGGTTTCGGAAAGACCTGTAGGTAAAGAAGTCTGTGTTCTGCCGCGCTATCATATTGTATTAAATCATTTAGAGGAACACTATTTCCATGCAAAAATATTTTGCACAGCTTTTCTTTGTTCATGCTTAAGGCAATGAGATATAGCATAGCATATTGTCACTTATATAAGATATCATTGTGGCCAACAGAAATACTTCTTTAATCCTCTCATGCGTTGTGAAAAAAACATGCTCCTTTAAGAGTTTTTTTTGACTTGTATATTGGGGGCAAATTAATATCTCGATTATGCATATTTTGTTACAATATTTTAGTCTTTTTTGCATTGTTACAGTACTCTCTTTGTAACTCAAACTGCATATTCAGTTGTCCAAACCAACCCACGGGCTGAACTTGAGGTTCACCCAAAATCAATAGATCTAAAGGGGTAACCTCACATTATACAGAGCAAAATCTGGATGACCAATGCATGTTATTGTTACATTGCAGCTGATTTTCACACCCACTGCTACTGTAGCTACTGTACCACCAGATATTCCTGCCACTTCCTCCTCTTCTTCCGCGGTGTCTGCATCCACTCAGGTAAGCTATTATCAACATCTAACATTGATCCAAACATGCATACCATAGGAATAAAACAAAGTACTATTGCAGTTCATTTTGAGCAGATTGTATATGATTTGTGCAAGGAAAGAATATGATGGGGTTGCAAATGCTCACATGGGAATTGCAAACCAAACAACTTTGCTGTTAAATCACAAATGATTACCAGGATCACTGTTGATGGGGCCTTGAGCATCTAGGAGATGGACAGTAGTTGATCTTGGAAACCACCCTCTGATATATTTCTCCTCCCCCACTTTTTATGGGGAAGACCTCGCTTGCTTTTGCTTGGCCCTTCCCGTCCCCATCTCTTCCTTCCAGAGGCACTTCCACAATGGAAAAGTTTGATGCTTATATGTTAGTTGAAGATGGGATTGAGCTCAGCTATGATGCTTCAGAGGTCAAATATCGTGCTGATAGTGTATTCATAATATTAATAGTTGCCCAGTTTTACACATGAATAAAGGCCACTTAGCTGAGGAACCAGAGGGCATTTGGTAAACCATATCACAGTGCAGGGCGAAATAAATACAAAATGCCTTTTAGAGAGAGAGAGAGAGAGGGGAACATATGTTCCACCATGGCATTCTTCCAATTCCAGAATTAGCTTGTTGGTCAATGTGATGTTCTGCATTTTGAATTGTCTTAGGTTCAGAATCTAGCAGTTCGAAGCCAACAGTCAGGAGCATTGCCTGCTCCCACTCTACAGAGTGTCCCTCTGAAAGGTACCTGTCAGACTCCGCAGATATCGATGGGTCATGCAAAGACTACAGTCCAGGGAGCCAGCTGCAAAGCCAGCCAGCTCGACTCTGCTCCTGAGAATGCAAAGAAAGGAGAGAGCCTGACATCAAGTCCTGAGCCACGGGGGGCCACGGTTACAAGGACACAAATAGCAGCAAGCACACAGCAGCTAATAGCTCCTGGTAAGCAGCAATTTAAGCACAATGAATTAGGAAGGGCAATTTGCTCTGACTATAGAATGCATAGAAAATTTATGACTTATTACTCACCATGTTTGGCAGAAATAAAGTTTCCTTTTAGCTCACTGGAAATGCAACAGCAAAAAGTCAATCGAGAGACTGTGACAGATGTAACTACTGACAGTCTCTCAATATTATTTAGAGTAATGTGATGAACAATACAATACATTGTAATGTTCTTCCTCATGAAAACCATTGATTAAAGTTACAGGAAAGCAATTAGTGTGTTTTTAGGTGTTTAAAGTTCTGTTTCATGATGCAGGTACATATTCAGTACATGAATGTAGTTTTTGTTGGTAGAAGAAACGTAATCTTCCATTTGTCTTTCTAGGTTGATTTAGTTTTCATCTATATATTTTTAACTTAATCATCAGATGCCTAAGGATGAATAATATCAGTGTATATTTTTTGGTTATGTATCTAGGGTGACATTACCATGGGGAAAGCTTATAAAGGTCAAAAACAATTAAAGAACGTTTCGCTCTGTCAATTTTAGTTGATGTGTTTGATTGTGTTTGTTGAAACAGTGGTGCCATTGACATCATTGCAGTTTGAAAGGTGACTGTGTGATGGAGCTGAATTAGCATTGTGTTGATTCCTAATCACACCTGACACTGTCTTTCCATTAATATTCTCTACAATTATATCAACACTCACTTTATAAAACAAAATTAAAAAAAAACATTTTGGCCAGCTGGGTGCCTGTCACACATGGAAACTCCATAATCATCCAAATCAGCTTATCCATATACGTATGCCACCTATGACTGAAAATTTTCCATTTGTATGGTATGCGTACTCTCTCCCCGAAGGAGTGCACCTTGCTTATCTAATTCTGGAAATTATAAGTAACAGGTTAGCAAGATCTAAGGCTTGGGGCCCCAGAGTACGAGTTGCATTACTGCTATAGTTTACTGCTTAGCTTGCCATTGCAAGCACTGTCTGACAAGCATGCCACTGTCCAGCTAGAACCATCTTACGTGGTAGGCCTTTGGCTTGCAGAGTTAACAGGCGCTGTGGGAATAATCCCTGCCCATGTTGACTTATCTATCCCTGCAGGTCCTACTGATTAGCTCGGGTCTGAAATGCTGTACATTGTCCAGCGCCTTGGGACGTCCTCCCGACGTGAAAGGCGCTATACGAATGTCATCTTGTTGTTGTCATCTGTAGAATTTTGGAGTATTGTGGACCACATTCTAACTTTTATTTGCATGCCTTATGTAGATAAAAGTAAGCTTTGCTCTGGTGATAGTCCATAATAACTTTGCTTTCCCAGAAAATACATTTGCACAACAATGGTATGATAAGGTATATCAAAAGTGATTCAAACATGCTTTAGTTTGGCAACCAATAACAAAGTGCTACCTTAGAATGCTATAACCCCTCGGTATGATTGATGAAAGCCCATCTTTTGAGATTTGTATGATGACTAGCAATGACTAAGCAATCTTGCTTGCCATTGTGACTCCTCTCAAAAAAAATGTTAAAAGTAATTACAATGAACTTTTATGCTTTAATCCTTTGAATATTTCAGAATTCAGAAAATTGAAACTCACAAGTAAATTAGACTCAATGTTCAAGTTGATCATTATTCTTTGAAACAGCTTTATTTTTTAAAATAAAGTTTTGATCAGAAGATTTTATTTGTCTTACAAGCAACAATTTCTTATATTTCTGTTAATAATGTTGTTTGCCTTCTTCAGCACCCTATACGCCAATTCAACCACATCAGCTGATTAAACAGCACCAGATTCCGCTGCATCAGACTACATCCAAAGCACATCATCAGCTTATCATTCATCAGCAACAGCTTCAACACAGACACCAACTGCAGCACCAACTGCAACCTTTATCGCTTCAGGCCCAGACTTCTGACTCTACCCAATCTCAGCATTGTCTGCCAATCCAGGCTCACAGCCAGCCACTAATCCAAGCCTCTTCCCAATCGCAGCATTGCATATCGATCCAAGCTCACAGCCAGCCATTGAGCCAACCTTCAGCTCATTCTCATTCGCAAAGCCAGCAGCAGACGGTTGTGGTCTCTCCAGTACCTTCTCAATCACCGCCTAGTCCATCATCAACGATCATAATACAACCACATGCACTGCTGCAGACGCAGTCTCATGCATTGGTACAGGCACCTCTGCACGTGGGTCCAAACCAACAGCAAGGATCAGCACAGGTACAGCCTGCTCAGCAATCACACCAGGCTCACTTACCACCAGCCCAGCAATCGCCAGTGGCTCATATTGGACCAATACAACACGCAAGTTCAGTGATGCTGAGCCAGACACATACAACACATTTATCCACACATCAAACCTCGGAAGTGATATCAACCCCGGTGTCGTCTTCTCAAGACTGCCCATCAACTCCTCCAGCCCAGCTCCAGCGGGTGCCTGTGCAGTCAGTTCAAGCTCTAACAATCCAACCTGAAATTCTGTGTCCTACACGGGTACTACCACAGACTGTTTTAGCTTCACAGGAGCAGCTCCCAGCAGCCCAAGCACTTATCCAAATGCCTTTTCAGACTCTTCCTCCTCCCCAGACCACAGCTGTTAACCTTCAAATCCAGCCTTCAGCCCCAGTTGATGCACCACTGGTATGATGAGTTCAATATTTTATTTTTGCATGAAATGGTACTGGTGATGATTGAACTTTTAGTTTTAGGACTAAATGTATTCACTGAATTTTATTTCCCCTGACTCTCACTGTTAAGAGTATCAACATTTGAATTGTTCTGAGGTAGCTGAGTCACAATAACTGTTTAGTTTTCCAAGGATCAATGCTTCGCCTTCTATTATCCCCCTAAAGTCCATGGTGATAAAGAACCTTGTTCAGTAATGCTATGAAAGTGGTCCCCCTGCCTATTGAATAACATGCATTGAGTGCAAACGATTAGGGGAGGTACTTCAAGCATTAGTTATTACAAGCTGGTAATATATTGTATCGGACTTGGATGATTCAAGTCAATTAATAGTTGCAATAATTCTTGCATTTAATAAAGTGCCTTTCATGTCAGGAAAAAAAAGCCTCAAAGTGCTTCACAGGATTTTACTGTAAAGTGTAGTGACCGTATATTTTGTAGATGAACGGCATTGAATCAGCCTGTGGCACATGGAGCATTACTTTGCTTTTGCCGAAACCAGTGAATCATGCAAAAGCATTTATTCTGAATGCATTTAAAATTTGCAGCAAGTTGTATGATCTCAATGATTCCATTCATAACTACATAACTCACTCATAAGTTTGTCACTTATTGGTTTTGGGACCAATTTTCCTACCTGTCCACTTCATTTTTGAAAAAATTTAAAAAATATCAGGAGCAATTTTTCACTTTTGCTATATAAAGCATTTATCTAGAAAGAGTAATATGTCATTGGAAAGACTTCTCCATTCCTCTGTCCAGTCTTCGTTATGTGGGAGGAACAGATGACCTGGAGATATGAAGGAAGACACATCAATCCAGATGGATGAGCATTAGCTGTTGATTTCTAGTCTTAAATAAAATATAAAAATAAATGCAAGTTGTGCACCTTTAACAATATCATTGTGACTGCCTTCTTTGGCAGGTTTGTCCAGCAGCAGAAACCTGCGATCAGGAAAAGAGAGAACATAGGGGACGATCCTTCTCAGCCAGTGGAGGACGTCCGACATCCCCTTCACAGTCAGAATCCTGCCTCGCATCACATCATGGAGATATGACAGTGACAAACATCTGCCAAGGTCAGACAGGAGCCAAACAAAAACAGAAGGCAGCTTGAGTGTTAATGTGTTCACTGATGCACTATGTTACAGCATAAAATGAGGAATCTTGTGTGTGGGCAATTTGATTACCACTGCATATTTCCGACAGTGTATGCCAGCATGCTACTTACTAATGTAAGTAGCATGCTTTCAGCCACTACGCCCCAAAATTCTGGAACATTCTCCCTCAATCCCTCCGCCTTAACTCCTCTCTCCCTTCTTTCAAGTCCCACCTGAAAACTTTCCTCTTCAACCATGCTTACAGCCACTTCTCCCCGACTCAGACCCAGGCTCCACCATTGTTAAGCGCTCTGATTCACTAGCCTGTGTGGAGGGCACTATATAAGTACAAGTTGCTGTTGTTGTTGTGCTATTGCTTTTCCAGTATGATTGCTGCTCCTGTGGCTGTTTCATGTCCATTGGGATGCAATAGTCTCTACCCCCTACTAATTTTCCAACACCAGAGAGGTAGTAAGGGGAACTTCAATCTGCAGTCAATGGAATCTATCATGTGAATGTCATTACCAGCAGCTTTATTTTCATTCTACGTTTGTGATGCAATTTCTGATTTTAAGTACCTTAAAAAAATTATGATGGTAGCAATTGACATGTGATAGAGGTGACTGTCCCACATTTGAGAATTTTAAAAGAATCAAAACTCAATAAACAAATTGGCATGAGGTGTTACTGTTAAGAACATTGAAGAGTAGCTGTCTCTGTGTAAAGTACTTTGTGGGGTTATTTCTGTATATAATAGGAGTCTGTGGGTGAGTTTCACCCCTGGGATAGGGTTTCTGGTTATGTTCCTGCCACCGGTGGAGTCTGTACGTAATTGCCTGTCTGTGATGGAGTAAGTAGGTCTGTCGCTGCCTGTGATGGAGCCTGTTGCTGTTGTCTGCAAAGGGGTATGTAAGTAATTGCATGCCCATGATAGACTGCAATTAATTGTTTACCTGTGAGGATCTGTGGGAATGTTACTGTCTGTAATGGAATCAGTGGGTTCTTTCCTGTGATGAAATGTTGTAAGTCCGTGCCTCTGATGGAGTGTGCAGTAAGTTCCTGCCTGTTATGAGGGTCAGTGTGTCGGCTTCTGCCAATGAAGGGCTCCGATGGCAAGTTTTAGTCTGTGAGGGCCCTGTAGATTTGTTGCTGCCTATGATGGTCAGTGGGTCATTGCTGTCATTGGGTAATTGCCTGTTTTCAATGGATTGTCGAAGTTGGTCCAGTTGTGATTGATCTTGTAATTCAGTGCCAGCATGTGATTGACTCTGAAGCTGGTAGCCAAACTGTGATAGCCTCAGGAGATAGGTATCAGGGTGTACTACGGTTTGAGACAAGGTGCCAGACTGAACTGAGCTCTGGAGATCGGTGCCACCCTGTCATTGAACGACTATGCAGGGAAGTGCTTCACTGTGAGGTAAGTGCTTGACAATGGGAACTAGCCTTTGATGGACTCGGACGTTAAGTCTTTGGAGATGTGTGGAACTAGCCTATGATGGAATGTGTGGTGGACTTTGGGGATAGGTGCCAGCCCATGATGAACTTTGGAGGTAAGCACTTCTCTGTGAAGGACTTTACTAACCACTGATGGAGTCTGGCGATAGGTTATAGTCATGATGAACTATAGAACTGGATAGCAGTCCATGTGGAGTCTGAAGGTAAGTACCAATCTCTGATGAAATCTGGAGGTAGGTGCTTGTCTGTGACGGGCTTTGTCAGGATTTCTGCTAGTAGGTACCTGTATGTGATTAACTCTGTGGGGTCTATTTGTTTCATCCCTCAATGACCAGGAATTAATTACCTATCTGTGAATGGATATTATGTTATTATATTATGAACTATGTTATCAAAATGTTGCAATTTTAATTTAGAAAGTTGCATGAGGTAAATATTACTTAGAGTTAATTCTTCAAGCTCTGAATTGTCTTGAGAACGAAATCAGCTCTTAGTTAAATTAGTTAACTGTCAGCATTTGCTATTAACTGTGAAATATAGGCTCAGTGGAAAGATCATTCTGCTTTTTAGAATAGCCCAGTGAAAGAGTACTTTCCATGAAATTCTTTGACGGTTTTAATAGATTTTCTTATTAAATGCGGACAAATCGTGTTTGGCATGGGTGGAGTACCTGCATAGACGCAAGCACACCTACATGTTTGGCATGAAGTCATGACATAGCGATTGCTGTGGAGAGGATCTGGTGTGCCTGGGAAAAGTTGAGGAAGACGGTGAACAGTCTGAAGAAAGGTGCCAGGGTGAGTTTGCAGTTACTTCTCTATGACGTACGTAGAGTGCAAGTGCAAAACCACCAATGCCACACTGGCACACAGATATTTGCCAGGAACTTAGACAGTGGCAGAACAGACCTATTGAGCCAAATAGGCTGCTCATGTTTCTACATTCATATGTGTGAAAATCTCAACAGTATTATGATTTGTAAATGTGAAAGTTTGTTAAGAATTCCGAGACGCTACCCACATGAAGGGCGCTATATAAATGTAAGTTGTTGTTTGTCAGGCTGTGCATTCTTTGATGGATGATAACCATCCTATCTGGAAGCAATGCACTGTATCATATGGAAATGTTAAAGCCACATTTATTGTTTTTTTAGACTAATTGGCTGATAATAATGTCCAGAGGAGAACGGTGATGGGAAGGGGAATCAGTTACCCTCAAGCAGTTGTGCCCCTCCACAAGGAGAGGATGGTGAACTTCACAAGTGAGGCAGTAATGGGAATTGCAGAGGTGAATGTTGGATTGGAACCGAAGCAGCCAGGTAAATGCAAATATTGAGTAGGATATAGAGCTAAATAGGAATAATTAGCATGAGAGGACTGTGTAGTTAATCTTAGCCAGTGCTATTGGTTGTAAGTATCATAAAGATAATACCTAGGTGTCAGGCAGTGCCTTGTCCCTTTTTGTGTTTCTGTAGAGCCAGAGCTGAGACTGCTAAATGTTCCAGCACAGCGTCTACATCTGTGGACTTGCTTGAGGAAAGGGCACCATACATAGCAGCTTCCCAGGTGAAAATAACACACACCTCAATATGAAGGAGCCTACACTACAGCAGGGACGAGCCCAGAGGTTGCACAAAGCTCTGCACAGCACAAGGGTAATGTGGATTGACTGCAGGGAAAGAAGAGGTGTGAGAGGACAAGCTGAGGAAGAAGAGGAAGTAGATATGTTTTATCCCACTGACCTGCCAAAGATCTTATAGAAAGGCGAACTAGCAAGTTGTAGTGGAGGCCCAGTGAAAAGTGTGCACTGGAACCAATATTCACTGTGACTACTGAAGAAAGGTGAGGACATCTATGTGATGCTGTGAGATATACATTAGACCACACGGAGCAAATTGAAATCGACAGAATTCCCGATACCACCTAACAGTTGAGACAGTGGGAAGGGAAGAGATGAGATCTGCCCATGAGGCCACTCTATACCCGATCCCCTCAGCTTCTTCCATGGATCAGGCAAGATTTGGGCAGTGTCAGACTATAATGCATGCAATGCACAGCAACAAACTGAAGTTGTCTGTAATGCAGCAAACAAACAAGCCTTTCTCTTCAGAAACTCTTTCAATAAGCACATTTCTCACCCTGCAATGGTAACACATTGAACCGCCTCTTCCAATCTCCGGGTCCTAAGCATCTGAATGAACCATATTATTGCAACACAAAGACACTGGAGACATTTCCTGAATACCACTAGTGGAGAATATGCCGTCACTTGTGCCACTCGTCTGCCGAAAACATACAAATATATTCGTCACAATCTCAGATCTGTCAGTCTTCAAATTTGTGGCGTCTGAGTCAGTACTTTATGGCTCTCGCCACATGAAGACCAATGACTTTTCTTTGAAGAACAGAGGCTGGAGTCATAAGAACATAAGAAGATAGGAAAAGAGTCAAGCCTGTTTCACTATTATTAATAATAATAATCCTTACACCTTATCACATCTTTGAGACATCTCAAAGCGCTTCACAGAATATACTGTAAAGTGAATTGACTGTATATTTTGTGGGTGAAATGAGACCACAATTGACATTTCTCTGCCCTTTCACCGCTTCCCTTGATACTCCATGCTTGTCCCCACTTCTATCTGCTGATCCTTTGCGCTTGTGATGGTACCTGGAAGGGGTATGGTGCAGGAGGTAGGGAGTTTTTTTTTCAAGGAAAGGTCAATATACCTTCTTTCGCACCTACTACCCCAGCGCCTCCCCACCCCCCCCCCCCCCACAAACCTCACCCCCACCATAGTTGGTATCTGATGTGCTACCATCAGCTGCAGGAACATCAAAGATCCCAAATTCTCTGATCGTGTTCATTTCCTATTGCACCCTGTTATTTTAAACTGCGATTAGATTTGGGTGGCAGCATTTCACTTCTAATGCCAAATATGAAGAAGTCGTGGATCTCTTCATCTCTAAGATATATAACATCTGCCTGGCTGCCTCCTCCCTCCTCCTCCCTCCCCACATGTCATCTACTCCCCAATCCTACTTTATCACCCTCTGCTCCTACCATGGCTCCTACCACGACTAACATTTTTGAACTCATTGTTGCAAATCAACTTTGCTCGCACGTCTCCCTCCACTCCCTACTCGAAGCCCTCCAGTCCGGTTTTTGCCTGCCCACAATACAGAGACAGCGGTTGTCAAAGTAACAAATGATGGTCTCTCTCTCTGTGATCAGGCTTCCTCTGCTTCCTCGTTCTCCTGGACTTCTCCGCCACTGTCAAGCACTCTCGGACTCTAATCCGCGTGAAGGGTGCTATATAAATGCAAGTTGTTGTTGTAGAATTGCCTCTTGTGTCATCTGCAATCTCAACCTCAATAATCTCTGGATTAGTTTTATAGAAAATAGGGTTGAGCAAATCCCGTAGTTATGTAAGGATTTTTATATTGGGAAGACTTTATACCATTCCTGTCTGCTTCTGCTGTTATCGATTGTATGTTAACTCAGTTGGCCAAGAGAGAAAATGGTATTACTATTCTGCAATGGTGAAATTAAAATTCTCTATTTTCAAGATCATATACCATATTACTGAAAGTTTTGGCTATGATTGAAGACAGATAAATAGTGATTGATTATAGCTTCAAATTGGAGGGGTTTTTTGCAGCAGTTTGAAATTTGCTGCGTAACCAGGTGGTTAAAAGGAAATTGTGCAATACTTGAAGCCACAAACTACAAATGTTTGAGAATGTGCTACCTTTTCCACACTTCTTTCATGACTTTTGCTACTTACATAAGGTATTCATCATCCTCGCACAAGTAGTCCAGATCTTTCTCTCCTGCATGCTGATGATAAATCGACAACCTTCCAAAAAATCCTCTGTATTCACCATCCACACTATCCACAGCAGTTTTCTGAGCCACAAAGGTAAAGCAGCCATTACAGCTTTTACAGCTGTATCACTCAGTCATTGTAGGACCTGGCAATCCACCTTCCACATTAGAGGCAGTATGTGTGGCAGCTAGACAACTATGAGATAGTTGAACTCATTGAGACATGAAGTATTTGTAGTTATTGGTGCGCTTTCCTATTGGCTCCAACTCTGCGCTGTCTGTAACAACATATCCAGTGGGTGAAATACTGCTGTAGTATCACAGTAATCTAACCACAAGCCCTTTAGTGCACAGTGGTGAATTGGAGCAGAAATCCATATCACTTAATGTGCAATAAATATTTAGCTTTAAGGAACCGCACAAAGTCGACCTCTATGTATAAATACCTGCCTGTGATGCACACAGGGTAAGCTCCTGTCTGTGATGGACTCTGTCGGTAAGTTGCTGTCTGTGATGGACTCTGTGGGTAAGTTGCTGTCTGTGATGGACTCTGTGGGTAAGTTGCTGTCTGTGATGGACTCTGTGGGTAAGTTGCTGTCTGTGATGGACTCTGTGGGTAAGTTGCTGTCTGTGATGGACTCTGTGGGTAAGTTGCTGTCTGTGATGGACTCTGTGGGTAAGTTGCTGTCTGTGATGGACTCTGTGGGTACGTTGCTGTCTGTGATGGACTCTGTGGGTACGTTGCTGTCTGTGATGGACTCTGTGGGTACGTTGCTGTCTGTGATGGACTCTGTGGGTAACTTGCTGTCTTTGATGGACTCTGTGGGTAAGTTGCTGTCTGTGATTTCTCATGGAGGGGTGGGAGGTAAGTCCAAGATGACGTGCTTGACAATGGAATGTTGGAATCGAGTCAATCCTGTGTGGCGGTAAGCAAGTAAGCTGGGTGCGGCCCTCCAGGGAGAACGCACGTTCCATTCCACACACCGGGAAATTTCCAGATTTAGGGGGCATACATATATGGAACTCTCCGTCTGGTTTGGATACTCTTAAGCATGGTGATGTGTTTCCACAGGTGTCAGACACCCAACTGACAAAAAAAAATGTGTGTGTGATGGACTCAAGAGGTAAATTCCTGTCTGTGATGGACTCTGTGGGTAAGCTCCCGTTTTAGATGGACTCTGTGAGTAAGCTCCTGTCTGTGATGGACTTTGGGGCTAAACTTGTGTCTGTGGTGGACTGTGGATAGCGTCTGGATGAGCTCTTGTCTATTTTGCTCCATGTGAATTTAAAGGTAATATCCCGATTTACCAGGTAAAGTGATTGAGGTCAGGACTTTTCACCCATTTAAGAACCAACTCGAAGTAGTACCATAAAATAGTTGGTTTACTGTTTGAGTTGTTGTGCTGATGAATGAGAAAAAATGAGCTGAAGGGTTTCTTCATTTGAATCTCTCGTAAACTTGCGTATTGTGTTCTAGATCTGTATGTTTATCACATTTCTACTCTGGCCACAAGGGCACAATTGCTTGGGTAACCCTTACATCAAATCATACAGCTGCTGTGTTGATGTACTATAAAATATAAAACACTTATTGACAATCTAGTTGCTGGTTTACACTTTTATTAGTGCTATTTTCAGGTGCATGTCTTGAAGTGACATTGCTCTGCCTTAACTTTTGTAACTTTAAAACTTACACTATTTGACATTTCCTTTGCAACAATCACAAAATCGACCCTATTATTTACCTTGTGCTTTTAGACTGCAATGATGTCTGCATCATTTCCTCATCCCCAACAGGTGTTATGTGTTGGTGTCAGTCCTCCTATCCTGTGCCTTCTCAGCAGAGTGAGATGACTTGACCTAGGAAATTTTGCTGTTGAGGAAGTAGCCCTAGTACTAGGCTGGATCTCTTTCCAATCCACTTCCTCATTACTTTTGCTGTTCATTCCTAAATTATACAGCAATCACTGTGGGCTCAGAGGTAGGTGGTTCATTACCTCTGCAAGCAGCAAAGCCACTCAGAGATACCATGCAGGACAGCAGAATGCACAAATTTACCAAAGTACAATCTGGAGTAGAAACATCTTGAAGAGAAGTTTTCATTCTCTTCATTATATTGTACCAATATGGTTTTCAGCTCAGGCAACTGAGTTATGGACTAAGATATCAGAGTTTGCTTACTCCGCTCTCTGCATGCCTTCATTGATGACGTCTGCTTTTTCACAATGTCCTCAAGGAAGCCAAAATACTGGTCTAATCATCGCAGACCCCAAGGTTATGGGGTTTAAGTTACCCTTCACAATTTTGAACTTAAGGCCTCTTGTCATGGCGTCATGATAAGTATTGTGCTGGGTTTAATTTCTCTGATCTGTTACCAATTAAAATACTCATAAAGTTCTCCCTGAGCTGTATCTTTCAAGGCTGAAGTGCTATAGCTGATGTAGTTCTCCATAAGTCATGTCTCCAATCCTAGGGGAATATCTTCGGTTGTACCTTCTGTATTGTGCCTCTATAGTCGAGGGCTGCAGTTCCCTTTTGTCATGGTGAGTAGAAGTGCAAGCAGTACTTGAGGTGTGGCTAAGTAGAGCGTGAGATGACTTCTGGGGATTGGAGCTGATTTGGCATTAGAGTTACAGCATACAAGATGTTTAATGGGGCAGAATTGTAAACTAGTTCAGTGTTGTGAGGGGTAAACCTAGGATAGACACCAGGAAGCACTTATTTACAGGAGGCAGTCAACAGCTTGTTTGAGTTACCAGGAAGGGTGTTTAAGAATAGGAAACTGGATTCATTTTAGAAACTGCTTGATGCTGTACTGGGTGGACAGTAAGGTTGTTATTCTGGAAGGAGAGATCAAATAGACTGAATGATCTGCTTCATCCAAACCTCTCATAAAATTTGCAAAAAAAGTTGGAAATTAGATCAAAATGCCAGATATGCATGCATTCAATCCAAAATAAACAGCTTCAAATAAGAAGTATTGAGAATGTCTAGGTGGCATGATGGGTAACACTACAGATTGACTGTAAGAGACAGCTTTTACTTGTTCACACCTTCAATATATATTGTTTTTAATTTTCCAGAGCGAATAGGGCTGCCCGCTGTGACATCAGCAAGTGCCTCTGTCATCAGGTCCTCTGCAGATCACCTACATATGTCCAGCTGCTCACCACTCATTGTTCCACCTGCTAAACTGAGAGCTGGCAGCACAGCCACCTCCAGCACTCCTCCAGGCTCAGACAACAAACCGCCGCAGGCCATCGTAAAACCACACATATTGACTCATGTCATTGAAGGGTTTGTGATTCAGGAGGGACTGGAACCATTTCCTGTGAGTAAACTTCATCTTTGTCCTCAGAGGTGTCATGTTAGCTTTCTTTGTGCACTTGCTCCAGTTGGATAATGCCCCTTCATGGCAAACTGCACAAATTGTCAAGCTGTTTCAGAACTGTAACACAATCAAAGAACATTAATCTGTTCCAGAGTGAATTTTGCTCAAACCCTCTCCCAATGAGGAAGACAGTGTTTGATTTGATCAAAGTGTTTAGAATTGTGAAAGGGCCACTTTGTGAAAAAGTGACTTTTTTCCCTGGGGGAGCTACGAGTACAGATAGACATAAACTTGAAATTAGGACAAAGCAGGTTAGAACTGAGAAGAGAAAAACATTCTCACAGAGAGCAATAGGAATCTGGAACACACTGCTCTGGAATTAGGGCAGGTTTGGGGTATATGGCTCATGGAGTGGTCTGTGGCCAAATGGCTTTCTCCTATGTTCTGTGTGATCCATGAGTGAGACAAATTATAGGTTAAATTCATTACATTTTGCCCAATTAGTCTACCTCCATGTCTAAACTATGGATGGAGAAATATCAGCTAAGATTCCTGCTTCTGATTGCTATCCACAGGCCACTACTGAAAGTATAGATTTTGGGTGAGGACTGAATGAGGCTTTGAATGTGATGGCCCTGGTGTTTTTCATAGAAATATGTGGAACAGCTGACTGATCTCAACTTAAATAAAATCACACTATTTATATCTCATTGCTGCAATCAATTTATTGGCTGAATAGCTATTTAATTCTCTCTTTGATCTACTGACGCAATCTACCTCCAATTTTCTCCACGGATAGTCTATATTCCACATATTCACTGAACTCTCTGTATGAAGTAGTTTAAACTATCTGTTCACCTTCCTTCTTTTCAGATTGAGTTCATAGATTAATATACCTCTGGTAATCACAGTCCAAGCTCATGTATGAAGAATGATTCATTAACAAGGTTCATTTCTGGCTGTGGAACCATACAGGTGCATGGATTACCTCCTAAAGGAGATGACAGGCAGAGGAAAAGAGAACAATTGGAGATAAAAAAAACACAGCCAATTTTAGTCATTACAGCCTTGATTTGGCCTAATCTTTACGAACATGGCTTATGTCACAATCCATGTACAATGTCTTCATTATATGAGCCCTTTGATTTTGAGACTGAATGCACTTGAGTTTCCATGTGAAGTCTAAATTTTCTAATGAGATCAGAGGCTAGTTAAAGGGAAACATTCCAAGAAAAACAGAACTTGATGAGCTGTCCTGCTACAGAGATCTGTACTGAACCCAATTAAAAAGTGTGCACCCAAATTTACATAGACAGGCAAATGTTCTTTTGTCTTGTGCCTTGCTACTGGATGGGTCATGTCACCACATTCAGTCCCCATTATTTTGTCATTTGTCCAGAGGCAATGATTAGCAAATTTTGTCCATTGTCATCTGTTATGTATTATGTAACTTTCAGAAAGAACAGACTGGCACTTATTCCATTCTTGTTTTTTAGCTTAGAAATTTATTAAATTATTCCACCATGATGTCATGGAAGGGAAGAATCAGCACACTTGATCAAGCTAATGCGGCATTTTTCCCAAAAGAAGTAGACTGCCATTAGATATAATTCCTGATGAATGAACAACCAATCTACTGCAATGCTTTCGTTTATTAGAAGGTCACTGTAAGAATTACATCTGTAAGAGTTTTCTCTTTTTTTTACTGAAGTTGAATGTCAGTGGAAGATTCACATATTTATACCTTAGCTTTGTGGAATTGGCTATTTTTTCAAAGAAGAGAAGGCATGTAGAATGCTGACATGTGCAATCTATACGAAACATGACCACTTGAAGAGAAAATATTCCACAATATTTTGAATTGAACCCAAAAATAAATGCTCTGTACTTATTATGGGTGTCTTGCAATAGCCTCTGTCCCTGTATTTTATACTATAGAACTATTATTTAGTGAAGAAGCCGACACCAGTGAACTCCCATATATTTAACATTGTGGTCTATTTCCCACAGGTTATTTCACTATTATTTTATCCCATTCTAAAGTTGTAGTGAAAAGATTACTTTTTTTTAGTAATTGGAGAAAAGTACCACCAAGTTGGAGAAAACCAACCAAGTTGCTCTGCTGCATGAATGTTTTGGTCTATAAAGGACTGTAAATTGGGTTAATGTAAAGCTGCTATCTGGAGCTTTCTGAGTTTGGCTTTGTTTCAGTCGCAGACACATCACTTCTAAAAAAAAATGACAATACTTGTACTGAATTTGGCATCTAACAGGTGGGCCGCTCCTCACTGCTGACCGAGCAGCCAATCAAGCAGAAAAATTGTGAGGATTCATTGGTGACCCCCACACCCGTTCAACCTGCCGTAGATGATCAGAATAATGCAGAGCAAAAAGAGGAAGATTCCTTTGAGAGTGACGCAGATGACCTCCCTGAAGACGGTTTGGAAACAGTTTTTTACACAGCATTTAGATGAATCTATTGCACGGCAGTATTTAGTATTTAGTTTGCGACTAAACTTTTATTCTCACTATCAAAACTTGGGGTATGGTGCAGTTTATATACAGTGGATTTTTTTAAAAAGTTTTGCAAAATCACCACTTTTTGAAAAACAATTAGATTTTTTTTCAAAATCGCTGTGAAAGTGCTTATATTCTCTCTCACTGACGTGAGTGCTTATGGGGAAGTGCCCACATCTGTCTTCTGTGGCTGAGGATCATCAGAGAGATCAACAAAAACAGCTTGTTTTTAACTTTGGATTAATTCATGAAATATTGTTTTAATGTTATTTAAAATGTTTATTTTAGATGGGATGGAGGGAGACAATCCTGACATGCTCAAGTGTGAGTTCTGTGGGAAGATGGACTTCGCTCATAAGTTCAGAAGATCAAAGCGCTTCTGCTCCATGTCATGTGCTAAAAGGTATTAGCTTTGTATTTACAATCTGGATTTATGTAGCGTCTTTCACGTCGAAAGGCCGTCTCAAAGCACTTCACAGAGCCTCAGCTGGGGGTTGGGGGTAACTGACGAGGGTTGGGGGTGGAGAGAGAAGGTGAAAGGTGAAAGCACTGTTGAAAAGTAAAGGTGGGAAGGGAAGACAGTGAGGTGGAGGGATTCCGGGATGGAGTTTCAGCCTGAAGAAACTGAGCAAAAACTGGACCTCTTTGAAGAAATGGGATCCAAATGATACTAGTGACGCCCGACCGCCACCCACTCGCAATGTAAATCCCAATGTAAATTGCAAAAGCTACCCCTCACTCCCTAGCCCAATGATATTTTTTGACACTGATTATATATTTAAAAAAATGAAATTGTCCAATAAACACCAAAAAATAAATCTCCCAAAATGAAATTAATAAACACTGCAAAATAGAAACCCTAATCTTAAATATAGCCTTGGTTTTGAAGCTGATCTTTAAGCTTTTGTCTGGTGAAATATTCCTGCTAGGAGAGGTTTGCATTGCGGCAGACTCAGCAGACTTCTATTATGCTGGTTGTGACATTATTGGCTTCATTTTTAATTTGGTTTAAATGAACAAGAGTACAGTATTTTCGCATGAAGCACAATTGGTCCTACAGTAATGTCCTAGCTCCATCATTCTCTTCCTCTTTGACCGATGACTTTTCTGTGATTACTAAAAGATAGAGCTCCTTTGCTGCCCCAACTCTAATACAATTTTAACATTGATTGGATGTGATTCCTGTGCCGAATGGAAAGTGTAGCACAATTCTAGCTTTAAGTGGCGTTGATTTAAGCATTTCTCCTGAAACCACCGCCAGAAGAGGATTTGGGAATCAAATTAAGGTCCGGCGCCGGCAGCCGATTCCAAAAGTATACTTAAACTTGAAAACAATTATGTTTAATAGTTCCGGGAGTGCCGTTAAGGTGTTTAATATTATTGGAGAGCCAGTTGCCTGTTCAGCTCTTTATTAACTGTAAAGAATCCAAGGGGATTCAAACACTGAAGCTCTGTGGATGAGTTCAATTGCACATAAACAGAGCACTACTTCCCTTCAATTTAGCCAAAAGCAACAGTGATTGCAACCAAGTCCTATAATTTGAATTTAACTTGTGAGTTCCCATTAATTAGGTTAATTTCCTAAACTATATTTTTATTTACCATTCAGTTCTTGTTCTATTTTGAAAAATAGTTGTTTACAGTTTCAATTAGATCAAAACAATACAACCTGATACATGGGATGTAGAAATGAATGGGTAATGGGCACAGGGTCGAACAGACAGGCAATTATTACAAAGTCTCAAATTACATCTTCCCCGATAACAAACTGTGTTTAACTCTACATTACCACATTGATTGCAAGCAAAAATAATTATAACAGCAGTAAATAAATGATGATTTTATTTGAAAAAAAACTAAACTCTGCTAGGTTATCACATGGGGCTAATCAATTTCACTTCCACTAGTAACATAATTAGAAAAATGTAGTGTCGGTCAAGATGTAATTAGTCCTGCAGATTTGGGCAATGAGTGTTGAATTTTGACCCTGCCCAGATGTATTCCCACTCCATGCTGAAAGAGTCTAACTTTTTCCCTACTGGAGATTACTTTGCCCCCTTTGCAACATGCATTTGTGTTAGTTCATGAAGGAATTTTGTTTGTGGTAGTACATCAAAAAAAATCAAGTATAATTTAAAATATAGGGGAATTCCTTGACAATTTTTAAAAGAAAAATTATTTCCCAGGTACAATGTTGGCTGCAGTAAACGGATGGGACTCTTTAAATCAGACAAAAGCTCACGTTGGGCAAGAAAACCAGACTCTCACATCTTCAGCCGGAGAGGAAGGCGACCTAACGTTGTTGAGGGAGCATCACGGGAACACTTTATCAGACAGGTATATGACATGTGGAATCCAGACTTTGGTGATTTATGCATTATGTTATATTTTCAAACCAAAATCTTAAAGTTACTTAATGAGCAATCCACTGGCCTTAAATTAAGAAACGCATGTCATTCAGATTTACATAATAATACTTTGGAATCCTTTGGAGCTCCACCCCACAGTCCCTTCACCTCGGGCCCTCCCTTTACCCCTTCAAGGCTCGTCTCAAGACCTTCCTCTTCGACCACATCTTTGGTCACCCTCCCTGCCCTCCACCCCTCCTGATCCCAACCCCCAGCTCAGGTGCAAATCCTTGACTGTCCAGTGCTTTGGTATGTTCTCCTGATGTGAAAGGCGCTATACAAATGTAATTTGTTGTTGTTGCTTTGAGAAAATAAGTCAAGTTTCATGAATCATCAGAATGGGGGAATATCGGGTGTTGACGTGGCGGGTGGAGATGATTTTGAAGGTTGCTCTGAATATAATAATAAATAATCCTTGCTTTTGATATAGCGCCTTATCATGTCTTCAAGATGTCTCAAAGCACTTCACAGAATACACTGTAAAGTAAATTGACTATATATTTTGTGAGCGAAATACAGCAGCCAATTGCGCACAGCATGTCCCACAAGCTGTGTGGATTGAGTGACCAAATTATCATTATCGTTTTTTCTAATGGGCTGGTGGGATAATTGGTCCAGCATCTGGCAATTGTACAATTGTAAAGCATAACATAAATTTATCTGTAACTGAAAGTGATTGAATTGTTAACTTCTGACCAGATGCCTGTTAATTTCACTCCTGCTGAGGAGGTCACAGCAACTTCCAATCTGCCACTTCCTGAAGAAACTGTGACTGCTGCCATGACAACTCGCCGTCGCCAGAATGAACTGGAGCGGGAACGGGAGATGCGGGAGCTGAGGATGAGGGAGATCTCAGAAAGCAGTGAAATGCTGCAGTCTGATCCAACAACATGGACGGTGGACCATGTGTGGGAATTCATACACTCTCTACCAGGTATGTGCTATATTCCGCTATCCTCGCTCTGCTTCCCTCCTTGTAAGTTTTAACTTAAATAATTTCATTTAAAAATGTACTGTTTCTTATTTTTGGTAAGTTTGGCAGTGCAGCATTTAATGCCTTTGAACCACATCTTTGCAGTGTTAGGTTCAGACCATGGGGATATCTGACATTCAACCATCATCCCACACGTGCAACCATCAGCCCACAAGTTTTTTGTTTAAGGTTGATCAAGTAGGTTGATCAACATCTCAAAATCACAAGAGAGGGTTCAGCCTATTTGATCCCACCCTTCCAGAATACCCAACTTACCGTCCTCCCATAATGGCATCCAGTTTATTTTAAAAAATGAATTCAGCATCCTGGCCTCAATCACCTTTCCAGGTAATCCGGTCCAGTCGTTACTAACCTTTGGGTAAGGAAATACTTGGTTGTGTCTGTCCTAAACATGTACCCTCCTGTCCTGCTTCTTAGTACATCTGAAAGTATTATTCTGATCTGACTTGAAAGTGAAAGATAAGTTAATAGCACAGATATAATCTTTTATTAGCTTCAGTGTTTTCAGCATTTTGTGTTTCTATTTTAGTTTTGCAGCATGGTTTCTGTTTTACCTGCAGTGTTGATCAAGCTACTTATAGCATGGTTCGAGCCAAGTCACAGACTGACAATTTCCGCAAACTATTTTATTGTCTGAGAACAAGGGAATTAACCTTCAGTGATTTTCCATTTGTTTCTATACATCAATAAAAAACCAAACCCCCAGTGATCTTGATATACTAGTACCAGTAAATTACTAATAGCAATAATGTTTCAAGTACAGTAGAAGTACATATGCAGTATGCACCATATACAGCATTAATACCAATAATGTGGATATGTGTACAGATCCTGGTTTATTCTCATCTTCATTTGTTACTTGGTTTGGTTAGAGACAGCCTAGACCTAGACATGCTATTTCCATGCACATCGGGGGACAGAGGAATGTGAGCAGCACTAAAGCATTTTATTTTTTGTTGGAATAATGCAACCTGAATTTTACCTGCATTGGGCAAAAAAAATCAGAAATCCCCAAATTGAGATCACTAAATTCTCATTGCTAGTGCTCGCTTTTGAACTTTATTCTTTTGTGTATTTTCACCCAATTTCTTTAATGATAATTGCAACCATTTGTGTGTTTTTAACCTGCAGGTTGTCAAGACATTGCAGATGAATTTCGATCCCAGGAGATTGATGGGCAGGCACTGCTTTTACTCAAGGAGGATCACCTTATGAGCGCAATGAACATCAAGCTTGGGCCAGCACTGAAGATCTGTGCACGGATCAACATGCTGAAGGAATCATAACCTCCATCTCCAAAAGAAAAGTTTTGAAGGCTTTTTGATGTCTCTGATTTAAGAGAAAATAAGTCTTACAAAGTCTTGAAGTTAGAGCTAGAGCCACATATACCTTCAGTCTATAACAAGTTATATATCTGCAAGACCTCACAGCAGACTAGCTACTGTTAAATGAACAGTGAAAATAATGGGGGCTGTGTGCATGGTAACCTCATTAAGCATTTCAAATTATATTCATTGCAGCACCAAAAGTGGTGTAATTTATTATTTGAATTGCAAATTGGATTATTTTAAATTACTGCGACCCATTCACTCTACTTTATATTATATTAGATACAAGATTTTGAATGCTATTAACAGGCTAGGGCTCTGCAGCTTTGAACGTAAACATCTAAGAGAGGACCTTATTGAGGTTTAGAAAATTTTAAATGAGTTTAGAAGAGTAAACCAAGAACCAAAAAATAAACCTAATAAACTTTATGATGCACTGAGGCAGAAGAACAAGAAGATATGGGTTTAAAGTTGCAAAGGACAATTTCAGGATAGACACCAGGAAGTTTTTCTTTACTCCGAGAGTAATTAACAAATGGAACAGGTTGCCAGGAAGGTTCGTGGAGGTCAGGATGCTGTCCTCTTTTAAAAAGCAGCTTGATGCTGTGATGGGAGGGTGGGTATTCTAGATATATGAGATAAAATGGGCTGAAGGCCCTTCATCCAAACCAATCTTGTGATCTTGTGAATGTGATGTTGCTCTGTGCTCCTTGCTGTGGAGGAGTGGGTATCAGTGGGGGATATTGATGGCTGTGATAACTTCATTCAGTTCTGTGTTGACATCCCTTAGACATCTCTTCTTTTGCTATTGCCTTATTTCCTTTCTATTCTATTATCAATACAATTTTCAATCCAGCTGGCTATTTTGCTATTAACTCAATGAGCCTTAACTTTCTCTTAAAGTCACACATATGTAACTTTGCCAAATGCCTACTGAAAATTCAATTATCTTATATCCTGCGTCATCGAGAATATACTCTCAAAGATATCAGCAGATTAGATATTCTTTCTAAATCAATCATGACTGCTAGTTATGTGGCTTATGCTCTAACACGTTGTTACAGTTTAAGTAATTAGAAATGCCCAACAATTTTGGTGAGTCAGTTAATCCTTTTAGGTTGTTTTTCTGATTGACAGGTAATAATAATAATAATCCGTGCATTTCAGACAGCGATTTATTACATCGCAGCAGCTCTGTGTTTTCTGATCTAAACCAAAACAACTACGTTCAAATAGAGAACATGTTACAGAGTGAATAACTCAACTCTTTCATCTCATGAACCTCCTGAGGAGGAAGCAGAAGCTCAACGAACAGCAAAAATAGCTTTCCATATTCTAAAAAGGTGGTGTCTGCCTTAAAGAAAAAATAAACAATTTTGGGGATAACACATTAAAGAAGGATAATTGCAGAATTTTAACATTCCGATACACCCAGTGTTGTGTAAATTGCTGACTGAGAAGCACATCCACAGATATATCATTAATCTTACCAAGTGCAGTCGCACATTTTGCAACCTGCTTTTCTGCCATCTTCTGTCCTCCCTCAACTCCAAAGGAACAACACTCTATGATTACACGGTTTCGTTAACCAAACTCATAATTATCTGAATTGACTTGTTGTTCCCACAGTAAATCAAGGTTCAGAAATGGGCTGTAATTTGTAAAGATTGCATCTTTCCAGCTGTGCCATACAGCCCTGTAATTTATTTTTAATTTTAGACTGTTAAATACTTACAGAGCAGTAATTGCAGGTAAAGTATAAATCCTAATAAAATAATTGGGATCTTCTTAAGAACAGCATATTTCCAATGAAACACTGGCTTGCTGCGAGGACCTTTTCCCATGTGTGGTGCTGTAAAATGCTTAATCTGTTAAGCATGAAATGTGAAATTTTCATTCTATTTGCGATTATTGACATTTGATTTTTCAAAAGGTTTGACTTGGAAGCCAGAAAGTGTCGTTGCACAACCAATTTGAGCTAGATTTTGTTTGCACCAATCATGTCACTGCATGTTGAAAACCATAGTGCAAAAGGTCAACGTTAGCAGCTGGTGCTAAATTGCAATGTTGGAATGCTGAATTAATATTTCTAAATTAATTTATGTTTATTTCCGTTTTTTTTGTGCCATTGAATCAGTATTTGCAATGACCAGCAGAGACAAAATAGCTTTACATGTGGTACCACGGAAATTGAAAGAGACATTTCCTGTCTAACTCTGAGGCTCAGCCTTTCCCCTATCCCATGAAATGCTACTAAAATAGTAGGAAACCTTTTTCCCCAAAGTGTTTGCATTTACCACTGATTGAAGAATACAGCACAATGCGAGAATGGCCCACCTGTGAGACAAAAAGAATGATTGTGTGCTTCTGAGCTGTGAAATACCATGTATTCAAAGGATTAATGCCAACTCATTGTATTGTTCTTAAAAAATGTTGCGTTTTGCAACTTATTCCTCTCAGAAGTGTAATAAAAGCACAAAATTCTTGCTGTATAAATACTGTACACTTGGCAGTTCAACTGTTAAAGCTAAATTTATGCCATTCACGACTTCCCATAACCCACAAAGATTATTGATGCCTCAATGTACTTTTACAATATGACTGTACAATATGATAAGTAGAGAAAATGAAATGGAATTAGAATCAGTAGCATGGAACAAGCATTGAGGGACAACTAGTCTCCTGTGCTGAATTATCTGTGAGTCTCTAATTTTCATACCCTGATGAAGAATAATTGCTGAAGATTACAATGTAAACCAATTCATTGGTGCTGTTGTGTGTAAACATCGGCATTCTGATTTGCAAATCTCTGGGGGCAAAATTAACAAAGGGTTAAAGCTACAGGTTGCAGATGCAGAAGCTTTAAGTGTAGCAATCAATCTGCTAAAATGACCAGGATCTAGGCAAATAAATTGCCTGAGTGTGATTTTTATCTTTTCAAAACTTTTGTTTTGGGAGTAATGGAGCTTCAATCCTTCCACAGCTGTGATACATTATAGTGCCAAAGAACGCAGAGTGCCCCGTATAGTTGAGAGGTGCTACTGTAGGAAATGAAACGATGAGTGGAATCAGAATAACATCTGGCTCCTTCCTTAGGTTTTGCTACCTGTGTTGATTGTTAATTAGTTAACCAGTAGTACTGTATTACCAGAATGTTTTCAATGTGTTTTGAAGGCTTTTTATCACAAGTGAAAACATACCTGTAGCTCACAAATGTATTTGTTATTATTCTGTGTGTGCATATTTCCTTGAATCTCTCTTGTCACCCCATGGAATACTTGCAGCCCAAGAGTGCTGGGATTTGGGGGCTATTGTTCCCAAATATTTTTACGTTCTTAACATGTCATGGCTAGTTGCTGTTGTCTGTTTCTTTGCTTGCAAGCAAGGTACAGTTGTAGGACAATACAGGATTCAAGGAATGCCAGTGTGGTATTTAAATGCATTATTTAATTTTGTAACTATTGAGTGACCTGAGTATGTAATGTAATTTTGAGAGAATCATTTCTTACCTATCCAATGGAAATTACATTCATTGCCCCAAAACAAAGCATCATAATGTTAAAATAACACACTGAAAATATTGCTTCTATTCTTATGTTTTAACATTTGGAGATGTTGAGCAGACATTTATATTAATTTTGTTTTGGTACCATACAGCAGGTGTCATTGTGCCAGTAAGTGCATCTTTGTATTTTTTCTGTGAATACGGAAGAAAAGGCTGTCTATTTGTCACCCTCAAAACTCCAGTCGCATTGTGTGTTATGCCAACAGTATAGTTTTGTTTGCAATAGTATGTGAAAGGGAAACACCAGTTAAAGAACTCCAAAAGTACAGTAAATTACTGAAGCTGACCTGCAATTGTCTTATGGTCTTGAGTATGAAAAGCAACCCAACATTTAAAATAAAAAATTGATCTCCCTTTATACCTACAAGCAACCCAATTGATTCATACCAGAATCAGGTGTGTTGGGATCAATGAGCTTGTAATTTCCTCAGTGGTGATATCAGTGAGCTCAATAAGAAAGGAATCTCAAAACGGAAAATACTGCAGATGTTGGAAATCTGAAACAAAATCAGAAGTCGCTGGGAACACTCAGCAGGTCAGGCAGCATCTAAAGAGAAAGGAAACTGAGTCAACGTTTTGGGTCAGAAGAAAGGAATCTTTCTGACTGATCCATATACGCAATATTACTTTCCCTCTCCCACTCCTGGTTTATAAAGGCTTATAAAACTGAATGTAATGTAAGAATTATTCCAATGGGATGTGCAGTATTGAAAATAGTTTAAGAAGACTGACAGAAAAGTTTTATATCAGAATTTTTGAGTGCAGTAGAGCCCATTTAAGATCATTTCCAACAATGTATTTTTTTTTTGCCCTCTGCTCTCTTCTAAAGCCACAGAGAATAATTTGCTGTTATTTCATTATATAAGAATAGTGTTATCTGCATCTAATTCAATTCTAAGAGTTGGCCCTGACTGACATGAACTAATGAAGTTTACATCACGATCCCATGCTATACATGTAGCTAAAATATATTTACTTGTTTCACAAGAAGACTTGAATTTGTACAGTTTGCATCACCTAGAAAGTGCCAAAAAAGTGCAATATTAAAAAAAGTTTGGACCAAGTTTTTCTAATTGGATCTATCAATTGGGGAAGTATACTGTATATCTACATACATTTCCCTTCTCTCTCCCCGTCTCATTCCTAAGCTTTTGATATCTGACCATTTTCTCTATCTCTTAGGCTGTAAGTCATTGTGAAGTGAATTGCAAATTTCTCTACAGATGAGGAGGTTAGACTGAACAAGATCCACACATGCCCGAGAGCAAAATATTTCAGTTCCAAGTGTAACACAGTTTTGTGAGATATAAGAACCAAGGACAGCTATTGAATAAGAAAAGGCCTTTCAGTCATTCCAAACTGTTCCTTCGATAGACTGTATAAAACATCCCTTATCTTTGGCTCCAACTCACCCATTGCATCTCCTGGAAGAAAGGTAAGCATAGATACTCTCTGAACCCTTCATCTATCCCTGTATCCTGCACTGGACACTTACCCAGTTATTTTTGAAGGGATAAATGCCAAAGTATTAACTGCCTTTATTCTCTATCCCTTTTTTCTGTCTGAATGATTTCAAAGCCTTTTGCCTTTATTGTCACTAAGGCACGGTTACTTTGGAATGTTTGCATCCATTGCTTTTAGCTGTTAGCCGCACCTGGCACTTGGAATTGTCTGTCACAGAAGAGAAGCTGACTTGTCTGCTAGAAATCATTACACCTTAATGTGAGAAAAAACTGAGATGGCTGCTTGACTTCACTGTGACCTACAGCCTAAGAGATAGTTTGTGATGGAATACTTCCTCACATACCTAGACACATACAATCATTGGCTGATCACAAACAAGCATTTGAATAATCTGTGACTTGGACCATCTCAGTGTCCTGATGATGAGGATGAGGTAGCACAATGGCAATGATCTTATTTGGGTTTCACTGTTAGTAAACTCGGCTCCAGGAGCCAGTGTAGCAGAGAATCACTTTAGTTTAACTGAGCTGCAGGAGTCAGCCTGTTGGGTTTGAAAATGGCAGAATGCTGTGCATTTAAAAGGAGCGCCTAAGTCTATGTATAGCATTTTATGTTGGTACATTGCTATGCATTAAAAAAAACTCCAGAAGCCTTTCTATAAAGTTTTTTTTGTAAGGATTTGTCAGTTGCAAGTTTGATAGTGAGTTAGCATGAATTGAACTGGGATTTTAAAACTTGATTTAAGTGGGCTAAGCAATCTGAGATGTTACCCGCTTGAAAAGCACTATATAAATGCAAGTTATTTTTGTTGCTGTATTCTGGTTTATAAGAAAGTATTGTAAGATAGCTCCTTATGTTTGTGATGCAATGCATTGGATGCTGTCAAAGCACAATTATAAATTAAAAGCAGAAGTATTATTACAATGAAAACTACTGAGGTAAATCCACACAGCAGCAGACAGAGCAGCACGTTTGACATTCTAGATGCTGTGGAATAAGAGTTTCCTCAGTAAGGAACAAGGCAGCTTCATGATCCTGGCTGTTCCTGCAAAATTCTCCAAGGTGTCTTTTAACTGGATTGCCAGGGGCCAACAAATAAACAGTACTGATGAGTATTTAATGATGCTTTGAGAAACCCTGTGGAAATAGAAAATAGTACAGTATTGTGTTTATTTTTCACAAATCATTATGGTTTTTACTACTCTCTTAGCTTAATGTATTTAGTGTTGCACTAATTAATAAGCATTGTGTTGTATGTGTTGTCTGGCAATGTATTGTAGGATAGATACACGCTGCTTGTAGCAGCTCAGGCTGTTTTCTGGAGTAATAGGGAGACACATACTGCCCAGATGATGTTAACATTGGAAACATCAACACAGTAGTTTGTGTGCTAGCTTATGTTTTACTTTTCTGCTAAAGAAATACTGTTGTCGGAATAACCCTTGGGAATTTATATCATCGTTGCCATCTACTGTTAGATACACAAAAAAGATTTACTAATCTGCGATGTTTGCAGTTGTCTTAGTTTCACTGTATTATTCCACACAGTGTATTGATTAAAACAATGTGTGAACCCAAACAGCTAAGGGATCATGTGGCCATGTTTTCCATTCTCTTGTTCAAATGTTTTCAGTTAATAAAGAAATGCCTTTTTTTTTAAAAAGTGCTAGATACTTATACTACATAATTCAAACAGTGGTGCATTCAGATATTCCCTTGCTCGGTATTTTATGTTTTAATTCATCTCATGCCCAAGCACCAAGACAATTTCATCTTTGGTGCTTGTTGTAAGGGTATATTCTGTACATTCTATAAATCTGATTTCCCTCTCCCTAACCTAGAGCGCCAAAGCCAATAGTGGCACCCCAATTCTGTGTAGTTGAGCTCAGCTAATTCACACATAACCACAACTGCCTACAAATATAATAATGATCTTTGCATGTGATATAGCGCATCATCATGTCACTGAGATGTCTCAGTGCACTTCAATCTCAATGTGATTGTTGACCAGGCTCTGTGAGAAACTCCCTTCTCTTCAAATAGTTCCATGGGATCTTTAATATCCACCCGCACTTCCAGGCAGGCCCTCAGATTAATACCTCATCTGAAGGACTGCACCTCTGACAATGTGACATTACCCCAGCACTACATTTGAGTCTAGATGTCCCTTGCCTTGCCTGCCCCACCATCGGGCGGGCCTTCTGCCACACTGCCCCTATCCTCTAGAACTCCATCCCGCAGTCCCCCTCCCTTGCCTCCTTCCAGAACCATATCAAGACCCTCCTCTTCGACCGTGCTTTTGATGACCCTCCTTTCCTCACCCCCCTGCCCTGTGCCCTCCCCAATCCCGACCCCTAAGCTCGGGTCCGAAACACTATCTGTCCAGCGCCTTGGGATGTCCTCCCGACATGAAAGGCGCTTTACAAATGCAATTTTGTTGTTGATGTAAATTCGCTCAAGGTGGTGACATGGTGTAACTCCATAACCTTCTGACTTGACAGGGAAGGGCACTACCAAATGAGCCAGGCTGACACGTCACGAGCAATTTACATCAAGGCTATTTATTGGTGTGCAAATCCAGCGGGCAATTTGTGCAGCACCGTTCATCTGAACGGGTAGAAGGGACCTTGGTTTAACCAAAGGCACCTGACAATGTAGCACTCTGTGCTGGGGCGCCAGCCTGGACTGTTGAGTTATGTCAATGGCACCTTTCATATACGAGCGGGATTGATTCGGGGAGCGAGGGAGGGAGTGGGATTGATTCGGGGAGCGAGGGAGGGAGTGGGATTGATTCGGGGAGCGAGGGAGGGAGTGGGATTGATTCGGGGAGCGAGGGAAGGAGTGGGATTGATTCGGGAGCGAGGGAGGGAGTGGGATTGATTCGGGGAGCGAGGGAGGGAGTGGGATTGATTCGGGGAGCGAGGGAGGGAGCGGGATTGATTCGGGGAGCGAGGGAGGGAGTGGGATTGATTCGGGGAGCGAGTGAGCGAGGGAGTGAGATTGATTCGGGGAGTGAGGGAGGGAGTGGGATTGATTCGGGGAGCGAGGGAGGGAGTGGGATTGATTCGGGGAGCGAGTGAGTGAGGGAGGGAGTGGGATTGATTCGGGGAGCGAGTGAGTGAGGGAGTGGGATTGATTCGGGGAGCGAGTGAGTGAGGGAGGGAGTGGGATTGATTCGGGGAGCGAGTGAGTGAGGGAGTGGGATTGATTCGGGGAGCGAGTGAGTGAGGGAGTGGGATTGATTCGGGGAGCGAGGGAGGGAGGGAGTGGGATTGATTCGGGGAGCGAGTGAGTGAGGGAGGGAGTGGGATTGATTCGGGGAGCGAGTGAGTGAGGGAGTGGGATTGATTCGGGGAGCGAGGGAGGGAGGGAGTGGGATTGATTCGGGGAGCGAGGGAGGGAGGGAGTGGGATTGATTCGGGGAGATCCCTTCAAAGAGCTGTCACAGACATGATTGGCCGAATGGCCTCCTTTGGTGCTGTATAATGCTGTGACCTCTCCCCCCCCCATTGACTCTGTCAGACAGTGCAGCACTGACCATCAGTGGTGCCGAGAGAGTCAGAGGGGCGGAGCCAATCCAGCGGCAGCCAATCACAGCAAAGCCTCCGCACCCGTCCGCCAATCACAAGGAGCCTGATAGTGGCCAATCCGCGAGGAGAGCGCGGCAGCCAATCAGCAGACGGTTTACTCAGGCAGCGGCCAATGGGCGTGCGGCATATTGTGCGGTCGCTGCTCCGACCAGGGCCGGCGATGTCGGGTGGAAAGAGTTAGAGACGCGGCCGAGAAACTGCCGCCGCCGCCGCCGCCCGTGTGCTGTGTGGCCGCCGCTGCGCGTGAGCCCGAGGCGCCGCGGTTGCTTTCGGCCCCGCCTTCACCTTCCGAACTCGGTTTAAGCCGCTGCTCGGCCTCTCGCCGAGCGATGGAGAAGATCCAACCGGAGGCCCAGAACGGAGAGGCCGAGCCGCCGCCGCCGCCGCCGCCGCCGTCACAGGGGGATCCCAGCTCGGAGGGGGAGGCCGCGAAACTAAAGCCCACGCACGAGGAGAAACCCGCCTTACCGGGCGGGGAACCCGCGGGGGAAGAGGACGCCGGGCCCGAGGTGTGCGAGCAGCAGCATTCGGAGGCCTGTCAGACCGAGCGCTTCGGGCGTTCGTTCAGAAGACGGGAGTCTCTGTCTCCGCGAAAGGGCTCCGCGTCCCGGAAGCGGGACAGCGCGTCGCCCAAGAAGCGGGAGCCGTCAGAAAAGTCACCCCGGAAATGCAAGGGTCACCGAAAAGCCGGACATAGGTACGGGACGGACGGTCCGGTCCGCGCGTGGACGCGGCTTCACCGGGGAATGGCATGAGACGGAATCGGTATAAGTTGTTTCACCGTATTCAGCCGTCCAGAGGATCGGTTATGCGCCATCGTTTTCATGGCGCATCACGATCTGTCGCCGTGTTGGGTGTGACGTGGAGGGAATGCCGAGCCGCACTGCATCTCTTGACCGCTTGTTTCAGTTCCTCCATCGACTCGTATTGTTATAAATAGTAATTTGGTCCCTCAATCCACGACTGTCCGTGGGACACCGCTGTGCGCAATTGGCTGCCCGCAAAATATAGTCAATTCACTTGACGGTGTATTCTGTGAAGCGCTTTGAGACGTCTCGAAGATGTGATAAGGCGTTACATCACATGCAAGGATTCTTGTTATTAATGGTGCGTTGGGCAGTGGCATCTAGTGTCAGTTTTGAGCACCACCAGGTGAGCGGGAACGAAGCACGGTCTCCCTGGAGCTGAACTGGCTCCAAGGTGACGTACCTAGCAGTGCAGTGTCGGAATCGAGCCAGCACTCTGGTGGTCTCGAGAGTCTGGTTCCTGAGTCAGGCGGGTCCGTACAACACAGCGAGCCTGGCTCATAGGCAGAACCTGGAAGGGCAGACCAGTCACTAGGGCGGGGAGTCATCCCATTCATCTCATGTTAATCCTGCAGCCAAAGCCCTAACAGATAGGGTGGTCATAGCTGGACAAGCAGCAGGAAAACTTGCCAGACAGCAATATCAATAACTAGCAATGCAGTTTTAGCTGGTTAGACTTCAGCAATACCCCAATGCATACCCCCAGGTCCCCAAGCATTGGCTCTTGCAAACCTGTGCCTAATACTTTCCGGAATTAGTTAAGCAGGATGCGTCCCTCCAGGGAGAGAATGTGCATTCTATTCCAGCAATATGTCTGTGTAGTGGGATGCTCAGCTTGGTTTGGATATTTTTAAGCATGGTGATGGGTTTCCGCATTGTGTCAGAAACCCAGCTGATCAAAAAAATCAAAACTGATGACATTGGTGGATAACATTTTGAATAGACTTTCCACTTGTGAGTAAATGCACTATGTGGTACTTTACAGTTATGAGACAATCTCATTTGGGAGTAATGTTATGGTCATATATAATTATTGACCAGTTTAGCAACTGTATTTTTAGGCACACACAACAGCTATTTCCACCAGCAAGGTCCTACGTGTTTGGTGAATGACCAACTTATCTGGTGAATTGTTGGTCAAATAAAGCTTTCTTTATGGTTAAGTACTATAATGTACATACTATAATATGTGTTCTTATTCAAAGATATCATGGAAGATGGAGTGCTTGATCCTCAGCCTTGTTTTGTGCTTTGCCAGCCTGTCTATTTGTAGGTCCATATGTGAATTGTTAAATAGTAAAAATCAAAAAGATAGAAAGTGAGACTCCAGAAAGGCAACAAAATAATCTCTTTATTTTCCTTTTAGGCATGCTCACTTCCTTCATGGCCCATCTCCTGATACACACTTTGGACCTAAAGCCTCCATTTTACATACTTCTACCTCAATTATGTAAGTAAAAGGCATCTCCTTTGAATTGAGTGAAACAGAACTGAAATCAAATGTAATTAAAAAATTTATCTGGTATGAAATTTTTCTTAAGAGCTTGTTAAAGAATAGATTGTCAAAGGTCCTGTGGAAGACTAAATTGTTTAATACCCTTATTGTTTATAATTGTGTTCAGGCACATCCAGGATCCAACAAGTCAAAGACTGACTTGGGACAAGCCACCAACAAATGTACTGGTCATCAAAAAGGTCCGAGATGAGACCCTTCTGGAGCCATTCAAAGAGCTATGTCGCTTCCTTATTGAGGTGAGAGAAGACACTTACTGCTGTGTTTTCCTGGAGTAGAGTTGGCTAGTGACCGTCAGCATTTGTTGGTTGTTTCTGTCCTTTATACTGTGAGCAGTATTGCAAAGAAGAGAGATCTTGACTATGACGAGGAAAATTGCCTGTTGTGTTTTGCAAAGTTTGCCTGCTGTGTATCTGTGTGAGGCATGTAGTTTATGTTCTGTTTCCATACAACACATTTTTTCCATTGTGTATTAGTCTATAAGCGCATCTTTATTATGTCATCATCAGCACCAATGAGTAGACTTAATTTTTTTTAATGTATCTGTAGTACTCTCAATCATGTCATACTTGGTAATGGATACTCTGTGGCATCACAGTCTAATGGTTATTTTTGGAGGGCTCCTTTTGTGTTCTCTTGGCTTGAAGGAAATGATGCCTATGTGATAACTTTAACTGCAGCTCTGAGTGTGTTTGACCACGGAGTCTGATGAGAATGTCCTGGATTTGTTTTATTTGTGCATACCGATTGAAATTTCTAGGTGACTGCTCCATTTTGATTAAATGATGCGCTGTATAATCAAAAATAATTTTGCTTTGCCTTTCCATATAAAATTGTTTGATCCTAGTCTTTGGGGATTTCTTCCCCTCTCCCCTTCCCCAGGAGAAGGACTTGGTTGTGTTTGTCGAGAAGAAGGTGGTGGAGGATGCTTTGCTAGCTAAAGATAAGACGTTTGAAGTCATCAGACAAAAGCTAAGCCCCTTTAAGGAAGGTGAGTACAAAACTCTGCCGCATTCTTACCCGCACCAAACTCGGCTCCCCGATCACCCCAGTCCTTGCCAGACTGCACTGGCTGCCTGTCCCAGAGAGGATCGACTTCAAGATCCTCACCCTTGTCTTCAAATCCCTCCACTCCTCTGCACCCTCCTACCTCTCTGACCTCTCTCCTCACAACAGTGCCCATTGCCTTCGTTCCACTGGGTCTGGCCTGCTCCTTGTCCCCAGAGTCCTCCGCTCCACCCTTGGCGGCTGTGCCTTCAGCCACTACGCCCCAAGGCTCTGGAACTCCCTTCCTCACTCCCTTCGCCTCGCCCCCCCTCTCTTCCTATTTTCAGGTCTCGGCTGAAGACCTTTCTTTTCAACTGCGCCTTTGGTCACCTTCCTCCCCTTCCCCCCTGGCTCAACCCTGGGATCCGTTACTGTGAAGCGCTCTGAGACGCCATCCGGCGTGGAGGGCGCTATATAAATCCAAGTTGTTGTTGCATCAGCAAAAAGAGCAGCTGCAATGCAGTGCCTTGGCTTGCTCACTGCAGGACGCATGGCTCGCCTGCTATATATGTGTTTACAGCATTGTGTTTGTGTGATATTGTATTCAGTGCAGCTTCTTCCAAGCCGTGTAAATTGTGTGTAAGTTACATAATGTTGACTATAACATATTTGTTGCACAATTGAATTGAATGAACGATTTAGTTTAAACTGAGACTTGCTTTGTGTTCAGTTGAAATTACAAATAATTTGAGCTGCAATGTTTATCAGTACTGTGTATCTACTTTGTGTAATGGAAATACTTCATGCAATGTATCTTGTGCACAGATACAATGTGTCCAAACCTACATAGCTAAACATGGCTTACTGATACAGTATTCGCTGATTTGATTTGGCTTGTTTTGAAAACGGTAGTGAGTGAATTTCCTTTATCTGACATGTTTACAGACTTTGTTTTTTAAATAACAGGTTATGATGATCTATCTGGCTACATAGATCTGATCATTTGTCTAGGTGGTGATGGAACTCTGCTATATGCTTCTTCACTCTTCCAGGTATTGTAAACTTCATGTGATGTGTATCATTACTTTACAGTTTTGATAAATTAAGACAGAAGAACGTTATAAGTGTCGTTTCATTAGCCTACAATGAACCAGCGAGATATTGGTAATGAGGAGAGAGGGTTCTGTAAATATAGTCAACGCAGTAGATATTTCAGATGGCTTTTGAAGAAAGTGGAGGAGGGGGAGAAAGAAGAGGGTTAGATGGAGGAAGCGAGAAAGGGAGTTCTCGAGAGTGGAGGCATAGTGACTGAAAGTTTGTCCACTGATGCTGGGACAGAGGATGTGCGCTAGTTCGCTTAGCAGAGGGGTGATCAGAAGAATTAGGCAAGAGAAAGTCACAGGTAGGGATGAGTGAGGGCATGAAAGGTGAAGATCTTCAAGTTCATCTGCTGGAAGCCTGGCGAGATTGGGTATGCAAAGTTTTGCATAGTAAGAGAGTAGGCGTCAATTTTGGATGTACTGGATGGAGCCTGTGGATATTGGAACTGGTGGGTGGGGGACAACAGTGAGGAATTTAAAAGTAGTTTGCAGGTGATCAAGGTATAAATGAAGACCCAGAACAACCTTATTTGTTCACAAAGTTTGATTGACAGATACTCATAAACGTAGCAAATAACCTTAGACACGCATACAGAACAAATACTGACATGCAAAGAATAGTCTGACAAAAAACACAGAATAACGTATTGTGCCAGTATTAACCTTCTGTCCACTTATCTTTCATGTGTGCCAAGAGAATGTAATGTTGTGCAACCCATAAAAGCATGGAGAAGACTAGGGGTGCACAGAGACTCTGTATTTAAGTCTATTGTAGTGGCATTTTCCTTCAGTTGTATGAATTGTCTGTGAAAAATTGGCTGATTGGCATATGCTTTTACAGACCAGTGTCCCTCCAGTCATGGCATTCCATCTCGGCTCGCTTGGGTTTCTCACCCCTTTCAAGTTTGAGTCCTACAGAACAGAAGTGACCAACGTGATTGAGGGTAAGAATGGAACATTTTTTTCACTTTATTTGAGATCCTGTCGACCCTAAGCACTGAGTTCAATATGATCCATATTTGGCAGCGCGAGCTACAAGACTTGTGACTCAGGCTTTTTTATTCTAATATGCTTTCAATTTTGCCTACTTTGAATTTCAGCCCATTGAAGCATAATTTCACCGAGTAACAGCATTGTGTGGGAGTGCAACATGGGATAAATCAGTGGGTAAATGTGTTGACAGTTGCTGGGGAGTTAGGAAATTCACTAAAAGGCTGTCGAGATGTGGAACACCGATATCTAAACTAATTGTAATGGTCTGAATTGAACAAACTGTTTTGACGTCTGCAACTAATGTTGATGAGTAAACCAATTCAGACTGATTAAAGGAAAAGTGTATTGTACTAAAGTGTCACGTAATCCTCAGCATTCTAAAAAGGAGATGGCACAGAATCCTCCCACTCTCCACTTGAGTAAGGCATTGCTACATGGTGTGTCTGTGAGCTGTAGAGTTGAGGAAAGCCCCAGGTTCCATGAGCTCATCTCAGTTGGAGTTGCACTAAGCTATTGCTTCTTCTGAACTGAGGAGGAGAATCATCCAGGGTTCCACCTCTGGATTACTAACCAGGGATACTGCAGCAAGTATGAATGTTTACTGAGCAGAGGAACCAGATTGGAACTACTCAGGGCTCCATGATCAACAAGTGTCAACACTTGATGTCCAATGATTTTAAAAAGTATTTTTCTTTTGGAAAAAAAAGTGTCCCAGTTAAGTGACTGTGCCTTGTCCATCTTGTCCTGAACTGTGCCAATAAAGTTTCCAGTCTCCAACTGCTGGAAGTGATCAGATTTCTTGAAAATCTAAATAACTGAAAGCTGCAGCTAATTGCTGAGCCCAGAATACTCAAAACTTCTGATGCAGTACAATGTTATGCACCTAGCTAAACAGAACAGCCTTTCCTTCATTGTAATATTCTTGCATGACACATTCTGGGTGGTACTTTCTGTGCCACGCACCAAAAAGATGCATGAATATTCACTAGATTTCTATAATACAAGCAACATTTGGAATTTTGTTTCATTAGGAGATGCTGCAATCATTCTCAGGAGTCGTTTAAAAGTGAAAGTGGTCAAGGACATAAAACTAGCGGAGTCAGAAAAGCTATATCAAGTGGAGAATGGGCTAATTCCAAAGAAACATATTGACAGTGAGTCTGGAAAGACCATCCTGCAAGTTCATGTATGTATAAATGCCCCTGTGGAGCTTTCTGCAAAATACCATTCAATTTTACTGTTAAGATATGGGAAACCAGATGCATCTGTTAACTTTGCACTAGTTTGCAAGTCTATTTTTTGAAACCTGTAATTCTAGTTGTGTGGTGTTAATGTGCATTGGCAAAAACTGAAGCTCAGTCTGTTCTTAACTGAAGAATGAGCTTCAGTGCTCACCAATTCACATTAATGTACTGCAGACATTACAAAGCAGATTCACTCAGCCCTTAGTGAGAAAGGTGAGAGAACAAATGTTTGAAACTGTAAGAGACAACCAAAAATACATCAAGTGAGGTTTTTGAAGGTTAAATACTGTCAGTAACTGCATTTTACCTCCATAATTCCCAGACTTGTTTTTACTTTTTTAATCCAGTAGGTGAGGCAAGCTGTGCAATTACCATATATAAATAACCCAGTTACTAGGATGTGCCCTTTTGTTTGTTAGGGTTGAATTTGTCAGGCAACTTTCTTTGCCCCTTCCCTCCCCAACATGGACAATGATGCTGTGTAGAGCTCCCATTGAAAGGCCTAGTAAGAGCTTGCTGAAGCTTGCAATTTTTGTCAAGATTGGGAATTAAAAGCTGCTGTGCTGTGACCTGGGTATCTGGCTACTGGATCTGTGTGGCCTGGGAGAGACGTGGGGACAAGTTGCTTGCCTGTCTGCAGTCTCAGCTATGGAATGGAACTTGGAGAAGGGACGGGACAAGTCTTTTTAGATTTTGCTGTGAGAAGGGCTTTGGAATTACAAGTTTAAGGGGCGAGTGTATATTTTATATTATTATTATTTTATATACATCTGATTTGAGTCATGCAATAATGTGCTATGAATAATAATCCATTAATGACGTTGCAGGTGTTGAATGAAGTGGTTGTTGATCGAGGCCCATCGTCGTACCTCTCTAATGTGGATTTATATTTAAATGGGAGACACATCACATCTGTTCAGGGAGATGGTAAGATGAAATACAGTGAAACTTTTTAAAACATATTAGCATACCTACTTGATTATTTTTGGTGTGTAATGGGTTGTGCTCATCAGGTTACTTATTGACAATGTTGAAGAATGGAATGTCATTTTTGTACCCAGTAACTCAACAAGCATTCTTCTCTGATTGATAATGTGGTTTAGATACCTGTGGAGTTTCTTTACTCAGTTCCAGTTTGCAGGTTTTTGTTCTTACAGTAACGGGTTCTGGAGTAAAGTGGTAAATGTAATTGTCCATGCTATAGGGGTAGGAATGGCTGGCTCACTGTTGAGCATTAAATTGTCTCAGGCAGACGAGGGATGGAAACTTCTCCTGGAGCTTGAGTGGGAGGGGATTCCAGTTACATTTCCTTTTTTTAATAAAAATGATTTTGACTACAAGAAGATTACATTTGTATAGCGCCTTTCACGTCGGGAGGACATCCCAAGGCACTGATGTCCCAAGACTACATCACCTTAGGCTGGGGAAAACCAGTTACGAGCTTGCAATACAATATACAATAATCTTATAAAGTATGACTGGGTGAATTTTGGCCACATTTTGAAAGCCTGCCCTTACCTCTCAGTTGACCAGGACAATGCACAACAGGAGTGACCATCCGATATGGATCGCACATGTATGCTCAGTAATGTTAAGAGTGCTTGGTCCTAGGTTTGGAGAAATTATATTGCATTGTCTAGTAGCGAGTTCAATTGCATAAAATGTATTACATTTGTCTTAAAGTACCTTGACTCTCTTCTCAGAGGCCCACCACCATTGGTGAATCATTTCTCATGTCACCAGTTCTTCAGCCTGAATAGTTCGAACTTTAAGTCCAAATTCTAACCAGGTTTAGGAGTACAATCTGGGTTCCTATAGTCCATGGTGGAGCCTCCACAGTGAAGGGAGCAGGTGTGTCATCCTACCCAAAGTAATTGCTATAAAATGGTGAAAATAATCATAAAAATGAACAACTTTACAGGTTAGTTATCTAATTCCATTAATTCAATGTACAATGTGGCTGTATCTTTACGTTGGTCCAAATTCTGAATTGAAATGTACAATCTATATTGTTTTCTAAGTGGACTGCTTACTTGGTTTCCTAGGTGTCATAGTGTCGACACCAACTGGAAGTACAGCTTATGCTGCAGCAGCTGGAGCTTCTATGATGCATCCAAATGTCCCCGCCATCATGATCACCCCCATTTGTCCTCACTCACTATCGTTCCGACCCATTGTGGTACCAGCAGGAATGGAGCTAAAGGTGAGATATTGTCTTGTAATGCCAAGAATGGGAGAATGCCAGTAAACGTGTATTATTCAGCCTTGGGTATACCAAATGTGGATTAGACTTTCCATTTGCACTTGGCTACCAACTCCTCTTAAAGAACAATTTTTTAAAACTTGAATGCTGAAGACTGTCCAGACTCTGGCAGGATCATTGAATTGGCCCCTGCTGCTCCTATACTGAATGTAGAGGATGTGTCTCCTCAGGGAGAGTGTGTGTGCACAAACCAGACAAAGGGTTTGTGTGCTCCAACACTCTGATTTACATACAAGATGCTCAGGAAGCATAGAAAGTGTTTGGCCACGTAAGGTAAGCTACAAAACTTAAAGCTGTTACTGTGCTTCTCTTTTGAAGATAATGTTGTCACCTGATGCCAGAAACACAGCTTGGGTGTCATTTGATGGCAGGAGCAGACAGGAGATTAAACATAGTGACAGGTAAGCATACAACTCTTAATTAATGCAGCCACCTCTGCGCTTTGTAACCAGTTAGCTTAATGTGTAACCAAAATATATTTTCCAAGCTTTTCTTTAAATTTAAAGTAGCAAAATCAGTCCATTAAAGCTTTTTAAGCATGAAAAATAAAGTACTTTTTACATGTTATGCGGTGCTGGAAGAATGCCATTAATGTTTCCACTGATATTTGCCCTTTGTAGCTGTTTTGTAATGTGTGCTATGCAATTGGATTCCAATTATTTCATTTGAAACTGCTTATTAATTATTGGAGCAGGAGCCATTTTAATTCATTTTAATTATTTTTTCCCCCCAGTATTACAGTAACAACTTCATGCTACCCAGTGCCATCCATTTGCTGCTATGATCTTGTCTATGACTGGTTCGAAGGTCTTGCAGAGTGTCTGCACTGGAATGTGCGTAAAAAACAGAGTCGCCTTGAAGAAATTACAGACTCTTCAGACACTGAGTGTTAATTTATTTGGATGTATCTTTCTTCCTCCATTGCTGTGCAAGAGAGATGACTCCTTGAGGACTTGCACACAGAATTAACAGGTGTTCTTCAAAGTATTTTCTGGACTTTCAGTCTCACTGACTAGTGGGTTGTCCATTAGTTTTAACGTGTGCTACCTAATTAACATTCCATCAGAGACTTTTTTTGCATGAATAATCCAGAAGCATTTATTTGGATTCGATTTGAAAGTAAGCAAGTAATGAGGATGCACCAACTATTTTAGTACAGACTTGAGATGTTTGTTAATTATATCTAATGTAAATGGTCTGTTATAAAAATATAATTTTGTACAATAGAGTGCATCCATCTTGGAACAAAATATTTGTTAAGACAATATTTTTAATATTAGCTACAATATGGTATCTGTTCAGGTTACTAAAGTTCAGTTGCAGTATTAGGTTGACCTCGTCAAAATAGTGTGAAAATGCTTCTCTTGTGAAAATATTTGAAAGAATGAGATTTGAGGTATGCTTTGTATTATCAGACACAATTGTATCACATGAATTTTGGATTTATATAAACTTAGGAATCGGTAGGATCTATTGTTGATCGTTTCTATCTAATATGTAGTTCAATGTTAAGTGATGAGTACTTATTCTATGCTGCTGAACTTTTAAATGAGATCTTCATCCTTTGTATAGTATAGTGAATTCATCTCTCATTTCTGAGATGAAAGTCTTGACTTACCTTGGCTTAGTGGCCTTACATAAATTGCCTCAATCCAGTTGCAGAGGTTTTGTTGCTGCAAGGTAAGGAACATTTTATTGCATCTTGCTACTGGGTGTCCAAAGTGGGAAAGTGTCCCATTTTCTAACTCCACCTCTCCCTCATGAACACATTGAACAGCAATGTGAACGAGGGCTACAGTAGTGGGAAAAAGAAAGCTGTAAACAGTTTTAAAAAATGTACATTACAAATGTAAAGATTCTGCATATTCTCTTTTGCTCAATGCTTAATTATACGTAACAACCACTGTAATAAGTCACTCTTTCATTTGCACATCAGGTTTACTAACCTGAAAACATTTTCAATAAACCTAATTTAAGCTTTGACCATTCCTTCTGATGGTGTTGTCGCTGTAGCTTCCTTCTGCACCAGGCTCTGTGCACCACTGGTACCATTCCTCCTTGTCCCCTAGTGGATCAAATTCAAGATCCTCACCCTTTCACATGTCTCTATGGCCTTGCCCCAAGTAGTCTCCTATAACCCCACCTGCTCAGTGCCATTAATTGGGTGAGCTTTCAAGCCATTCAGCCTCTACTCTGAAACTGCATCCTGGATACTATGTCTCCTCCATTTCCACCTTCAAAACCTATCCCGTCTCTTTGACCACCTTCCCAAGCTTGGGCTCCCAGTGATTTGTGTGAAACACTTCGGCGATATCCTGACATTGATTGAGAAAATATGTCTTGTTCTCAAGTGTTTCAAAATTGGACTAAAAGAATCTTTTTTTAAATTTATTGCATTAAAAGGATAGTTACTTTTCCAAATAGCCAAACAGTTATTGTTTAAATAATGTTCCAGTAATCAAAGTCAAGGTTTTAAATTATATCAATCCAAATATGGATATAACTGGGTTTAAACAAGCAAGCAATTCTCTCTGCTGCAATATACATAAAATAGCACTGGCTGGTAGCTATACTATATGATGTACAAATACTCAAAAACCATTTGAGAGCAGGCTGAGATAGTCACTACCAGAGAAACTACTGGCATGCTGGCAAATCTTTCTCCAAGAAAGACACATAACAGGAATAAAATGCTTTTGTATCTTGTTATGAAAAGCATATGAATATAGAAAATTCCTATGCTACAACTATTTATTTCTGTGCTATAGTTTCTTTTTTTAATTAAAAGTTAATTACAAATTGTGTGGTCCACAAAGAGATTCTGTGAATGATCAGCACTGAACCTCTTGATATCTGCACAACTAGCAGATGTTGAAAAACAATTATTTCTGCACCTCATTCAAGTTTAATAATAATAGTTGCATCTGATATAGCGCCTTATCACATCTTTGTGATGTCTCAAAGCTCTTCACAGACTGTACTGTAAAGTGAATTGACAGTATATTTTGTGGGTGAAACAGACTGAGGGAAAGGGACAGTGGAGGTCCTGAAATTCAATTCCAACGGAAAATATCCTAATATATCTGTCACAGGAGGGAAAACATGTTAGGGACAATAACTACAGCACCTATGAACTATGTATTGGACAAAAGCAACTAAATGTAATTTAGATCTGTGAAGTAAAGGTGATACTCACATTGAAAGCAGAGCAAAGTCAAAGTACTTAGAAATGATTTCTCTTTACAACTATAGTAGATGTTCCTTTTGTCTTAAGAATGTCTCTCAATTTTTTAGTTTGGGAAAAAAACATTACACTTCATCTGGGCAGTGTCTTAAAATCTGTAGAGAAAAGAAGATGGACACAGAATCACATGCAGTTTAAAAATTAATAAGGCAGCTAATGCAGCTGAAAAACAAATTTGTATCCCTTCTGAATAACTTTATACAAAGTTTGTCAGCTGAAAGTTTCACTTCTGTTATCACCATCACTGCATAAGGTAATGTGGGTGATTGTTAGGAATAAATTTCTTAATTCAGTCTCAAATGTTGGAAAAGAAAAAGTTTAGTGTTAAGCTTCAAATCCCTCTAATTGTCAGCAGTGCCAACTATTTTCAGAATTTATTTTGTGCGACTATAGCATCCTACCAGGGCAAATTATGGCACTTAGTTGTGAGCCCTGAAGATAACTATTTTCCCTCCCTTAAATACTGTATCTTTACATGTTTCCTGCAAAACTTCCTACCTTCTGAATCATTTATATTTTGTTTTCATCTGTAATCTTGGTGCAAAGGATATTATAAGTGATTGAAACAATGCTTTTCAATGAGAAGAAAAAATAGTTAAGAACTTGATCACAGGTGGTATTTGGAGGGGAGGAAGAGCGATTTGCTTTTAGATTAACTCAAACTATTCATGAAATGATTGATTGATGCTATTAGAATGGTCATTCTGGATGGGTCTGTTCCATGGTTTTATGTCACTGCTCCACTTTGAAGGCTTTGAGGTTCTGGATACTGCTACACTAATTACATGTCACAAAAATTGGATATAATTCTATTAAGGACTGACACATATTCATTGATGGTGAAATGAATAACTCTTACCCATTAGCTTTTAAAACCAAGGAATGCTTCTTCACATATTCACTTAGATTTCACATTTAAGCTTGGGACTAACTCATGTGCACATCTACATTAATACAAATGTACCTAGTTATGGGAATTTAGGATTTCAGACAAGGTTATTTGCCTCTCCAAACTATTAGCTTAGATATAGTCATTTAAAATCATGGATTTTATGTATAAACTTAAGATGAGTAGGAACAGACATGATTCCCCAGAACTAATCCCTCTGGGCCATTAGGATTGTCATGATGATGATTGATTTAATGGAAGGATAGTATTTAAAAGCATCATAATGGGGACAATATTATGGAACACAATTTCATTCCTTTCTGTAGGAAATCAGTTTACACTAAAAGCTTTACTACAGTATTAACGGCTTGCTGATACATCACAGTTTATAATCACTGCGATTGAGGAAAATTCAAACATTACAATTAACATGAGTTTTACATTTCCCAATGGCTTGATACATCATTGTGTATCAGTATGTTTTCCATCCCAATGTGGAATGGTTTGACATCAGCTACTCATGCGGCTGCTGGAGATGGAACATCTCCTTTATGATTCGCTGTGTAATGGCTGTGTCTCTTCATCATCGTCATTCTCTTCATCATCGTCGTCGTCATCATCATCATCAGTGGCGTGTTCCAGTTCTTCTTTAGTAATCATTTCAAAGTCATTTCCATTTCCACTACTATGCTGGGAGCCATCATCCTCTTTTCTGTCACTGTCTGTATCTGACTGTCGCTCTCTGGTCGAACCCTCCACTCCAGAACTACCCACAGTTTCTACTTTCTTTTCCTTCTCTTTATCATCATCTGATTTGTCATTGCTATCAGGCTTCAATTGTTTCTGAGTGTCAGACTCGATTGGTTTCTTGGAGTCTGATTTTGGTCCCTTATACTCGTGTGTGTATAGAGGTCTGAAGGAGTCAATAAACCCAACATCAGCTGTCAGATTTGGCAAGAACCAGAAATGATGTCGGCCACCAGTGAGAAGCCAAATTAAAAGGAAGAGAATGCATCGAGCTGTAAACCAAACAAAAATATATCATGTATGTTTTGGAGGAATTTCATGTTAAGTCATTTTCCTTACCCTCTAGATGGTCTCATCAATTTAAAATGAAAACGTAAGAAAATAACAATAACAGTGTTTGAGCTGCAGGAGAAACATGTTTATGTTGGTTACTATTAGTTACTACTGAGTGGTACTCATGCTGGTTATTCTTCAATATACAAGATATTTAACACAAGTCTATACTCACCTACAGCGAGGAGGAGAATGCTGGCAACAAAGCAGCCTGCTGCAACACTAAGATAGTAAACACCCACTCTCATCTCAGCAGGCCAGAGGGGGAATAAAGTGGCAGCTATCACTGCAATCACTGACAATCAAAATAACACAAAGCTCAGAATCAGTAAATACAATCCAGTTTCAGATATACACAGATCTCGAGAGCTCTCATTTTCACAGAACTAAACATACAATTCTAAAAGGTAAGATATTTCAGGGTGGTAACATTCACTCTGAACCACATGGTTTCATTCAGAAATGGAAGCTAAGAATTGCAACCTACTAGCTCTCAATTAGACGTAGAAAAAAGAAACAAACTGGTATTCACTCAAGAGAATTCAAATACATTCATTACATTCCATTCCACTTTGATTTACATTACGCCACTTACCTAATATAAGTCCCATTGCAAATGTCTTGAAGTGAACTGGGTCATAGATCCATACATACACCTGCGTAAAATCATACAGATTGTCTAAGGTCTCACTGCAAAGTAAAGATTTCAAAGGCTGCATTGTGAAATGTGTGCAGGTTGTACGCAAAATGGCATTGTGGGAATGAGTAAAATTGCACTAAACTAATGGGCCTCAGTCAGCCCATCCTGACAATTTCTGCATGTAAAACTGCTCCATGTTTATACTGCATTAGACAGGAGATTTGATGAAGACGCAGATCACCAGTTAATTTAGAATGTAACTGTTGCTGCACTATTTCACCTGGAATTGCTTTAAAAAGTACAATCCTCTGGTTAGATTAGAGACTGCAAAACCATTGGATTTTCTAAAGATGACCCATACCTCATTTCCATCAATGAAAATCTGATCACCGTTCGGTTCCAGTTTAAATTTTTTCTTCGCATCTTTCTTTTTCTTTGGTGTTCCTGGAGCTTCCTCCTGAGAAGACAAAATCAAATGTTAATACTGTACAAAAGTTCATTTCAAAACATGCAACACAGTGCAAACTAAGTAAAATAACTAAAACCTACAGCCTACTGATCTTGGCTTTGTACTAGTATAAACACTTGTAAAATTGCAACTGAGTTTCTATACAACAAACAACATTATAAAGGGTGATATTTATGTCACCATTTCCTGTTCCAAGAGCCTTCAGTTTAATATACAAAATAGTCTTGAGTCTGTCCTAGTCAAAGCCACTTGCTTTATTACTGCAGCTCGCTGGTCTCACCTCACCTTCTCTAAATAAAAGCAGTCAAGGGCTGTCAACTGTTGTGAGTGAACAGGATCTTGACATAAAATGTCAGCTCCCAGGCTGCTTCTGATTACAAGTTTAAATCATAAAACTCAGGATCCAAGTCATGTAAAGCATTAAAATTCTCCATTAACTCAATACGTTCCAGTGGGAATAATTAAACTAAAAGGTGCTAACTAATGAGGGATACAAGGTAAATACTAAAGTAGGAATAAAGGACTTAGGAAATGCATTGCTTACTTTTTTATCTTTTTTGATTTCCTCTTTTTCAGTGTCCTTTTTCTTTTCTTTCTCCTTCTTACTCTTCTCATCTTTCACAATTTCCTTCTTACTTTTCTTTTCTTCCTCTTTTCCG